AAAATAAAATCAAAGATTGATAAAATAAAAATAAATGAGGGGGAGACAAGTATATCTGAAATATTGGAGTTAGTAGTAAGGTTGGTGGATACGGATCGGATATCCGAAGATTTCCAACTATCCGCCAACCTTAGTGAGAAGCTTAATTTAAATTTGAGTTTTAAAATTAATTTACTAAATATTTTTTTAAGAATAACTACTAGAATATTTTTAAAAAATTTTCTAAAAAAATTTATTTTACCTAACAATAAAAGTTTAAAAGTATTTTTTTCAGCTCTAGCTTCATCTCTTATTTTATTATCAATTGAACGATTTCTTTTTGATTGATCTTTTGCTTCCTCACTTTGGCATAAACCCATTTTTGTTTAATTAAAATAAATACAAAAGTTTTTCTATAAAATAATTATTTTAAATTAAAGATTATCTTCTTCTCTTTTTAATTAAAAAAATAATTAATGAGAGAATAAAAAAAATATTCTAAATAAGGCAATTTAATTACATTATTATATTTACTCAAAAATTAAATTGGATAAATATATAGAAGAAGAAGAAGAAAAAAAAGAATTTTTTTACCAAGCTAAAATTGAAATAATTTATGAAACAATTTTTTTAGTTTTTAAATATTTAATTGAAATTGGAAGAAAATTAAAAAAATATTCTGTGAAAATAAATAGTAAAAAATTATGTGAATGATAATTTCTGATAAAATTTAGAAGTTAATTTTAAATTATAAGAAGAATTTCTGACAGAGCAAAAGACGGGGGAATTTTTAATTTAATAGACAACACAACATTTACTTCAACAAACAATTTTTAGAGGAACTAGCCCCCAAACCGAAGAAAAGCTAAAAGGTCTAATTTTCAAGACACAGAGTCGTCGATTGATTATTTAAAATTTTTAAAATTTTCAAAAATTTTTATTTAAAAAATTAATTTGGAAATAAAAAAGTTTTTTATTCAAAAATAAAATATTGAGAGGAGAAAGGTGTAAAATTAATAAGAAAATATTAAAATTTAATAAAAATGGTTGCGATGGAGCTTTAAAAGAAAGGTAAAAAAATAATTACTTATTATAATATATAAAGAAATAAAAATATTAAATTGTTAAGAGAGAGAGAAAGCAATAGCCTTTAAAATAAGAATCATGAGCATTTGCGTGCCGCCTTTCTTTAACTTTTTTTTTAATTAATTAAAAATTGAGAAAAAAAATCAAAAATTAAATAAAGAAATAAACAAAAAAAAATTTAAATGTCGCTATATCTTCGTAATAGCTACGATTTTAATTTAAAAATTCTTTTTTTTTATTAAAGTCATAATCAAAACAAAAATTAATTTAAAAGTTTGCAAAAAAACACAAGAAAAATTTCTGTAGTTATGTGAGAATAAAAAAATAAATTTTTCAGAAAATAATTTCCACAAACAACAAAATTATTTGCAAATTTGTGTTTAATATGTGTACACATTTATCACAATTTTTGTTTAAAAAATTTTTTTATTTAAAAAATATAAAAAGTGATTTAAAGTTCCGAATAATTTTAGCGTTTTTCTTTTTAATGCGTTTTTCTTTTTAATTTTTTTTCTCCCCAACAACTTCACCTGCTTTTAAACAGTTTTAGAACAAGAATTTGAAATTCAGAGTCGACCAAATTAGAATGATCCCATGCACAAATTGGTATTAGCGTCACGAGTGAAAATTTTTGTATTTTGTGTAGATTTATAAATTTTATTGGGTACATTATTATCAATTTGTTTTTTAAAGAAAATATGTAGAATGATGGAAGGGTTCAAAAGAACAGGAAGAAGGTGTGGGGGGGGGGGGGGGAGGGGGGGATAATGTAAAAGTACGAAATTTTAAGTTTCGATCCCATAATCTTGGTATTGTTATCTATCTATTTTTATCTAAAGTATTTCTGCAGCAGCGGTATTTTTCAGATGAAGCGTTAAAACATTATCGAAATACTCCAATACAAGCTCCAATAACTAAGCACAGTTCTCCCCAACTACTCGCAAAAAAATATCTGCTTAAAAATATAGGTAAATAAAAATAACAAATAAAAAAAATAATTGACATTTGAAAATAAAGAAAATGCGCAGATGTTTTATGCAAATATTTTTAAAAAGAATTGAATAAATAAAAATAAAAAAATAATTTTTTCTTAAAAAGTAATTAGCAAATAACGATAGTATGTCATAGGAAATATGTAGTTAATTTCAGGAAATAGATATTTATCCAAATATAAGAGAATCATTTTTGCGTTTTTTGCTCTTATATAAGAAATTAAAATGTTAAAATTCTTTAATTTTTTAATAATAACAGATGTCAAAATATCCGGCGGTTTCGAAAATTTAACAAAACCCAATTTTAAAGCATGATCAAAAAGTAAATAAGAAATTAAAATTTCGCCACTCCACAATTGGTGGCCAATTCCAAACACCAAAATGTTATAGCACGTTTACATAAAAAATGAGAAAATATTTAAATTTTAAAATAACAAATATTTATAACAATAAAAACATTTTTTTGTGACGCAACAAAACTATTCTTTTAAATTTTGAATAAATTTTAAACTATAATAATTAAAAAATTTACGTGACCATAAAATTTTAATGAGTTGTACAAACTACTATTAAAGTTACAAAACAAAATTTGTTAAAATTATTTTTTAATATGTTTGAAACAATGGAAACAAAAATCTTTAAAATATATACTAAAGTTTTTATAAGTTTGTAGTAAGGATGCGGTTCCTGGGAAAGTTCCGGATACCCGGAACCGCCAACCTTTTTTTATGTTTAAACAATTGAAACCGAAAAATTATAGAAACAATCAAGAATACAAATATTGTTGGGTTTAACTAAGGTAGATTTCCTCACATGGCCAAATAAATTTAATAAATACATATAAACTCAAATAAGGGAAATAAGACAGAATTTTTGAAAAAAGAATGAAAACTTTTTTGTAAATATTTCAAATAATTTCCATTTTAAAAAATACAAAATTTATATTTAAAATCTAGACATATATAATTAATTACCTAACTATAAAAAATTAATTAAGGACAGAAAATACCAATTAAATAAAAAAAAAATTAAAAATTTTTCATACGTCTTATTTTCTTAGAAATAAAATTTAAAACTAATTTGAAATTGAGTTAAAATTATTTAAAAATTTATTAAATAAATGGATTTTTTATAAAAAATAATTAAATATAAAATAAAAATTAAATTATTAGAAAAATTTGTAGACAATTTACAAAAATTATTTAATTCTTTGAGATGGATTGTGACAAAGTTGGGTTTGCTCCTGATTTTTTAATTATCCTTTACAATGAATTATTTTTGAAAAACAACCTTATTTATAAACACAAATTTTCTGTAAAAAACTAATTTTTGTGAAATAATTGATATCAAAACATTCATGAATACATTAAATTCTCTACATTAAACAATGAGGTTGCGGATCTGGATATCCGGATCGAAAAAAGGCCGGATATCCGGAAACGTCCGGTTCGGATATCGGATCCGGATATCCGAAGATTTCCAACTATCCGAAAAACCTTATTAAACAAAGCTTTTATTTTTGAAGATCATTGTAAGGATTTATACTATGTAGACTATTAAAGAAGCATAATTTTTTAAGAAAAATTCTATATTTTTCTATATTAAATTTAAATTAAATTTTTAGTCAATACAAACAAATGCCAAATAAATTCAATAATTATATGTAAATAATAATAAAAAAAATTTCTTTCGCGGCATAAATAAATTTAACAACGTTTGTTTATCTCATTAAAGATTACGTCAATGAATTTAATATTTTTTGTTTAGTAGTTTTGTGTGAGAGAGTTTATATTAGAAAGAAAAAATAAGGTTATTTTTGGAGGGGTTTGGGAAATTTTTGGTTAAAATTAAAATTAAAAATTATTTAAAAAAACAAAGAAAATACGTCAAAAATAAACATTTATTTATTTTAGTTCTAGTTAAATTTTAAATAAAATTTTAGTTCATTAATATTTTAAAATATAATTGTTAAATTAAATAATTATTTGGTTAAACAATAAAATAGCAAAAATAATTAAAAAATGCTTAACTATAATTGTTATTTTAAAAACTTTATTGGTTTGGTTATTTGGAAGAAATTTGCTGGAGCAAAAACACTAGGTTTTGACTACTTAACTTATTTTTTATATTTGGTTTGATTAAATGTAAAATTATCAAATTTTTGTTTTTTGAGTTTAATTTGGAAATAATTATTTTAACTAAAAAATTGCGTTAATACATAAATGTCATTTTAACATTTTTGTTTGTAAATTATTTTAAAAAAGGTTTTTGAGCTAAAATTAATTTTTATCATAGACGTAATAATATGTATTTCTAGAAAAATTCAAATTTTAATAACAGATGTTAATTTAAAAAGGCTTTGAAATTTTATATAACGATATTTAAATATAGAAAGTTAGAAAAAGGAAAAAAATGTAAATATTCTAGAAATTAGGAACAGGTTAAAAAGTTTTTTCAATTTCAAAGAAAACTTGAAAAATTATAAATTTAAAAATGTCTCGGTTGTTTTAAAAATTTTAGGAGAAAATAAATAAATTATACAGATTTTTGTTAAATGAAAAAAATTGGAAGGTTCTTACAAATGTTATACAAATTAGGGTTGTTGGATCCTTATCCGCATATCCGAAAAAAGTCATGGCATTTTTGAGCGTCATGGCGTTTTTCGTTTGGCGTGTTTTAAGAATTTGAAAAATAGCATTTAGCGTTTGATGTCCCACACGAAAATTTTGGCGCACGCCCTGGTCCGGATATACGGGAATTTTGTAGGTGAAAAAAACCCTAATCCAGCTCCATATCGCCAATGTACGTAGTAACATCATAAAAATAAAAACTCAAAAATTTTTTCCACCAATTAGTTTCTTCCTTTCTTTCTCTCAAATTCTATCTTTTATATTGTTAAAAAAAGAAATGTATAAATTTTGTCCAAACATTTGTAAAATATTTTCAAAATTTAACCAAAATATTGTCACTTTTAGAATCTTCAATTACCATTTTTTCTTTATTTTCATCCAAAATAGTTTTGTCAGTCTTTTCTATTTCTTCATTAATTATTAATTCTTCTTTACTAATTTTGTTTATTTCATCATTATCAGATTTAACATATCCCCAACCACCTTCATTTCCAGCAACTTGAAATTTTTAAAAAAAATTTTTGACGTCTAATTATAACATAAAAAATTCAAATAAACCCTTGGAGTTAAAAAGAAGAAAGTCGGGATTCTTTTTCTTCTGATTTCCGAAACTTTTTTTATCAATTGTTCCCATTAACTCAAACTGCCTTTTTAAGTTAAAAAGTTCGCCCAAATTTTAACCATATCATAAATTGTGGTCTCTTTTTGGATATAGTATATGTATTACAAGTAATGTCGGATTGCTTACCTTCATGCATAATTTTATCAATAATTTCTGTCAATATTTGCCCAGACATTTTCTCTGCATCCCCCACATTATCAATCATTAAAGCAAAATTTATAGGTTGATTACTTGATTTTGGATATTTAATTTCAACTTTAGAACCAATACCAGCAAGTTTATCAAGTAATTCTGCATTCTCAACTAATTCATTTAAACGAGTATCTTTTGCCGGATTTAAGCCTGATAAAACTTTTAAAACCTAAAAATTTATTTAAAAAATTATTTTTTATTTTTCGAGAAGGATGAAACCTTTTTAAAATTATCATTTAAACCGTATGCAAAAATTTTGTCAGTTTCGAAAATCACATCGTAGCCAGATTCTTTAAATGAATGTATTATATAAAATATTTTAATTACAAATTCCCTTTTGTTTATCAACTTTTTTAAAAAAATTGAGAAGAATAAAAAGCAAAAAATGAATGGGGAAACACTAAAAAATGGCACCTCTCTTCTGATCTGAACGAAAATTTTCGTCTCGTGTTTCATAAATTTCGTAATTTTTTGAATATTTTCGTTTTTTAGGGCGTAATTAAATTATTAGGACTGGGACTGCTGAGATTCTTAAAATGAAAGCGGGAAAGTGAAAATTATTTTTGCATAAAATAAAAACTATAACCAATTTTTCCTTCTAATATTTTACATCCCAAAGAATATAAAACAAGTAAAGTAGCACGTAATTTCTCCGTAATTTTTAATTTAGCTTCTTCAAACATTTTTTCTATTCCACTCATTAATGTAACAATTTGTGTTTGTTCACCCCCAATCTGTTCCCAACGCTCTTTTATTTGCTCTCGAAGATCCTCAAATTTAATAGAGGAATCTGCAAACCCCCCAACAGCATAAATTAAATCTGTTTTGTTGTAAAATGAATTTTGTTCGGGAAAAATAAAATGTTCTGGATGAGACAAAAATTTGAGAAGAAGGAAGTCTGGGCTTTTATCTGTTTAATATTAAAATAATTTAGTTGATATTAAAATTAAGATTAAGCTTAATTTAGGGTTGCTGTTCTTGAAAATGCCTTGAGTTACTGGACACACATTAGAACCACCCCTCCCTTGTTAATTTTCTTTATACATTATCTTAATTTGGTCTTAAGCGTGATCAGGATCCCGACATAAAATCGGGATTCAAAAAAACCGATCCCGACCGGGATCCCGATACCGCTCAACCCTAGTTCTGAGAGCTTATATACAGTTTGTAGCATTATTATAAAGGCACCCATATTTTAGGTTAAATCTCGAGTTTTCTTGATGAATTTTATTTTAAATTAGTTATTTTGTTATATTAAAAAAATATTATGAAACAATTATTAATTAAATCTTTCCTAAGTATCCAATAAATAATCTAAAACATTAACAAAAATAATATAGAAATAACCATTGTTTAATTTTCTCTCAAAAGCATACTTTTCAATTTCGGCAAAACAAAATTGGAAATTTAATTTAAAAAACAAATAAATAAAAAATAAAACAAAAAGTTTCATTTAAAATTTTTTTATAATTTTACATAAATGTTTGCGTAATATTTAAATGAAGAGGAGGAAAAGGGAGAGAGGAGGTTATAGGGAAAAGATTTATTGGTTTTTGACTGATTGAATTTTTACGTGGATTTTAAAAGTGAATGATAGAGAGGGAGAGAGGGAAGGAGGTAAGTGGAAGTGGAGATATAACATATATTTGGCCAAGAAATGGAGAAGAGGAAAGAGAAAAAATATTACATTAAACCTAAATCCGTCTTAAAAACTTAAAGAATATAAAAATTTTCTGTATATCAACATTTTTGTTCAGTTTTAGAGTAAACTGTTTATTCGAAAATTATTAGCAAAGGAATATTGAAATCAACAAGAAACCATTTGAAGATTATAATTCAGAACATACCGTTTTTCCGAAAAGAGCCCCGTGGGTCTTTTGTTTCAACTACCCTCCAAAGTGGGGATCTAATTCAAGGTGGTCCAACAGAAAAATGCTTCATAAAAAATTCTCTTGAATTACACTGTAAACATTCTCTACAAGAAATTTAAATACATGTTTGAAGTATGTACATTTGTCACAACCAGATTAAACTTCTAAAAATTTAAATATTTTTCAATTAAAGTAAAAAATTTTATGGAAAATCTTTAAAAATATTTTTTAATTTGTTTATTTTTATTTTTTCTTTCTTTTTTTATTTCTTTTAAGCTATCTGAAGAGATATTAGAACAGGTAGTTGAAAGCAATTATTTTCGCGTTAGATTACATGCTGTGATGAGAATATAAAATATATATTCATCTTAATTTATATTAAAAAGTTGAATTAGTTGGAAAGATTCTAGACTACCCACTAAATATATTTCCTTGTTAATTAAATTAATCAAAAAATGCTACCGTTAATGTTGTAATTAACAATTAGTTCTTTGAGATTTTGGAGGAAATCTCAATCATAGTTTATTAAATTTAAAATATAATTTATCTATATTTTTATTAAACATGACAATGGGGCACTCACGTTTATATATATTAGCTGCATCTAGTGGCAGTGGTCTCCTTATATTATTTAGCTTTATTGCTGCAATATTCATTATTAACGATATTAATTTACTTAAAAATGAAATTATTATTGGAGTTAAAGATTTTAAAGTAAAAATATTTTTATATATTTTATTAATAACCAACGTTTATTTTAAGATTATTGCAAATAAAGCTTGGGATGGAATGAATGAATTACCTTCTAAAAATTTAGATAATAATTTAGTTCATTCTTCTTTTTTCTCTCCAAATCCAAGGGAAAAAAGGCAATATGCGGCTGCTATTCCGGCTAAAGCTGCATATGTTGGAGGATCTTCTTATAATGCAATTCCTAGAAAACAATCATCAATAAATTGTGGTAAATACATTGTTTTTATTGGAATGGAAAATATTTGTTTTGTTGTAATCTGTTTTGTTGTAAAATGAATTTTGTTCGGGAAAAATAAAATGTTCTGGATGAGACAAAAATTTGAGAAGAAGGAAGTCTGGGCTTTTATCTGTTTAATATTAAAATAATTTAGTTGATATTAAAATTAAGATTAAGCTTAATTTAGGGTTGCTGTTCTTGAAAATGCCTTGAGTTACTGGACACACATTAGAACCACCCCTCCCTTGTTAATTTTCTTTATACATTATCTTAATTTGGTCTTAAGCGTTAGATGAGACAAAAATTTGAGAAGAAGGAAGTCTGGGCTTTTATCTGTTTAATATTAAAATAATTTAGTTGATATTAAAATTAAGATTAAGCTTAATTTAGGGTTGCTGTTCTTGAAAATGCCTTGAGTTACTGGACACACATTAGAACCACCCCTCCCTTGTTAATTTTCTTTATACATTATCTTAATTTGGTCTTAAGCGTGATCAGGATCCCGACATAAAATCGGGATTCAAAAAAACCGATCCCGACCGGGATCCCGATACCGCTCAACCCTAGTTCTGAGAGCTTATATACAGTTTGTAGCATTATTATAAAGGCACCCATATTTTAGGTTAAATCTCGAGTTTTCTTGATGAATTTTATTTTAAATTAGTTATTTTGTTATATTAAAAAAATATTATGAAACAATTATTAATTAAATCTTTCCTAAGTATCCAATAAATAATCTAAAACATTAACAAAAATAATATAGAAATAACCATTGTTTAATTTTCTCTCAAAAGCATACTTTTCAATTTCGGCAAAACAAAATTGGAAATTTAATTTAAAAAACAAATAAATAAAAAATAAAACAAAAAGTTTCATTTAAAATTTTTTTATAATTTTACATAAATGTTTGCGTAATATTTAAATGAAGAGGAGGAAAAGGGAGAGAGGAGGTTATAGGGAAAAGATTTATTGGTTTTTGACTGATTGAATTTTTACGTGGATTTTAAAAGTGAATGATAGAGAGGGAGAGAGGGAAGGAGGTAAGTGGAAGTGGAGATATAACATATATTTGGCCAAGAAATGGAGAAGAGGAAAGAGAAAAAATATTACATTAAACCTAAATCCGTCTTAAAAACTTAAAGAATATAAAAATTTTCTGTATATCAACATTTTTGTTCAGTTTTAGAGTAAACTGTTTATTCGAAAATTATTAGCAAAGGAATATTGAAATCAACAAGAAACCATTTGAAGATTATAATTCAGAACATACCGTTTTTCCGAAAAGAGCCCCGTGGGTCTTTTGTTTCAACTACCCTCCAAAGTGGGGATCTAATTCAAGGTGGTCCAACAGAAAAATGCTTCATAAAAAATTCTCTTGAATTACACTGTAAACATTCTCTACAAGAAATTTAAATACATGTTTGAAGTATGTACATTTGTCACAACCAGATTAAACTTCTAAAAATTTAAATATTTTTCAATTAAAGTAAAAAATTTTATGGAAAATCTTTAAAAATATTTTTTAATTTGTTTATTTTTATTTTTTCTTTCTTTTTTTATTTCTTTTAAGCTATCTGAAGAGATATTAGAACAGGTAGTTGAAAGCAATTATTTTCGCGTTAGATTACATGCTGTGATGAGAATATAAAATATATATTCATCTTAATTTATATTAAAAAGTTGAATTAGTTGGAAAGATTCTAGACTACCCACTAAATATATTTCCTTGTTAATTAAATTAATCAAAAAATGCTACCGTTAATGTTGTAATTAACAATTAGTTCTTTGAGATTTTGGAGGAAATCTCAATCATAGTTTATTAAATTTAAAATATAATTTATCTATATTTTTATTAAACATGACAATGGGGCACTCACGTTTATATATATTAGCTGCATCTAGTGGCAGTGGTCTCCTTATATTATTTAGCTTTATTGCTGCAATATTCATTATTAACGATATTAATTTACTTAAAAATGAAATTATTATTGGAGTTAAAGATTTTAAAGTAAAAATATTTTTATATATTTTATTAATAACCAACGTTTATTTTAAGATTATTGCAAATAAAGCTTGGGATGGAATGAATGAATTACCTTCTAAAAATTTAGATAATAATTTAGTTCATTCTTCTTTTTTCTCTCCAAATCCAAGGGAAAAAAGGCAATATGCGGCTGCTATTCCGGCTAAAGCTGCATATGTTGGAGGATCTTCTTATAATGCAATTCCTAGAAAACAATCATCAATAAATTGTGGTAAATACATTGTTTTTATTGGAATGGAAAATATTTGTTTTGTTGTAATCTGTTTTGTTGTAAAATGAATTTTGTTCGGGAAAAATAAAATGTTCTGGATGAGACAAAAATTTGAGAAGAAGGAAGTCTGGGCTTTTATCTGTTTAATATTAAAATAATTTAGTTGATATTAAAATTAAGATTAAGCTTAATTTAGGGTTGCTGTTCTTGAAAATGCCTTGAGTTACTGGACACACATTAGAACCACCCCTCCCTTGTTAATTTTCTTTATACATTATCTTAATTTGGTCTTAAGCGTTAGATGAGACAAAAATTTGAGAAGAAGGAAGTCTGGGCTTTTATCTGTTTAATATTAAAATAATTTAGTTGATATTAAAATTAAGATTAAGCTTAATTTAGGGTTGCTGTTCTTGAAAATGCCTTGAGTTACTGGACACACATTAGAACCACCCCTCCCTTGTTAATTTTCTTTATACATTATCTTAATTTGGTCTTAAGCGTGATCAGGATCCCGACATAAAATCGGGATTCAAAAAAACCGATCCCGACCGGGATCCCGATACCGCTCAACCCTAGTTCTGAGAGCTTATATACAGTTTGTAGCATTATTATAAAGGCACCCATATTTTAGGTTAAATCTCGAGTTTTCTTGATGAATTTTATTTTAAATTAGTTATTTTGTTATATTAAAAAAATATTATGAAACAATTATTAATTAAATCTTTCCTAAGTATCCAATAAATAATCTAAAACATTAACAAAAATAATATAGAAATAACCATTGTTTAATTTTCTCTCAAAAGCATACTTTTCAATTTCGGCAAAACAAAATTGGAAATTTAATTTAAAAAACAAATAAATAAAAAATAAAACAAAAAGTTTCATTTAAAATTTTTTTATAATTTTACATAAATGTTTGCGTAATATTTAAATGAAGAGGAGGAAAAGGGAGAGAGGAGGTTATAGGGAAAAGATTTATTGGTTTTTGACTGATTGAATTTTTACGTGGATTTTAAAAGTGAATGATAGAGAGGGAGAGAGGGAAGGAGGTAAGTGGAAGTGGAGATATAACATATATTTGGCCAAGAAATGGAGAAGAGGAAAGAGAAAAAATATTACATTAAACCTAAATCCGTCTTAAAAACTTAAAGAATATAAAAATTTTCTGTATATCAACATTTTTGTTCAGTTTTAGAGTAAACTGTTTATTCGAAAATTATTAGCAAAGGAATATTGAAATCAACAAGAAACCATTTGAAGATTATAATTCAGAACATACCGTTTTTCCGAAAAGAGCCCCGTGGGTCTTTTGTTTCAACTACCCTCCAAAGTGGGGATCTAATTCAAGGTGGTCCAACAGAAAAATGCTTCATAAAAAATTCTCTTGAATTACACTGTAAACATTCTCTACAAGAAATTTAAATACATGTTTGAAGTATGTACATTTGTCACAACCAGATTAAACTTCTAAAAATTTAAATATTTTTCAATTAAAGTAAAAAATTTTATGGAAAATCTTTAAAAATATTTTTTAATTTGTTTATTTTTATTTTTTCTTTCTTTTTTTATTTCTTTTAAGCTATCTGAAGAGATATTAGAACAGGTAGTTGAAAGCAATTATTTTCGCGTTAGATTACATGCTGTGATGAGAATATAAAATATATATTCATCTTAATTTATATTAAAAAGTTGAATTAGTTGGAAAGATTCTAGACTACCCACTAAATATATTTCCTTGTTAATTAAATTAATCAAAAAATGCTACCGTTAATGTTGTAATTAACAATTAGTTCTTTGAGATTTTGGAGGAAATCTCAATCATAGTTTATTAAATTTAAAATATAATTTATCTATATTTTTATTAAACATGACAATGGGGCACTCACGTTTATATATATTAGCTGCATCTAGTGGCAGTGGTCTCCTTATATTATTTAGCTTTATTGCTGCAATATTCATTATTAACGATATTAATTTACTTAAAAATGAAATTATTATTGGAGTTAAAGATTTTAAAGTAAAAATATTTTTATATATTTTATTAATAACCAACGTTTATTTTAAGATTATTGCAAATAAAGCTTGGGATGGAATGAATGAATTACCTTCTAAAAATTTAGATAATAATTTAGTTCATTCTTCTTTTTTCTCTCCAAATCCAAGGGAAAAAAGGCAATATGCGGCTGCTATTCCGGCTAAAGCTGCATATGTTGGAGGATCTTCTTATAATGCAATTCCTAGAAAACAATCATCAATAAATTGTGGTAAATACATTGTTTTTATTGGAATGGAAAATATTTTTGAAATTAAATCTAGATGGTTGTTCTCAATCTAAATGCCCACCTGGACCGCCAGGTCCTCAAGGTGAACCTGGTATTCCTGGAGGTTTGTTTACACCTCCAAGCTTAATTTAATACAAAATATAGAGCCAGGTACTCGAGGTTTGGATGGAAGGCCAGGAATATCGGGCAATAGCCTGAATCAAGGATATGATAGCGGATTAAAGGTATTTTTATTTTAATGAATGAAAAATAACTTAAATATATTTTATGAGTGCATTCAATGCCCAGCCGGCCCTCAGGGGCCACCCGGTCCAAGTGGAACAGTTGGAAGTCCAGGACCGCCTGGACAGGTGAACAAAGAATGTTATAATTATTTTTATAAAAATATAGCAAGGATTGCCTGGCCAATTTGGCGAAGATGGAAATCCAGGACCGCCCGGATGTAACTCATTCTTACCTATTAAATTAATTTAAATTCAGTAACTGGAGATATTGGACCAACAGGTAATAGATTTGAAATGATCATAAAAGCTAAAATAAACTAAACTTTTAAACAAAAATAGGACCTCCAGGGAATGATGGTCCGAGAGGGCCTCCAGGTATGCTTCATTGAAAAATGTTAAACTTAAGTTTTTCCAGGTCTGCCTGGTCAAAGAGGACAAGGTCAGATTTAATATATGTATAACAATATTTATTAGTATCTATTTAAGGTCTTCCCGGGCCAAAAGGCCTTCCTGGACCTCCAGGGGAGCAAGGGCCACAAGGACATCCAGGTTTTTTATTTTTGATTATTTCTTAAATAATTTCTAAAAGGGCCGCCGTCAGCAGTAATCGGACAAATGGGACCGCCAGGAATGATGGGACCTCAAGGGATTGCTGGAATTCCAGGTAAAATAAGAAAAATTTTTGTCAGATTTACAGATACAACTTTACAGCTCCCCCTGGAATTCAAGGACCTCCAGGATTTCCTGGCACTCCAAGCAGAGATTCTTCATAGTAAATTTAAAATTAACTATATGGGAATTAAATTTATTTATTTTTAACAGCTGTCCTTGTCCTCCAAGAAACCAGCCACCTTTAAATTATGCCAATGTTCTTAATCAGCCTGGACAAGTTCCTCCTTACAAAAAGAAACTTTACTGAAATAATTAATATTTGGGGGAAATGTTTAATTAAATATTTTATATTATTAAATTCTATACATAATAATCAATTTGATTATCAAAGAAATTTCTGATTTTCAAATTTAATTTAAAAAAAGTGATTAGAATATTTAAATGCTTAATATTTCGAGTAAATTAATTTAAAAAATTCATTTTCTTTTTACTAAAAATCAAGATTTTTTTCTGTCCACCCTCCGGGCGTTCGACGAATCAAGAAACGTCGAAGCTCATCATAATTGAAAATATAGATAGCAAAAGGAATAGCTGGAAACCACCATTCAAATCTTTAATTTTTATTTTTTAATTAGAAAATATTTATTAAAAGGGGAAGGTTTTTCTAGTCAAGGACTTATTTAATGTGAATTCTATCCACATTATTTTTACTTTAAATATTTATTTTTAACAAAAAAAATTATTTTATATTTACTTAAGTCCATGCATTTTCAGTCCTACGTTTACAACAGGTGTATAAGCCAAAAACATAGCAATTCCAGTTTCAATTAATATAGCTGCATTCATTGGCCAATTATCCATTCCTTGTTGGACAAGTCTAAAAAAATAATCATTATTTCAATTAATTTCCATATTTACGAATTTCTTCTAGTTTTGACAATTAATATATCTGCCCATTGAGTAACTACAATAGCAATAAAAAATGCTGTTTGACATGTTTCCTCCAAAATTTTTCGATTCGTATATGTCTAGATTAAAATAAAAATATATTTTTGAATATATTTTTAAATAACCCATTCTTGGTTATAACTGTCTTCCAAATTGTTAATTAATCGGTTATCCCAACTTGAACGAAGATAAAGTACTGAAATTTATTTATTGTTTACTTAAAAACATTTGTATATTTATTAGTGACCGGTAAAATTAATTTTTCCGGACCCGGATTCCGGATTTGCAACTCGAGCCGGACCGGATCCGGCAGGATTTCTTCGGATTAATCCGGTTCGGTTTTAATCCTGAAATTGCGAAAAAAACCGGATTTGGGACCCGGACTCCGGAAAAATCCGCCCGGATCCGGTTCAGCCTCGGTCACTAATATTTATAGCTCCTTGATTATCTTAATTATTTGTCAAGCTTATTATCAAACTTACATCTCTGTGGAAAAAATCCATTTTCTGCCATAATCCAAAAATAAGCAAAAAATCCAGCCATTGCTTTAAATATTTTTATTAATTACAAAAAATTTTTTTCTAAATTTTCAAACCCTGAATAAATCCAATTTGAAAATATGCCATAGCAAAAATACGTAAATTAACTAATTTGTCTGTCCTCTTTCTGGGAGCTCTTGACATAATATCAGATTCTGCTTTTTCATAACCAATGGTTATTGAGGGGATCTTTTAATTATTAAAATATATTTTGAAGAAAATAAAAATTAACAATATCAGTTCCAATATCAATACAAAGCATTGTTATAGTTCCCAAAGGAAGGGGAACTCCAATAATTATAAAAGCAAGGAAAGGCACCAATTCTGCCAAATTTTTTCGAAGAACATAAGAAACTGTCTTTTTAAAGTTATCAAAAATACGTCTTCCTTCCTCAACACCGACAATTATTGAACTTAAAATGAATAATTGTTTTTAAAGGAATTAACAAAAAATAATTCCTTTGCTTAAATTAGCAAAGGAAATCTGGCAGACATTTAAATACCGAAACGAGTAATCTCGAAAAATCGGGACATTACTTATGTGAGGAGTCGGGGAAAACGTGTTAAAGTATAGATAAAAAAAGATATATTGTTATGAAACTCACGCAAAATTATCGTCTAATAATATCATATCAGCCACTTGTTTGCTTACATCAGATCCAGCTATGCCTGTTTAAATAAATGAAACAATTTTTATTATTACGAGTTATCTCGCTTGGGCGAGGGGGATTATTAAAGAAATAATCTAAGAGGAGAAATACACCTAATTAAAAGATAAATTTAAAATACCCATTGCAATTCCAATGTCTGCTTTCTTTAATGCGGGAGTATCGTTTACACCATCTCCCGTTACCTAAAATAATTTTGAAATATAAGTTTTATATTTAATCTTCAAAAAAAAACTCACAGCCACAATATGCCCTAAAGTTTGAAAAGCTTCAACAATCTGAAGTTTTTGTTGAGGTGAAGTTCTAGCAAAAACTATTTCTTTGTGATGACAAATTAATTCTACAAGTTGTTCGTTAGTCATTAATCTCAATTCACTGCCATGAACAACTATAGCTGAGGCTTCTCTGAATTTTTGAAAAATTTTAGCCGCTTGGAAATCAAGAAGGTGCCGAAAATCGGAACTATGGAAATCGGAAATAGCTCAAAAGTCGGAAATCAGAAATCAGCCTACATTTTCGGAAATCGGAAGAAAAAACGTCGGAATTCCGATCGACCCCTGACTTGGAATATAATTATAATGAAAGTTATAAAGTTAAATAATCTACTTTGGGTCCACTTCACTAATATCGCATCCCTTCCTTATAGCGACATCTTCAATTGTTTCAGTATTTTCAGTCAAAATGCCAACAGCTCGAGCAATTGCCTTTGCAGTGATCGGATGATCCCCTGTAACCATAACAACATTTAATCCAGCTGATCTAGCCTTTGCTACAGCTGAAGGGACAGATGCTCTTGGAGGGTCGATAAGAGAGAAGAGGCCAATGAAACGGAGACCTTTAGTTGGGAAATTTACCTGAAATTATCTTTAATAATGAGAAAAATTTATTCTTAATTGCCTCGTCAATATTAAATTCAAATCCTCTAGGAAAATCCTTTTTATTCAATCGAAGGTCAGCGAATCCCAAAACACGTTCTCCTTTTCCTCCCAGCTCAAGATAGGCGCGATTAAAGTCCTCACGAACGCTCTCATCGAATGGAATCTTAAATTAAAAGTTTTTTTAATTAAAAAATTTTTTAGTAAAGATTCGGATATAAGAATTTCCGTCTTACAATTTTAAAGATCTCATTTACTTAAGGGATCTCTATGGCTGTATTTCTTATCTATTACCTCTTCATTTCCAACAAGCATTGTCGAACATATTTCTACTATTCTCTCAGGAGCTCCCTTTAAATAATTAATTATTAAAATACTTAATTATCAATTAATTATGACCTTCATAACTAATAAATATTCATCATTATCATCATCTGTTTCGTGTATACTCAGTTGAAATTTGTTTGTGGAATTAAAGGGAATTTCTACCAATTTTGGATTTCTTTTTCGAATACTTGCAACATCGCCTTGATAAAAAAATTAATCTTAAGATATTTTGTGAAATAAAGAAAAACCAATCATTAATTCGGTAAATCGAAGAAGCGCTTGTTCTTTAAAAGTTTAAATTTAATTATAGTTTATTCAAATAATATCTGTAATAATGTCTTTATTCCTTCTTTTCTAGTTAGCTTGTTACTATTAAATCAGTTTTGTTTGAGACCTAAATTGGGTCTGGGATCGTGTGATAACTTAATCGAAGTACTTTGAATTAAAATTCAAAAGACCAAAGGTACTGATAAGACCAAAAGTACTGATAAGTCAGAAGTGATTCCGAATCAAGATCCCGAACCCTAAAATCAACTAATTATACGAAGTCCAAAAGTAAGCTCAATATTAAATAATATGAAAAGGTGAACAACAGACATAATTTCCAATTTACCTGAAGGGTCACCAGTACACTCCCTACGAAGTACAGGAATGTGTGTCTAAAAATGTTTAAATTTAAATATTATCTATTTATTTACTTGAGCTAATTTAAATTCAGCTCTATTACATAAAATTGCAATTCGCATTAAAGCAAAGAAAGCTTCGTCTCTTGGACCAGTTGCTGTGAACATATTAATTGTTCTCTTAAAGTGATTTAATAATAATTAAGGATTAAATAATAATTTTATTAAATAAAATTATTTGCCTGTGTATGTGTTGAAGGAATTGACTGTGCGTGACAAACTTCGCTATTACGGTCATACCTAATAATCACAAATTTTTAAATTTAATTTTTCAAATAATTTATACCAAAGATGGGAAACAGTCATTCTATTTTGTGTTAAAGTTCCAGTCTATAAAATTATTTATTTTTAATTTTATCTATTTAAAATTGCCTTGTCTGAACATATTGTTGTTGTAGAACCTAATGTTTCTACAGCTTCCAAATTTTTAACAAGACAATTTCGGCTAGCCATACGTTTAGCTGTGAGTGAAAGACAAACTGTTACTGTTGCCAAAATACCTTTAAAATTAGAATTCTTTTTCTGTATTTTCTAGCTTTTGGTTAAAAAATTTTTAATTTTACAAAATTATTTTTAGAGACTTTAAACTATCCATGATATAAGTCTATCTAGCTATATTCAATATTTCTTCGATATTCTATTCCAAAAAATCCCAAGATCAACTCGAAATTAAATCAAAACTCATCTATTATTTTATCAAAAAAATTTCCCTACCTTCAGGTACATTTGCTACAATTATTCCTGAAAAATAAAAATTACACAAAATATTTTACAAAAAATTCAGCATTTACCAATAAGGAAAATAACTCCTTGAATCCAGGTATATCCAAGGAAAATAGCTATTGCAGAGAATATAATACCAATTGTAACAGCAATAATTGTTACAAGTTGAATAAAATGTTCAATTTCTTTGAAAAAAAATTTTAGAATAATTTTAAAAAAAATTTCTTCAAAATTTCATTTACCAATAGCAATAGGTGTTTTTCCTTGTTCGAGATGGGCAGCTAAATGCGCAATTTTTCCAACAGCCTTAAAATTAAATTTTTCTGTATTTCAATTATGTCTTTTTTACAGTTTTGCTTCCCGTTCCAATTACAATTCCTTTAGCCGATCCTTCCACCGCAAAGGTAGAATAGAAGGCAAGATTTTTAGTTTCCATTGGATCATCTTTTGTACATTCTGCTGTACGACTAAGTGGTTCACATTCTCCAGTTAAAGAAGAATTGTCTACTTTAAAGCCAGACGAGGATAATATTCCTAAATAAATTTATTTTTTTTATTAATTTCCTAGAGATTGGACAATCTCTAAATCCGGATTTTTAAAAGAAATTTCGTTTCGTATCTATCAATTTCAAAATTATTTACGTAAATCAGCAGGTATTCTGTCGCCTCCACGAACTTCAACAATATCTCCTAAAACCAAATTTTCTGTAGGCAATTCAACTTTCTTTCCATCTCGGTATGTATTGGCAAATGTAGGCACCATTGTATTAAAGGATTCTAAAATTTTAGAGCTTTTTCTTTCTTGGAAATATTGGAATAGTCCAGTGACAACTACTACAAATACAAGAACTCCAGCCAGATAAACCTAAAGAGAAAATATTTTTTAAATAAAAATTTATTTTCTTATTAATTTTTTTAATAGTATCGTGTAGAATTCTTTAGTATTTTTAACTTACATAATCATAAGATGGAACAGGATCTGTAATATAACCAACAACAAAAGCAACAGCACAAAGAAAAGCCCCAACCCATAAAAGCTTAGCAAATCCGCTCAATTGTGTTTTTAATATTTTTAACCATTCTGGTATTGTTTTGGGAGGATCCAAAGCATTTGGCCCGTATTGTTTAATTAATTCTTCTGCCCTAGCTGTTGTTAGACCCTTTAAATAATAGACCCTTAATAATGTTAGACCCTTAATAATAAAGAAATATTTAGGGAAAAATATGCAAATATTTTTTTGGTATCATCTCAATCAGTTTGTCGGAGGTGTTGGATATCGGAAATTGGAATTCTGACAGACCTCTAATACATATTAATGCCCACTATAAAATATTTTACAACGACCGGACCGCTTTCAAAAGAACAAAAATAAAATAATCAATTTAATTATTAAACTTAATTTATTTTTCAATTCAAAAATTGCTTACATTCTCTAAATCCGTTCCATATTTTTGTGTCAACTCTTCAGGTGACAATTTATGATCAACCTTTTAATAAATTTAAATATTTACCTAATTTAAAAATATAAACTAACAATATTAACTTCTGCATGAGATGCCTCCTTCTTCGCGTCTTTGGAAGAAGTTGCGGCATTAGGCGAGGAGGATGAATCGGGTATATTTAATTTACCTTTAAAGGGTCTGATTTTGACCATTTTTAAATTTTTTTTAAATTGGTCAAAATAAAATTCTCTTTAAAAATTAAACAAAACCGTTAAAAAATAAAGATTTAACAGTTAGATAAAAGGGAAAAAATAAGTATAAGATATTATTTGATAAAAACTCAAAGGGATATAAATAAAGGTAATCTTTTCGTTGATTGAAAATAAACTGGGACCAAATATTATTTAAATTTGATGTCATTTACAATATTATATCAAAAAAAAGTTAAATATTTAATGATATATTTAAATACATAAATTGCCTATAAACAACAATAGAAGGTTTAAAAAAAATTTTTTTAACAAAAGAGGAATTAAAATAAAATCCCTAAAAAAGAGGAGTACTTTAAAATATATATTTAATATTTTGCTATATTTTAATTGTCGGAAGGAATTAATTTTGAAAAAAAATATTTTTAAAAAAAGTTTATTTATTTTAAAAAAATATTAGGGAAAAATTTAATTATAAAAAATTAATTATTTAAATTAATTGTTTTCGACATATGAACAATTTAACTTTAAAAAATTGTTTATTCATTATACATATACTTTTTATTTAAAGTATACTATCAATAAATCAGATAAATAAAATATTCCCAGATTATTTGGAATTAAAAACGAAATATTAAAATATGTATACCTAAACGTTAGTTAGGAATTAAACAGAAAAATATAATAATTTTGTTTTAATTAAAAAATTATTAATTAAGTATTAGGTATAATCTCAGATTTTTAATTTTTTAAATAAATTTAGAAAATTATTTAAAAAGGACGGAAATATAGTTCTGTATTTTAAAAGGACAGAACTATATTTTTAAAAACAAAGACATTAAAAAGTCTGTTTATATTTACATATCCGGTGTGTGTTAAAACTGTTATCAAAAAAGAAAAGCGAACTGGCACACACCTGAAAGATATTTCTCTTTCATAATTCAGAACTATTTTTAAAAACAAAATACCTCTAAAAAATTTTTTAATTTAAAATTAATTTAATTTTTTGTGTGAAATACATATTTAAATTTTAAATAAAAAATACTAATTTTATTTTTACTGTTTCTACCTAAAATTTGTTTAAAAAATGTAAACTTAAAAGGAAAATTTTTAGAAAAAATATTAAATGCCTATTAATAAATCAAATAATTTAAGAAATTGTTGAGTATATTTATATATAAATATTTCCGAAATAAAAATATTTTTTATGATCAACATCATTAAATTAAAGTTTAAAAAAATATACGAATCAATGAAAAATAAATTAAAAATAAAAATGATATCATTTAAATAATTAGGTATTTTTGGTTTGTGGTTTTATTACAAAAGAAAAATTGTTGCAAAAATAAACTTCTCGAAGATACAATTTACTATGTATAGGATTACCATGTCTACTTGCAATTATTCTCAGATCGCCTGGCATGCTGTTATGGCAAAAATTTTTCATTAGATTTTTTAAAATCACGGCCAATTTCAACTATTTAGAGGCATCACTAATTAAAAATAATGAAAATATTTTCTAAAAAAATTTTCGAACAATTAACAAGAAAAATTAATTGGGGAAAAAAGAATGACGATGAGCATAAAATTGTAATCAATCCCTTCCCTTCCCCTTCCTAGTTCAAATGAAAATTGCGTTGGAACGGCCATAAAAGGAGTTAAAATAGTTGCGCATGAATAATGAATGAGTAAAAAGGAATTTGCGAAGAATTTATAGAAAAATAATAAAAAATTAAATGAGAATTTTTATTTTTTTTATTTAAATTTATTTTTAATTTAGATTTTGTTTTTAAATTGTTAAGGAAGTAAAATTTAAAATGTTTTTTATTTTAACTTCTAGTGAGAGAGTCAATGAAATTCTAATTTGTAAAATTATGTCTGCCGAGGAGAATTCGATGAACAGCAGACCCGAGTATGATGTTTTCATTTTTTTAAAGTTTGAAACCGGTAACACTTTTGTAGACGAATCAAGAGAATTCATAAGTAAATTTGACATTTTTATCATCGAAGCTTAATACAATTATCAAACTTTGCTCTTTAATTCGTATCTAAATTTAAAACTATTTATGATTTTATAAAATTAACCATATTACTTCACACTTAGTTACAAAATTCTATGATTGTTAAAATTTTCTATTTATGCAATAATTTTTAAAATTATTAAATTGTTGTGTCATAACATTGAAATATTTTTAATGAAAAAATATTTAATGAAAAAATATTTCAAATTAAACAATCAACAGCCGTTTTATTCATTATTAGTTCTTTGCACTATCCCCCTATTTTCTCTTTAACAAACAAAAAATTTAAAGAGACAAATGTGAACATCAGAAAAAAAATAAAGGATAAAAATAACCAGATGTGTTGCTCTTTAAACGAACGGTGTTCATCTTTTTAAAAAATTCTTTTTTGATCGATCAAGGAATAAATTCGAAAGCTTTTCAGGGGGGGGGGGTGTGCAGCTGTTCATTTTTTATTGCGTAATAAACACAATTCTTTATTGCTTTCTTTTTTTTAATTTAAAAACTTTATGGAATTTGAGTAGTCATTTTTATATTCATATGACCTTAGCTTCCTTCATTCTTTATTTAAGGAGGTAAAGTCAATTTAAAAAATTTGATATTTTTATATTTTTGTTTATTTAAATATGTAGAACTTATTTAATTCATTATTTTTTATACACACAAGAATCCTTTTGAGGAGTTTTTCATTCTACAGAAGTTTTTCTCTCAAATTCCTCTTTGGGGATATATCAAAATCACAACCTCTAATACCTTTTCATTTAATAGATTTTAAGCTAAATTTAATCAAAAAATGCCTTCTCCAATCGTTCACAACGCCCAAATTCGACACGGACCATTAAAGCCCCCAAATTTAAGTCGCAGTGCAACTGCTACAGATACAAGTCTTGGTCAAGTATTTCTCGAATGTATAGCTAGCCATGCTGATCCATCCCTGGCAAAATGGTTCTTTGGGGACAGAGAAATAACTAACGAGACTGGAGTATATAATTTTAGTCAGGAACATCAAGATGGACAGAGAGACAAATTTAGCTGTGAAATTAAAGTAAATTTTATTTTAATTACCTAATGATTTTCTAAAATAGAATTTCCCCAAAAAAGTAGTGCTTCTCTAAAGTAAATATTATCTCTGATATTTATGATGTAGCATATATATAAATTTTGAGAATAACTTTGAGGTGTTTTGTAAAAGAGACACTGAAATTTACAGATGACACCTCATATTCTATAATTTTTTCGAAATTTTATCATCCTATTTTAAGGACGTCTCTCAGCCTATTAGATAAATTAAAAATGTTCTTAGCATGCAATTCTTGCTATTTTCTGAGATGGGCTCGGTCGTTTTACTAAATATATGCATATTTTATATAAATTTCCATTAAATTCAGGATTTGGCCAAATCAATGACTGGAGTATATAAACTACAATTAACAAGTTTTGATGGGCGTCAAAACACAGCTGTTTTTAATTTACCTTTGGTTGGCATTGAAAAATGCAATTGGACAAATGTGACAGCCTCGTTAACTATGGATCCATTAGAAGTTCGTCAAATACCCCCAACACCCCTTGTCCCTATTAAATGAAAATAAATATTTTTTTATAAAATCCTAAAAGAGCTGCTTTTTATTCAGAAATAATTTTCTGGATAAATAAAAATAAATTTGTTTTATTTTTTAATAAAAGCATCTCTTATAAATATGTATCAAAATTTCAATTTTTTACTTGTATTTTCATAAAATTTATGACTTTAAATGATAAAGAATATATTTTTGTGGTGATTTCTTTTAATATATTTCATATCGAAAAAATACAAGGAAATATTTCTGTTATCGAAAATATTTTAGGATCGGAACTATTTCCGGTTTAAGAGTTTAGTTATGTGAATTGTTTTTAGTAAAAAAATTCGCTTTGGACTAAAATAAAATTTACCAAGTTATGAAAATTATTTAAACCTTTTCCGATGCCGTTTTTAACTCTGTGGTTAAAATATAATTACAATTATTTAAAATTTATTGAATTGAAAAATATTATTCTTTTTACGTTATTCTTTCTACGTATTAAAAAACCATTCGCGCAATGTATTTAAACCTCTTAATTTCAAATAAAAATTAATATATTTTTTATTCGATCGATTGATTACATTTTAAATAAACTAATAAAATTATGTGATATTTTCCTGATTTAATTTTTAATTACATTATTGCCTAAAATCAACCAAATTAAATTATAATATTAATTAATTAAATTTAATTAATTTCCATTATTTTTCTAAAAATCCTTAAATTTATTGAATCTTAATTTTTAATTTATTCCTTTTATTACCTAATTATGTTTTTTACATTTGTGAAAAATATAAAATTAAGAAAAGAAGTAAGAAAGAAAATATTCTCTTATAAAAATTTCAAAAAAAATTATTTTTTTGTAGATCAGCACATTAATTACATCATTTATTGTTTTAATTTGTTTATATATAACTTTTGTTTCTGTTTTACACAGACAATTTTTATTTCCGTTTGTTCCGGAAAATAATAAAATAAACAAAACAGAAGTAAATAAACAACAAATAAATAATTTTGAAGAAATTAAAAATAATTTTCTTTCAATTTTCTTTTTATGGGCATCAGCATTAATTGCTGGAAGGGTTGCATATTATGCAAAAATGCCCCCTCTTTTAGGCAATTAAAATTTATTTAAAGTAAATTTTAAGTTCTAAATCATTTAAGGAATGCTTCTTGTAGGCATTCTATTTGCCAATTTTCCATGGTTATATATTCGAGAAAGTTGGGGGACTTTTCTTAGAAAGACTGCTTTTTTGCTAATTCTTCTTCGATGCGGTTTTGGACTTAATCCAAAAATATTACGTAAAGAAATGGTCAGAAAAAAAAGGAAAATATTTTTTAAAATTAAATAAAATTATTAAAGTTATTCTGTTCAAGTCTTGGACTTTTAACAACAATTATTGAAGTTATTTCAATTATAATTATTGCACATTTTTATTTTAATGTTGATATTTCTGTGTCTATTTTATTTGGGTATTTCTTCAAAAATTAATAAAATAAAAAATATTTTTTGTTAAAGTTTTGTGTTAGCTTCCACTTCCCCAGCAGTAACAGTCCCAACAATGATTGAATTACAACATAAATATAAAGAGACGTCTAAAGGAATTCCAACAATTGTTTTGGCTAGGTAATTAATGAAAATAAATATATTTTTATTTAAATATATTTAGTGCTTTAATTGATAATATTTTTTGTATTTCTGCCTTTTCTATAGCTTATGAAATTGTTTCTTCATCAAAAGGTTTAATTTTTAAAACAAAACGGGAGGGGAGGGAGAATAATTCATACTTATTTTGTTCTTTTAATTATTATATTTAATTAAATTTTTAAACTATTTAAGAAGAAATTTTAACTAAACTTATTTTTGTACCAATACAAATTTTGGTTGGTCTTTTACTTGGAGCATTTTTTGGTAAATAACTTTTATGACTTCTCAATAAAAGTGTGATAAATTTAAAGTAAATGGTTGAATATTCTATGGGGGGTTGGTAAATAACCTTATAAAATAAGTAGACTAAAAACCACAAACATTTCCGTTTTAATTATTATACAAATCCAATTATGTATTTATTTAAATATTTCCTTCAAATATTTAGGTATATTAATTCGAAATATTCCAATATCAAATTTTGACGACAAAATTTCACCTAAATTACATTTTTCCCGTACAATTCTTCTTTGCTTTATTTCAACTGCTTTGTTTTTTGGATTGGAAGCTTTACATTTATCAGTCAGCGGGCCCATAGCTGTTTTGTTGACAGCTTTTTTGGCAGCTTTTGGTTGGGCTAATGACAATCCAAAAAGGGTTTTTATTTTACTTTAATTCTGACACATAATTTTATTTTCCTAAACTCAGGCTCGACCCGAAGCTAAAGCTCTTTGTTTAATTTGGGATTTAATTTTTCTTCCACTTTTATTTTCTCTTATTGGCTTACTTTTCAATTTCTCAAATGTTTGTTTATTTTACTATAAATTTTAATTTAAATTTTCTTTTCAAGTTTACTTTTATTATTTTTTGTAATTCAATTATTTTTATTTTAATTGCTTTAATTATTAGAATTTTTGTTGTATTTTTAATTACAAATTTTAATCAAAATTTAAATTTAAAAGAAAAATTATTTTTTTCGTCCGTCTTTATTCCTAAAGCAACTGTTCAGGTATTTTTATTTGGATTGGGAATTTTTGAATTTAAAAATTAAAAATATTTTTAGGCCGCATTAGCTCCAATTCTCTTCGATTTCAGCAATTTACTAGCTAAAAATAATTCTCAATTTATTTTACAAACATGTATTTTAAGTATTTTATTTACTGCCCCAACAGGACAATTATTAATTAAAATACTTGGAGAATATTTATTGTCAAATGATGGAGAAAATAAAAGAAGTTCAATGACAGCAACGGTTACCCCAACAATTGAATCTAAACAAATTTAAAAAGGAAACAATTTAGGTATCTGGTTATAGTCGTAAATGAACCAAAAAATATCGTCATCCAATCTTTTGCAGGACCCGTGACTACCATTCCAAATCTAGAATGTACATAAATACATATCAGGAATTGAGCCGGCAAAAAAACGGGAAATCGTTATCCCGACCCAAAAAAATGTCGGGAATTCCCGATTTTCGGGAATTAGGACGTCTCGTTCCCTGGCACATATATGTATTAATGAATATTCTTATTCTAATTATTTTATTTTTATAAATACAAAAATAAAAAATCATAAATTAATTTAAATTGTTAGAATATATACTACAATTAAATATAGAGAAAATTTTTTTAAAGTAATGTAGTAAATAATTAAAAATACTAAAATTAGCTTAGGGACAATAATTTAATTGAATCATAACGAAAATATCATAAATGAAATTTAGAATAAAATTAACGATATTTCTTTCACTCTTCATTAGATTTAACATAAAAAAATAATTAATTAATCAGTTTGACTTTTGTATTATTTTGTGATTTTAGACATGAATAAGAAATTAAATAAGATTTCAGAAATTTATTAAATATTTAAGGATATGTAATTATTAAAACAAAATTAATATGTATATTTAATAAATCCAAAAATTATTTAATTTATTGGAGTAAGCATAGTTTTGTTATTATTGTTAATATTCATTGGTGTGCATTTTTTAGCATCATTAGGTGTTATGGCAACAGCTGTTATTGACGTTACAGAAAATTTTTTCAGATTAAAAACTTTTTGAAAAGCTCGTCTATAGTCTTGACTAAAAAATTTTTTAAATAATTTAAAAGATTTTTGTAAAATGAAAAACTTGAAAATAAAAAGTATTGGAGCATTAGAGGCCATAACTAAATTTGTTAAGCAGCTCAAAGCGTGAATTAAAATAGTCCTTTGAGTAACATCTAATTCAAAACGAGGAACTGTCAATCTGACAATGCTATTCATTGAAAATCCAATCAAATTAAGTATCATTAAGACAGATAAAGTTTTCAGAATACGAAAAGCCCAGGCATTTGCTAAAAAATGAGAGAAATTTGTGTACATATTTTGTATAATTAGCTATAATTTTGTGCTATAATTGGAGCTATAATTTTGTGGAGGAGTGTGATAGAACGCAATAAGTACCTAGATATAAACGACATTAAAAAAAGCTCATTGAGTGTGACTATCTCAAAACCAGATAAATAATTCTTATAAATAAACCCATAGCCTTGTACAAGCCTTAAAATCTTTGGGTAAAAAAATTTAATTTCAAATTGTAAGGGAATATGTATCTGGTTGAGTATTCTTCCCCATTTTGTTTGATAAAAAAATTAATTTAAAAAATATTTAAGAATTTTCGTTTCCTTTTTATTTACCTTGATTTTGGTTATTTTTTGCCGTCCACCTCAACATTATCCAAATAATTACATAATTAATAAATGTAAGAACATAAAAGAAAGAAAACATTACATAAACTAAATCACTTGCCCAACCCCAAAAACATTCATGTGGGGCACAAATTACTTTACTTAAAAATTATTAAAAGTTTTATATTTATTTTTTTATTAAAACTTTGTTTCCGAAACTGTAAAAATTATTTGATAACCACTATAAGCAATAAATGAATGACAAAAAATTATACAAAATAACATTGATATTAAATATCCCTTTTTTGATTTTTCTCTTTTAGTATACCTTTAAATTAAAATTAAAAAAATATATTTTTTATTTTCAAATTTTATATAAAAACAAAGCAATAAAATTATTTATTTTATTGTTAGATTTGTCTAAATCTTTTTAGGAAGTAGACAATACGTCTAAATTTAGAATTCGTTTGTTTCTGCCACAATTTAAATATTTTTTAAATTTTTTATTTAAATTATTCTTTTGTTTTTAAAATAAATATAGCAACAAAAAATAATTAAATAATAATTTGATTTTTTTTTTTGCAAAAATAAATAAAATGTAGTTGAAAGATTAACATAATTTTTGAGAATTAATTAACGGAAATTTTAAGAGCTTTAAAATTTTTTAACTAAAAGATCAAACACCGACTACAATACTTTCTCAAAAATTAAGTCAGATAAGGAATCTTGGAAGTAGCTAAAACCCAAGGAAAAGTGGTTGGAGGGGAGGGAGGGGGGGGGGTGTGGGTAGAACACGTAAACTGACCACATAGGGAAGAGTACACTAAGCAGTCTGTCAAATGAGATTAAGTAAGTAGAAATAAATGAAGCTGTAAATCCAAATAAAAATGCTGGAAGCATTTCAAGACAACAAGGACGAATTTGAAGGAATTGGTTTCCAGCATTAAATATAACAGTAATTGATAACCAACTATTTATTTGATAAAAAGAAGAAACCAAACAATCAAAAGCAATTAATAAATGACAGGAGGATTTTAAAGTTCTATAAAAAACTTTTTTTAATTACTTTAGTTTTAAATGTTTGGTGAACAATAAGAAATTAATTTAAAGTTTTCTACTACTATAATTAAATAGCCTATTTAATAGTTCAGAAAAAAAGATACCGTATATCCTTTAATAATTACCCTGGGTATTATTGTTTCGACCTCCCGCTGGAGAGGGTAATTAATAGAAATGGAGTAATTATTTGAGTAAGGGCAATTAATACAGGTTATACGGTATACGTGTTTTTCCTAAAATAATGGCAGTCATTCCAATTTTGTCGAGACGTAACAATCATTTTATTAGGAAATAATACGATATTTCCTACATATTAATACTTCAACACCTTATAGTACGAAAATTTCATTAAATCTTTCAAAATTTTAAGATTTACATTCCCAACCCTCACCCTTTATTTATCCCTAATTTATTCCAAAGTTAATTTTACAAACTTTGTTTTTGCTGTAACAAAAACTAAAGAAGCATTAAATAATATACCAAATGTTGAAAAAACAATTCTTATAACATTTAAAATAACCAAATCAATTGGAAGGCCATTGTCCCCATAAATATCAAAAAGCTTTAAATTTAATTTTCAAAAAAAATTTTTTTAAAGAAAAAACCGTCTTTTTGTTTCCACTCATTATTCTTTAATTAATAGAATTTTAAAAAAATTTTTTAATTTATCACAATTAAATTAAAATAAAAACAAAAATAAAATATATTATTTTTTTACTCCGCCTTTATTTTAATTAACAAAAATGACAAAAAAATCTCAAATTGTAGTATTTATTTTGGTTAATAAAATCTTTTGTAAATGCCTAAATAAGAAATCCTTTGCAATGGTCACGCATATAAGAAATACTACAATAATGTTAACAAATTTATTTTTGTTACCTTTGTTTGAAATATTATGTTTTGTTTGGTATGAAAATTAGAATATATTAATGATTACATTTTTATAAACTATATATGTAGTTTGTTTATTTATTTAGAAAACTAAAGAAATTATTTTTTGAATCAACATTTATCGCCTACAGCGAACCTTAATACACTGGGGTGTAAAAGTTTATCTACACACACAGAAAATTTTTTAGAACAATACATATATCTCGGGGAAAATTCATTTTATGAATTTTTTCCACTATTATTAAGCAGAGTGTATGTTGAATTTTAACTTTTAGTTAAATTGAACAAAATTTCAAACTATCTTAACCTTTTTCCTATTAATTGAGAATGAGAAAAATTGTTTTTTTCATTAACATTTATCAAACGATTTTAATCAACAAATTTAACATAAAAACGTTCCGAAACATCAAAAACTCCTGTTTATCTTTTCCTTTTCATTTAAGTTCCTTAACCTGAAGCCCTGGAGGCAACGATTGTTTCAGCTTGTCCGCTTTGTCTTTGTCTGCCACCACAAGAGTGTAGAGGAAACGGCTACAGCGAACCTACAAAATATTTTTTAATATTCTTTTTATATTTAGAATAAAATTAAAAGAAGCCCAGATGGGTAGGGGTCTTTGTCAAACTGCGGAATAATCAAACAACTTTGATCTCGATCCATCACTTTAATTTTGATGCTGATCAGATTTTTAAGCTTAAAACAGGAAAAAAACAAAAACACGAAAAGTTAAGGATCTCTGAAAAATGCCCTGATATTGGACGGGAGGAATGTTTGATAAAAACAAACGAAAAAATTTAAAGTTTCCTGAACATATCAAAAATTTCTTGACTCGCGTGAAGAAACTGAAAGTAATGCCCAGCTTTGTTCCACACTCTTTACAGTTCCTTTCTTTGTTGTGTCCAATCAATCAAAAAGAGAAAAAATTAAAAAGGATTTAAAAAATCTTTTCAAGAAAGTGTCAAATAGATAGGCTTTTTGCTCTACAGATCCTTATAGAGCTAAGGGGGAAAACGTTATTTCCTAACTGGTTAATATCGGCGGATGAAACCAAAAAAGGATCAAGATCAAGGCTTTTTGAAATTGCCAATTATCAATGGTGTTATTGCAAGCTTACTCATGTCAGTAATTGAAAAAAATAACCTTGAATTTGGTATTCTCCCTATTCTTCTTAATCTTGACAGACTTTGCATCCTTTCGACGAGCAGTCAATAAAAACTCCTTAAAAATTAAATTTTAAAATTAAAGAAATAAAATAAGAAACCTTAATATCGGTAATCTCACGAGGCATTTCAACTTAAGTTTTTAATTTAACTTAAATATTTGATCAATCTAAAAGAAAAAAAGAAAAAAAACTTGTAAAAAACTAGAAAAAAAAACAAATATAAACAAAGTTAATGAAAAACTTGAGCAAAAACCGGACGGAAAGGATCATTGAGTCCCTCTGGTTGAGTCCCGGAGTCATATTTTGGGCCATAACTTTTTCAATTCTTAACCGATTTAGATAATTAATATATCTATCGAAAGCTCTTGCTATAAGGATTATTTTATCTAAGAGGAGTGATTTGATCAGAACAACAAACATAAAGTTACAGCCCAATAAAGATCAAAAATGACAATTACGCGCACTTATCTAGATGTAACTTTTTGTAGGATGGTCTGATCAAATCAATCAAGTTGGTGAAAATAATCCTCCATTCAGGGCTTTCAAATGATAAAAGATTTATTCGAATTGGTTGAAACCCCAAAAAGTTATGGCCCAAAATTAGAGCTAGGAATTTTGAAAAAACCGGGACCGGGTCCGGGAAACGGGTTCTGAAAAATGGACCGGGCGGGTTCCGGGTCCGGGAAACCGGGAAAACCCGTTCCCGGTTTCAACCCGGTCTAGAAATGGGCGGGTCCCGGCCGGGAAACCGGGAAATTTTTAATTTGTTGAAATGATGGTCTATTTTCCACATAGGGCTGTATTTTTCAACTATCCTCCTATACTTATTCTAAATAACCTCTATTAATGTAAGTAAATGTCATTCACGATTATTTAACTAAAGATCAAATTCCCTTGTCTGAAACATAAGTTCGTCGGCAACTGGGGATTAATGGAAAATTCAAAGACATACTACATATGTTTAATTTCTTTCTATAGCCCTTATATGGTGGCCGAGAGGTTGTTATGTTAGTTCCTTCAGAATGTTAGTTCCCCTTAATTCCTTCAGAATCCTTAGATATCCCTTTTGATTCTTTTTAATCATATTAAATTAAAAATTCTTTGCGCCGTAGGCGAAAATTTACAGAATTTTGTAAGGCCTTAGGAGAAAAAAATTCAATTGTCAGAGCTGCCGGCGAAAAAATTTTTCGAAGTTTAGATGGTAATGAAGCCAGAACTCTTAAATCTTCTGCGCCACAGGCGAAAATTTTGGAAAATTCATGAAATAATTAAAATTTCTTATATTTTTTCAAGTTTGAAACATCAAAAAAAGTTTGCAAATTTAAAATCAAAATCAAAGTTTAAAATTATTTATCTTTGAAAAGAAAATTTTCTCAGCCACATTTCCATACATGGACTCGAACCCCATCCCTATCAAAATAACTAGATGAGTGAAGTAAGTAAACTTAACCACTCAACTATCGACCGACAAATGCAAAATGGAGAAATTATAAATATTCCTTTGCTTTTTCCTTCAAAAATTTAATATCAAAGTACGCAAATACACTAAATATTTTTCCCGGTTTCCCAGTGAAAAAAAAAGCCGGGACCGGGTCCGGGAAACGGGTTCTGAAAAATGGACCGGGCGGGTTCCGGGTCCGGGAAACCGGGAAAACCCGTTCCCGGTTTCAACCCGGTTGCTTCAAAAAAACCGGGAAAAAGGACCCGGAAACCGGGAAACGGGTCCGGGTCCCGGACCCGTTCCTAGCTCTACCCAAAATATGGCCCCGGAACTGAATCAGCGGGACTCAAAAATCCCCTAGCCAAAACCGGGGGACACGGAAGTTTTGTCGCACGACTTTGTAGTGGTCGCTTTGTAGCAAAGTAATCAGACAGTAGCTAGATAAAATTTTTTCGGAATAACTTTGTATTGTTGTTTGGATCTTTCACAAAAGTTGGAACAACTAGTTGAATGAAGAATGGATAAGGTTAAAGGAAAATTTAAGCCCTCGCGAAAAAAAGATCTGCGACAAAGTGTTCAAGGCTAATTCGGTCTCGACTTTTTTTCTTCAGTGAACGAATTCTTTAAAAAAAAGAGTATGTGATTCTTAATTTATGGGATTTCTATTTCCAGAATATCAGTTCTGGTTCATCTTTATACACTAATTAAGAAGAACAAACGATTAAAAAAGCTAGAATTAAAAAAAATTGAAGACGTGGTGAGACTCAAATGTTTAAAAACCTAAAGGTTTAGGCTTCAAAAGGTTTAGGCTAAAAGTAACCAGGTAACGAAAGAGTCTTAAAATTTGGCATCAAAACGAAAGTTTTTGGGATATAACTTTTTTGTTTTTAAATCAATCCAAATAATTTTTGCTTTAATTAAAAGCTCTGGATGTGCTGGTTATTTTTTCATAAAAATTGTTAAGTTTTACCGACTTTCAAAAAAAGTTAGGAGCCGTTAACTGCGAATAATCGTGATTTAACATACTTAGGCGGGTGTAACTTTCTAAGAAACGATCGGATCCTTTCATAAAGTTAATAAAAAGAATAAAAACAAACATAGATTCTAATTGATAAAGAAAATTTCTGGAAATGATCGAAATAAAAAAAGTTATGGCATAGAAAAAGGCTTTTCGATGCTAAGTCGCCGAGACTCTATTGACAAGCAAGCCTAAAGGTTTAGGTTTGTGCTGAGACTGAAAATAAATGTAAAGACAAAAGAGTCTTGCTGACTTTTTGACATAATTCAAGTCAATTAATTGTTTTCATGTTTCTTTACAGATTATTTATGCCATTATAGCATAACAACACTATTTCATCATTTTAATAAACAAACCGATTTTACTAAACAAAACCGAAAAATTAAAGAAAATTTAAAAAATTTTATTAAAAATTATTTTGTGGCATTGAATAATTGCCTTTGGTTGTGCAAATTGTTGTTTATCTCTCTAAAACAATAAAAGGAAACAAAAAAGAATAAAAAGCAAAAATAAAACAATTGCATTCCAATAATCCCGATTTATAGGATATTTTATTTAGAGCTAGGAATTTTGAAAAAACCGGGACCGGGTCCGGGAAACGGGTTCTGAAAAATGGACCGGGCGGGTTCCGGGTCCGGGAAACCGGGAAAACCCGTTCCCGGTTTCAACCCGGTCTAGAAATGGGCGGGTCCCGGCCGGGAAACCGGGAAATTTTTAATTTGTTGAAATGATGGTCTATTTTCCACATAGGGCTGTATTTTTCAACTATCCTCCTATACTTATTCTAAATAACCTCTATTAATGTAAGTAAATGTCATTCACGATTATTTAACTAAAGATCAAATTCCCTTGTCTGAAACATAAGTTCGTCGGCAACTGGGGATTAATGGAAAATTCAAAGACATACTACATATGTTTAATTTCTTTCTATAGCCCTTATATGGTGGCCGAGAGGTTGTTATGTTAGTTCCTTCAGAATGTTAGTTCCCCTTAATTCCTTCAGAATCCTTAGATATCCCTTTTGATTCTTTTTAATCATATTAAATTAAAAATTCTTTGCGCCGTAGGCGAAAATTTACAGAATTTTGTAAGGCCTTAGGAGAAAAAAATTCAATTGTCAGAGCTGCCGGCGAAAAAATTTTTCGAAGTTTAGATGGTAATGAAGCCAGAACTCTTAAATCTTCTGCGCCACAGGCGAAAATTTTGGAAAATTCATGAAATAATTAAAATTTCTTATATTTTTTCAAGTTTGAAACATCAAAAAAAGTTTGCAAATTTAAAATCAAAATCAAAGTTTAAAATTATTTATCTTTGAAAAGAAAATTTTCTCAGCCACATTTCCATACATGGACTCGAACCCCATCCCTATCAAAATAACTAGATGAGTGAAGTAAGTAAACTTAACCACTCAACTATCGACCGACAAATGCAAAATGGAGAAATTATAAATATTCCTTTGCTTTTTCCTTCAAAAATTTAATATCAAAGTACGCAAATACACTAAATATTTTTCCCGGTTTCCCAGTGAAAAAAAAAGCCGGGACCGGGTCCGGGAAACGGGTTCTGAAAAATGGACCGGGCGGGTTCCGGGTCCGGGAAACCGGGAAAACCCGTTCCCGGTTTCAACCCGGTTGCTTCAAAAAAACCGGGAAAAAGGACCCGGAAACGGGTCCGGGTCCCGGACCCGTTCCTAGCTCTAATTTTATTCTTCGTACTCTGAATCGGCTACTCTGAAAAGTCCCCTACCCCGAAACAACGGGGCGGTTGAGTATTAATTGCCAGCTAGCTTTGACGGCATATTTTTTATGTTTACACAATCCGATTTTAGTTATGTATATCATCTTGATCACTCACTAAAAAGTTTAAAAAAATTTTCAAATTTTTAACCACATTTTTTAAAACATTTTTAAATTAATTTAAAATCATTTTAATTTCAGAAATTTACTTTTAATAAATTTAAATGGCATTGGTAAATGGTTTATATGTTGTTCAAGGAGAGGCAAATGCTGTACTAGCTCTTTTACGCAAATTCAGAAGATCACAAACAAGACAACAACTTCCTTTATTGGATGAACACAATCCTTTATTGAGGAATTTTGCCGATTTAAGAGATGTTTTGAATAAGGTTTTTAAGCCCAAACTTTTAAAAATTAAATTTTTTATTTTGAAAAGAAAATTGTTGAATATCTTCTTGTTTTTCTGAGATTTTTAAAATTTTATTTTAATAATTTTTGCCAGTTTAGAAATTTATTTTTTTTAGGTTAACGACCTCGGTGAAATTCAATTTGACACATTTATCAGCCCATTCCTTGAAGTTATAAAATCAGATGCTACTGACGGGCCCATAACTGCTAGAGCACTTTCTGCAATTGAAAAATTTATTTCTTATGGTTTATTGTCCTTTAGCAAGTTTGTTTTTTACACAGTCTTAAATTAAAAAATTAATTTTTAAGTATTAGAATAGCTGGGGCTGTTCAGTCAATTTCTGACGCTGTGACTAAAGCTAAATTTATTGGTACTTCAAAGGCTGGAATTGATGAGTGTGTTCTTTTTCAGATTTTACAGGTTTTTTAATTTTTTTTAGAAAATAATTTTTGTGAAAATTCTACTTATTGTTAAGGTAATATCGAACCTGACAGACCCCCTTTTTTCCTCCCCAATTTTCCCTATACTTTTCCTCTTTTTACTTGTTTTTGGCATGTACTTGCACTTGAATGGAATTAATCATTTTTGTTCGATTGTAGGCAAAAGTTAGAAAAGCAATTTGGATGGAAGAAAGGAAAAAGTCTGACCATTTTGCAAAAATATACGGGGAAAATTGGGGAGGAAAAAAAGAGGTCTGTCCGGTTCAATATTCTTCTTCTTATTAACTTCATTATTTTTGCCTTGGCTTTTTCATTTTGCTTTTTTGAAAGTTTCAAAGTTACTAGAATCAGTAAAATTGGTTTCATTCAAATTTAGATTTTTCTAGTTTGTACTATATCTATTTTTTTCTTCAATTAATTTATTCCAAAATTTTTTTAGACTCTCCGTTCCTTGGTTTTATCTCCTGGTGGTCGACATTTAAGCAATGCAACAGTTTGCGAAATTCTTCAGTGTTGTTTTCGTATTGGCCTTGAACAGTTATTGCCTGAACTTTTACGTGTTGCTGCAGAAAGTGCTTTGGCAGATATGTGTAGACATTTATTTGCTGCAATGCCAACATTTGAACAAGATATAAGAATGGGGTTGAAAGAACTTATGAGGTTTCTGTTTTAAATTTTAATATTTTTTTTTCAACAAATCTTTCTTGTTGGCTCATAGTTGTAGTATTTATTTAAACCTGAACACTCTAAAAAATTATTCTTTTCTTTTAAACTTTTTCTTTTCATAATTTTTCCCTTTTTAAAGATTTTTAATTGCTCTTTGTAATCCACATGATCGCACAAATCTTCCTCAAATGATCCTTATGGGACTTCACCTTTTAACTGTTGCATTCGAAACTGGAAATGAATTTTTAAGAGAAAATGATTTAATTCTTCCGTTATTAGAAGATGAATTGTCACATACTCTTTTACAATTATTGGGAACACAAAAATTAAAAATATTTGCTGCTACTAATAGAGTGTGTTTTTTGTTGTTTGAAACTCTTAGACCACATTTAAAGTTAGTTTTTAATTTCAAATTATTTCTTAAATGTGATGATCTTCTGCGTTCCATCATTTTATTAAGTTAGGGAGCATGTCATTGTAACATTTTCCATATACCACACGGCAGTCCCGTAGCAGGGATTTTTTCGAGGGCCAAGATGTGAAAATTTTTCTGCGGCGAATTTTTGGCGCCTTCGGCGACAAATTTTATTTTTTACGCCGCAAGCTGAAAATTTTGAGAATTTTAGGAGACCATAGACCAAAAAATTCACTTTTTTCCCTGGCCACCCGGCTTTAGTTTTGTTTAAAATTATCAGAACACTTTATGCTTCCGCAATATAGTAGCTTAATATGTTATAAAATTTCTAATTTTTGTAGATTCCAAATGGAAGCTTATTTTATTAAATTGTCACAAATAATTTCTTCAAATGCCCACCCTACTCAATTACAACAACAAAAAATAATTGAACAACAAAATGGAGGTGGAAGAACAACAAATAATAACAATATTACTAGCAGTTATGAACTTAGAGAATTGGCATTAGAAGCGCTTGTTGACATGTGGAGATTGCCTAATTTAGTTTCTGAGCTTTACCTCAATTATGATTGTTCACTTTATTGCTCGAATTTATTTGAAGATTTGGTTTGAATTTTTAAAATTATTTCTTTAATAATTTTTTAAATTTAAGGTCCGAAATCTATTGGAAAATGCTTTCCCTAGTGGACCACTACTTTCAACACACATTCTATCTGTTGACACTGTCCTCACTGTTGTTGACTTTATTGAACGTAATTGTACTGCACGGCAACATCAACAAAGAAGCATTGCTTTGGCGAGAAGTCTGGATGGATTAAGTACTGATGAATTTTCAGGAAAGATTGGGAATGAATCAAAAGGAGATTTTAATGAGGTTTTTATTTATATTTAATTTTAATTTTTCGAATCCATGTCTTCGAATGGCAGTAAAATCCTTAAGTACAGCGAAACTTTGTAAAAATCCCGCGACAGAGAATTCCGTTTCATCTCTGAATTTCTAAAAATTCTCCTGACATGAGCATAGAATCCTGTACATTTTTTGTATTAAACCTATTAATTTAGACGGCCGCCTCAACAATTTCATGTCACATATCTAATCAACCCGAATCAACTAATCAATTATCTCCACCAACACTAGCAGAATTAATTAGCGTGAAAAAGCAAAAACGTCTAATGACTGAAGGCACTGATTTATTTAACAGACATTCCCCACAAAAAGGAGTTGAATTTCTTTGTGATAAGGGATTGCTGAAAAATCCAATGGATCCAAAGGTTTTAATTTTTTCTTTGATTTCAATATTTTTCTCTTATTTCTAGGATGTTGTTAATTGGCTGCGTCAAAATCCAAAATTAGAAAAATGTAAAATTGCCGAGTATATTTGTCATAGAAAAAGACTAGAAGTTCTTCGTGCCTTTGTTGAATCATTTGAATTTCATGGCCTTAGATTAGATTTAGCATTGAGACAATTTCTTGAAACTTTCCGTCTACCTGGTGATGCTGCGGAAATTGATAAAATTATCAATCATTTTTCTGGTATTTTTTATACACCAGTCCTCAATTTTACATTTACTTACATTAATAATATTGTGCATTTTCCCAATTTGATTGGAAAATTGTTGAAGGGGGAGAGGATGCCTTTATAAAATTATTGGATACACTTATCTTTTATGTCCCTAGGGTCCATGGAAAATGGGGTCCTATTTTAATTTTTAAATTATTTTTTTAATTATAGAGCACTGGCATAATTCAAATAACCAACCATTTGAACATGTTGATGCCGCTTATACACTTGCCTATGCAATATTAATGTTGAATACAGACCAACATAACCCTCAAGTACGGCGAAATCAGACATTGATGAGGTTTTTTAAGCAAGTGTCTGATTCTTTTAAATATTTTTAATTATTTAGTGTGGAAGATTTCAAGCGCAATTTGTCTGGAACTAACCACGGAAAGGACTTCGACCAAGAAATGCTGGAACAAATCTACAATGCTATAAAGTAAAATAATAATTATTAAATATAATGTTTATTTTAGATTAATACAGAGAATTTTAATTTCCCCGTTTAAAAACCTTTTTTTTTAACTCCCCGGTTAAAAACTAGCTGATTAAATACTATATTTTCTGTGTTTAATAAATACTATTGAATTTATTCATTGAACACTGTCAATTCTATTATTTTTATAATGAATTCCGAACCAAAATTTTTCTTTCTAATTTAATTTTAAGTTTCTTTTAATTTTCAGAAGTGAAGAAATTGTAATGCCTGCTGAACAAGTTGGTCAAGTACGCGAGAATTATCTTTGGCGTGTTTTGATGCGACGCAGTCATACTTCTGAAGGTCATTATTGGCAAATGTCAAGTGTACAAAGCTGGAATGATCGAGATTTATTCTGCGTTTTATGGGGACCTTTAACTGCTTCATTGCATTACGTTATGAACAAAACTGCAGATGATACAATTCTTACGGTGATTTTATATTAAATACCGTCGACCCCATTAGTTTAGGATAAGATTTGTGATATTGTTCGATTTTTGGTGCATTTTTTAAAAATTTTGTTGGCTACCAGAGCCGTTTCGAATATAAAATTCATAGAAAATCTGAAATCGAAAGAAGTTCTCCTTGTCTGAACCGCAGATGACAATCTTTGAATTTTATTTGTCCAAGGAGCCGAAATTCCTCTTTTTTAACGCCACAAAAAAAAAGCAAAATTTTTCAAATTCGAAAACAAAAGTAAAAACTTCGAAAATCAATCGGAACTGCTCTGTTGGGGTGTTGCCTAAGCGATACCGACATTTTTAAATATCCCTTAAGATATATTTTTCTATTTCCCACGGCTATTCTTTTTTTCATAAAATATTTTTTTATTAAAGAAATGTATGGGTGGTTATAGAAAATGTGCCTCAATAGCTGCCCATTTTGGAATGACTGATGTTTTTGATACACTAATAATTCATTTATGTAAAACAGCTATATCTGTTTGATGATTGAAAGAAATAATTTTTTATATACTAATTTTATTATAGCATAATTATTTATTTTTTGCTTGCTGTATATATTGTAGCAGGCCAATATCAAATTGTGAATTTTAATATTTATAATTCTATAGATTTTATATATTTAATAAATGATTGGGTAGTGAAAAATTGTATTAGTTATGTGCTGGAAATGACTTTTTAAGTGCCTATAGTTGTAAGACTTTATTTCCTCCGCCCTAGTCTAAGGGAAATAAAAACCCTGAATTGGCCCAAAAATTCCGAAATTTCTCTATGAAAACAACCTCAAAATCGTTAAAAAGAAGAAATTCAGTTAATTTCGGCAACTTCTTTAAATTATTAAATTTTTATAAAATTTTTGCTTCTCCACTTTGAACCTAAAATTATTTTAATAATTTAAGAGGGCATTTTTTTATTTAAATTAATTATATGTATACTAATAAAATCGTAAAATTTTTTCTTTAATTTTATTTTAAAATTCATTTCTGAGAAAAAGGGGTATAATTATTAGTTTATTACTTTTTTTGAATTTTGTTACAATCAAATTAAATATTATTGGAGTATTTCTCTTTAAATTATTTATTTGAAAATAAAAATTACTTGAAGGGTTATTTAATTATTCGTTTAAAAACTAATTTAATTTAAACATCATACTGAATAAAAAATCTTTTGGTTTATTAACAGCTATTTATCACCTGCCTTTTATTCTTTTGAACATTTACTTTTGAACATTTAATTTAAATATTCTGAATTTTTTATTTTCTTTTACTTTATAAAATATTAGCGGAAAAATTGAAAAAAAATTATTAAATGATGTATTAAATATTTTTCGATCTTTAAATTAACCTACGAGCTCTTAATCTTTTGTAAATGTGATGGTTTCCTCCAATCCCTAGATAGCATTTTAACCCCACCCCCTCCCCTACATTCACGACTTTAATTCTCTTATAAAATTCATAAATATAAGTACATTCTTAAAGTTGCTTGGTATAGATTGCCGCCTTTATCTTCACAAATTGCTAATTATAGAGAACACATTAAAATTAAAAAGCAAATAAATAGATAATTTCAGTCTGAGTATTTGAAGGTTTGTGTTAAATCTTGACTCCCACTCCAGCATCGGATGGAGCCGGCTCCGGAGCTGGTTCCCACAGCCATACTATCAATGCCTGAATTCACTGAGTTCAATTTCAACAAAATTTATTTAGGAGCTTTCTTTTTCCTTTTAGAAAATTTAAATTGACAAACAATAAAATGATTTCTGCACTCATTTTGGCTCATCATATAAATTCATTATTTTGTCTTTCCATCGGTGTTTCATTAAATATTCTTTTAATTTGGCTTATTTTTAAACAAACCCCAAAAGAAAAACAAATTTATAGCCAAATATTATTGCAAACATGTATTATAGATATTCTTTTATTAATTATGGGAGAGTTAGTCCAACCGGTTAATTAAATTATTTTTTGAAATTTAAAATTAAATTCTTAGATATTTTTTGTTCAAAATGGAGTTGCTAAAGATATAATGATTGGACAATTAAGTTTTTTGCCCAACCCTTTTTATCATTTTGTTTTTATTGTTTGGTTTATAATATTTTATTTTTCACTGATTGGACTTGGAATTCAATTTATATACAGATATTTAATTCTTTGCAAGTAAATATTATTTTTTAAACTCTATTTTTAAACATTTCACCGACTCTGATCTGTGGAATTTGTCAAATTGACAATAATTTATACTTGTCATTAAAAAACTATTTATTGTCTAACAGTATTCGCTTGTTTTTAGGTGCCATATTCACTTTTATCCTTGAAGAACTTATGATTTTAAGACCATTATTGTGAATTATTTCACATTTTACAATTTTTAAATAAAGCAGGAATAGATATTTTATATACAGTAAATCCTTTAGGACTCTAATAAAGTGCCATCAAAACTTCTGTTGAAAATGAATTTTTGAAAATGAACATCTGTTGAAAATGAATTTTTAGAAGATGGAAAAGTAACCTCAATTTTAGGTTCTGGGCCTTCACAAAATGGGAAATGGTCTGTTGCTTTAAATATGGATTTGGTAATATAAATTTGAAAAATTTTCTAAAAATATTTCGATATTTTTTTAAAGAAAAATCCAATTGCTCTAAGTTGGATTGTTTTATTTTTGCTATACAATAGCGCGCTTTATCTAATAATTTTCTATTGTGCTGCAAAAATAAGGAAAGCGATTACTGAACAAATGGCACATATGGAGATATCTAAACGTTCGGGGGAATTAAATGGACAAATTACTAGAACTCTTCTCATTCAGGTTTTAAAAAAATATTCGGAAGAAATTAAATTTAAAACTTCAAGGCTATCTTACCAGCATTTCCTTTATTAATAAGTTCGTTGGCTGTTATTTCTATATTTTTTTCTTCTGATTTAATGGGAACAATATTTCTTACATTACAATTATTTGTCACACTTCCTTTAAATTGGGCTCCAATGTTAAATCCTTTTGTTAGTTTAATGGTTGTTAAACATTATAGAAGATGTATTATTTTACTTTTTAGAAGATTTCTCTTTGGAGAGGTAAAAAAATTTTATAAAAATTTTTTTGTAAATTTTTTTCTTGTAGAAGAAATCTCTCATGCAAGATGAGAAAACAAAAGTTAAAATAATTAATGTAGCAAGAGCTAATAGAATGATTAAATCATGGCATGGAAACGAAAAAAAGAATAACAACAATCATCCTTTAACAGCACCACCACGTTTAAATAAAAATTAATGGAATTCTGAGCTTCTTTCATTTTAATTCCGATTTCCGACGTTTTTCCCTCCGATTTCCGAAAATTTAGGCTGATTTCCGATTTCCGGCACATTCGTCATTTCCGATCGACCTCTGCCCACCAACTCTTCCTCTGAGATTCGAATTTCAAAAATTTGAAATTATTAATTAAAATATATTTTCTTAAAATTACCTAGATTTACAGGTAGATTACCTATATGAGATTATATGTATGTATATAGGCAATTTAGTTGTAATTTTCAAATTTTTAACTTTTCAATTTTTTAAAAGTTACAATTATTCTAATTAGATAAAAATTATTTTTAATTTAAATTTATTTTTTATCTACCAACAATTTGTTTTCGTGTATATACAATTAGAAATGTTGATTGATTTATTTGATAACTAAAAATTTTTTTAAATTCACATTCTTCTATTCTCAAAAGCCAAAGGTAAAATCTTCTCCAATTTTCACTTTCTTCCATTCCCCAAATTCTTTAAAAAAATAAAATAAAAGAATTAAGAATTTAAATAAATACATTTAAATTAATTTAAATTTTCTTTCAAAAAAATTGTAAAAATAAATGCAAAAATACAAAAAATTGTTAAAAATAAAATAAAAATAATTAAAAAATTAAAACAAAAATTTCTCATTTTTAATAAAAATATTTTTGTAAAAATAACATTTACTATTTATTAGAATAAAGGCAATTATTTATTAAAGCAAAAGCTTTATTCAATAAATTTGTTTTTGGGATTAATTATTGTATAAAATAAACAAGAAAAAAATAAAAATAGAAAATAAAGTTTTTCTTTCATTGAAAAAATTTTTTAGAGAAAAATAGTAAAGGGTATAATATCAAGACTTATAGCTAGGTCTTGATATAAAAAATAAGGGGGCTATTGAAAAAGTTTGTTAAATCGAGAGGTTTCTATCGAGGCTGTTTCTTTGTAGACACATAACACTAGAGAATGGACTGGGAGTGATATACGCGGAAAATACTCGATCTCGATAACAGAGATTTTCGCTCGAGATCTCATCTCGTTCCGGTCTCTACATAACACATTACCTAAAATAAAGCCCCCCCCCCCAACTCTCTCAATTTTAGAAAAATCCAACTTTAAATTTACCTTATTTTTAAACAAATTTGTCTAAAACTTCTAAGCCATTTATCACAAAATGTTTTATTTAAAATAACTCCAAATATATCCCATTCAGCACCGTCAATATCAAAAAAGAGAATATTTCTTTTGTAAGGGAATAATTGAATTTCTTTTAATAAACCATTGAAAGGGTTTAAATTTAAATAAATTGTTGAATTTGTAGAATTATCTTTAAAAAATAATTTTTAAGAAAGGTACATTTAGTGGATATCTCCCAATATTTCCTTTTATTCTTACTTTTCTCCTTTAAAAATTTGGCAAAAATTTTTTTTAAATATTTGCAAGTTAAAAAATTTTTATTTTGTATTTCTATAATTTCATTTTTATTTCCACGATCATAAAATAAACATTGGGAGATACCAAAAATAGTATTTAGTACTAAATAATTAACCTCTAATATTTAAAGGCATCCTCATAGATTTATTTAAATAATGAGATATTCCTTCATTGAAAAATGTTAATTTTTTGTTTTTAAAAATTGAACTGAAAAATAAAAAAAAAATTAATTTTTTTAAAAGAAATTTTCCCCCTTTTACTTTTCTCCTTTAAAAACTTCTGGAAAGAATATAGCCATTTCTTCTGTTAATTCTAATAAATTTTCAAGTTGATTTAATTCTTCATTTGAAAAATATTTATATCGAAAATAAACAAATAAATTAAATAAAGGTTCTTTTTCTTTAATTAATTCTTGACAAATTGGAAATGGAAGAAAATTATTGTTGTTATTATTTAAAGAATTGAAAGAACAAAGGGATGATTGTGGTAACGTTTGATGGCTAAGTAAATAACGTAAAAAACGTAATTTTTCTTCTAGAGGAGAACCTAGAAAAATACAATATTTTTTATTTTATTAAAAAATTTTTTTAATTAAAGAGAATTTTTTAAATTTATTATTTTTACTAAATGTTCTCATGCTTAGAGTCAGTGTTAGGTATGCTCCGGGAGCTTGTTCCAGCTAAGATTCCAGCCCGGGAGCTAGTCCAGCTAAGATTTTGAAAACCCCGGAGCTGGAGCCGGAGCCAACAAATGCCCAATATCCAGCAATGCTTAGGGTTGTCAGATTGCCCGATACTCGGGACTTGATATGAGCTTAATTAATAAATTAAGCTCGAAATGAACAGACATACATTGAAAAATCAAAAATGAGCTCGAAACCTCGACTCGCTATAAAACTATCTCAAAAAAAAGTCTCGAAAGTCGGCTCTAATTAAAAACGACAACCATATCCAATATAATTAATTAATATAAAATTTAAAATTTATTTTTTCATAATTTCTATATTAACCAGCTCCATAAGCGGGAACATCATTTGCTGACCATAAATCTTCAAAATGAACAAAACTCAGTCTCCATTCACAATGTCTAGAGTCAAATTTCTGTAATGCCTGACCACAACGACTATTTGATCTTGCCCCTAATTTAATTAATTAAAAAATATTTATTGACAAAATCACCAAGTAAAGCATATTTCCATTGAAAGAAAAGTGAATAAATAAATCTATACCACAAAAGTAAAACATTTCCATCTTCGTCTTGAAGAGAAGAATTATCAAGTCCCGGTCTTAGAACAATTAATAATTGCTTTGTTCTTAAAATCTTTTTAAAATACTTATTTTATTAAAATTAAATAAAATTTTTTTATTTATTTTAGAAATAGTTGAGAGAAGATTATATGGAAAAATGTTGAGTAAATTTATGAATAATTAATTAAGATTGTCTTGACATTGTTCGGGGAGTAACATTTTAGCCGTTTAGGGAGAGCATTTAATTAATAATAATGTAAGTTTATTATATGCGAGAAAGGAAGAGTTTAGATATCTAAATTCCAAAATAACTTACTCTTAAAATCCATTTTAGCAATTCAATTCTAACTTTAGTTTCTTTTCTTTTATCACTCAACAATTCAGTGTCCAAATCAATCTTTGCCAAATTGAATATTTGATTATCATTATCCAACATTGCAGCTATTCTATCTTCAGGGAAATGCCCTTCTTCCTCCAATTCTGGCATATATTGAATAAAAACATTATTTTGTAGATTTTCAACAAGATTATTTTTTTGAGGAAGTAATAAAGTCCAGCTTGTTATATTTAGCGAAATTTCAAAATTTTCAGCTTCTTTTGTTATTTTTTGACCATTTATTGATAATCCATTCCTTAAATTAAAAAATAATTTTTTCCAAATAGTGAAACTATTATAATAGTATGGCGGAATTATGGAAATTTTATATTAACTTTTTATTTTATAACCACCTCATCTTAAATGATCTAATAATTAGGTATTTATTCAAAAAATTAATTAAAATTTGCTTAAAACTCAAAATATGTATAATTTAAACTTTACTCGAATTTTTCATTTTGTATGCCCATATCTTCATCAAAACAAACAAAGAAAGAATCTCTATATCCTCCCAATGTTCTTCTATCTAAACATTTATGTGTTGGCCTAGCAAAAAGTTCGTTTAAACGAATTGATTCTAATTCAAGTGTTCCTGCAGGGTTTGGAGTATATAATGGTTGATCTGACAGAATTCTGATTTTTAAAATTAAAAAAGTTTAAATGTAAATTATTTGCCAGTGAATTAAAGAATTAAATAACAAAATTGTTAAATTAAAATGAAGATTCTATTGTTTGTCATAAAATTATTTGGAAAATTCAGATATGGAAAATAAATTTTAGAGTTAGAAATTTAACCTTCAAAAATCTAAATTTCGTTCAATTTCTGTTTTTAATCTTTATTTACTTTCAAATTAAAAATTAATTATTAAATACTTTTTATCATAATTCTCTAGTTTCTCAATTCTTTTAATTTTCCAATATTCCCTCCATCTGCTAATTTGGTCAAAAATATTATTTAACTGAAGAAGTAAACAAATAATTAATAAAATATTAAAAACTCGAAGAAAAAGGATTAAATTAATATATTTCATTTAAAAAAATTAAAAACAATTCTTTTTTTGTTTAAACAATGCGCAATAAATCGATTTAAGGAAATGAAAATGCTCAATTATGGGAATTCTTTTTTTAATATTATAAATAGGTGGTGACCTTGCATGCTATAATAACAAAATAAAATAAATTTATTGTGATATCTTGGAAGGAGTGGATGAATATTTATTTGTTAGATTATGATATTTCTCGTACCTATATCTATGCATTATTAGTTATTTTTTAAATTTTAAATTTTCATAAAAATTTGAGCCTTCAGAATCTTCAAATTAATTTAAAATTAACAACAATTAATTAAAGTATAGTTAAAGTACATATATTTATTTCTTAATTTTTAATTTTTAAATTTAAATATTTTCAAAATTAATTATGAAATTAATTATTAAAAAAAGTATTTTCACATTAATTTAAAAAAATATTTTTCTCACAATAAATAAATATTTTTAATTTTAGAATTCATTTAATCATTTGTCACAAGTATTTATTTGCCCAGAAAATTATCTTAAAATTAAAAAAATAATTAAAATGTTAACAATAATTATTTTTTATTTATTATTTAAACTTTATTTTTGTTTTGATAATAAATTAATTATTGAATATGATGAATTTGAAGTAAATTTAAATATTTAAATTAAAAATAAATTATTTGTTAAAAAATATTTTTTTGAATTAATTAAGTATAATAAGGTGAAGCAGCTGGGGTATAGTTATTTCTCTCCTTTAGCTAGTGCAAAAGGTTAATCGGCGGCTGAAACCAGCCAGCATCTTCAGTAGACCGGACTTATGTGCTTTATCCATTACACCACGCCGCCTACTGGATAGCCTTAGGAATTAAATAGCCCTCGATTTAACGAATTACAAAGGAATAAATGAAAAATAATATTTTATTATTGCAAAAATTATTTCATAAATTTCAGACTTCAAAAAAATGTATTTTTGTTGAACATTTTAATAATCAAATAAAAGAATTAAAAAATATTCATTTTCAATGTTTTAAATTAAATGAAGAAGAAAAGTTTTGTTTTATATTTTCGTTTCCAAGAACTTTAAATATTTATTTTATTGAATTTGAAAAGGCTAAACTTTGCGGAAAAAATGGAAAACATTTTAATTTTTATGAAATGACTGCACAAATTGATTTGGTAAATTTAAAAATAAATAGTTAATGGTGATAGAAAAATCAAAATTTGAATAAAATAATTTGGAATTTGAAAAATATTTTTGGGTTGCTTAATAACTAATATTTAAATGAATTTTTAATAGAGGAAAATTTATTTTATAAAATACATAAAATTAAATATCCTCAACTTTTTTACATTAATATCTATGAAAAAAATTTACAAATATTCACTTAATTAAAATTTAAAACAAATTTATAAGAAAACTCAAGATAAGGCCAAAAATATCTAATAATAATCCACAGTTCATTAACAATGATCTCACAATTTTAATTTATTTTAGTGTGAAAATTATATTTTTGATTATTCAATTTCTACATATTTAATGAGAAATAGTCATTGTTTTGTAAATCCAATTCCGGAAAAAGAAATTAATGTAAAGGGAGCTAGAGAACTTTATAAAGTAAATAATTATTATATTTTTGGGGCAGAAATTGAACATTTTTATTTTGATAAATTTAATTTACATTTATTTAAAAATTGTGAGGAAGACGATTGGAAGAAGTATAGCCATTTTGCGAGGCCAATAATGCTTGGTATTATTTCTGAATTAAAATATTAATGCTATAATTAATTTTAAATTTTACTTTCCTATGGGATACAGTCTTATAATTTTTTATTTACTTTTAAATAGCAAATTTCAAAATTAAAACAGAAATTGAAGAAATTGAAGAAGAAAGTCCAAAAATTAATAATAATAATTCTTTTGATATTCCTTTAGAAGATTTTAATGAAGAAATAAAATTAGACAAAGAGAAAATTGAAAATGTTCCTAAAAAGAATATTTATTTGAAAAGTAAAGAAATTTTCCAAAAAATTAAAAAATATTTGAAACCATTCTATACATAAAGGAATTTATTTATTATAATTTAAATCAGGGCTCGGATTCGTACTTTTTTAAAAGTATTGTACTTTTAAATCGAGATTTTTGTCCTTTTGATTGGCATTTTGTCGGCCTGATTTAAATTAAAGATATAAATAACCGAGGCGAGGTTTTGTTTAAAAATTTAGTTTGTCGACATGTATCTATATGTATATTCTTTAATAAACCCTAAATACAGTCTCAAAAAGTATAAAATAATTATTTTAATAGAATCTGAGAAAAAACTTTTGCTAATTTGGAAACGAATACTTAGGTTAGCGAAATACTTAAATCAAGAATATATTTTTATTTAAGCTCAGTATTTGCAGAATTTTCTTAAAATATTTGCATGTTTAATTGTATAAATTCTCTAATCTATGTATGACATAAATGTATGGGTACATTTATGGAATTAAAAATAATTTTGTATTTCCTTATCATTTTTTTCCAAATTACACATTTTTTAAAATAAAATACAAAAAAAAATTCAACAAAATTAGCTCAAAATATTATAATTATTTTCCCAATTATTTTAAGGGCAAATGAAATGAATTGAAAAAAAATATTAACATCTTTAATTAAATTCTGACTATTTTTATTAAAGTGCACATCATTTATCGTCAAATTAAATTAATAGCGTGAAAATAATTAAAAATGAAAAAATTAATTACCTACATCATTTGTATTAATTAGGAATTTTTGACTAATTATTATGACAAGTGATTCGAGTTCCTCGTATTCGCACCTCGTTCCGCTCTTGTTTTTAAACTTATAACCTCGTATTTTCTCGCACTTGGAAAAATTTTCTTAAATAAAAACAAAATTAATTATTTTTGAAAGAAAAACACAAAATCAAGTATTTAAATAAATTAAGTGAAAGCTGACACATTAACCAACAAAACACTTATTTTTATCAAAAATGCTAAGCTAAAATGTGGATATTACAAGAAAGTGTTAGCTAAATTTGCCCAGACTCGTACCTGGTACCCTCCAGCGTACTCTCCAGCTTCTCACTTGTATTTCGTAGAGTACAAATTTGGGAACGACTTGCGAAGCAATTCTAATGATTTAACATTTCTGACATTCAAGGATATGGAAGGATATGGATTTAACGTTCTTTGATTTGTTTTCTACAAAGATCATAAATTTTTATTATTTGTTTGTCTCATTTAACAAAGGATATTTATGGAGTATTTAAGATATTTTAGTTTTTTTCTATATTAAGATTTACATTATTATTTGTTTTATAAACTTAAAAACGTCATTAAAAATAAATCGTCATATTTATATATAAAAAATATATACACACAAAAATACATAGTAGATATAGTGAAATTAAATTCCAAACATTTTTTCCGTCCTTCCCCTCAAAAATTATTCTTTAATTTCTTCGTCTTATAAAGAGAACATGTTTTCTTGAATTTGAAGCGCTTCCAACAATATTTGTAGCTTCTTCACCCGCTTTCCCAACAAAACAATTAATTGGTGTAAAAAAGCAATCTCTGTTGTAATGCCTAATAACGAGGGGCTCTTCTTCTATTTTTTTCAGTTTTTTTATTTCATTTTTTTGTTTATCTTTTTTATTAAAATTTTCTTTATTTTCACTTCCATCCACGTTATATTCATTCAATTTGCCAAATGAGGATGTGGAAGGAGATTGAGGAGAAAAAGGAGATGTTGACAAGGAGTGAGTAGTAGCAATAAGAGAAGTTTGTTTAGAATTCAATTGTGATGCTACTAACTCAATTAACCGTAAAACGTTGTCAATTGTATCTGAAGGATTCTTTTTCCTTTAAATAATTTTAATTAATTAATTAGCTAATTAATTAATTAGAGAATTAGTTGATTTTTAAAATTATTTTTGTGAAATATAAAACATTATTAGATGAGGAAAAATAATTAAAAGACCGCCTAAAACGAAAAGGAGATGCAAAGTCGAAAGACTAAAAGCTTAATCTAAGCTTACATATGTCACAAAATATAGTTATGATTAAATGTTAATGATCTATAAGACAGTCAGTAATTATATCTTTACTGGGTCTGTTAAGTCATGAAGATAATTAACTATAACCCTAATATAATTTCTTATAATTTTGCATTGTTTCGCTTTCTACAAGGTAATAAGAGAAGGAAATAATTTTTTATTAAATATTTTTATTAAATAATTAATGTGTTACCTTAATTCTTTGTCCATCCTTTTGTTTCCTTGAACTTGTCCTTCTTCGCTTCTCCCAAAATTAAAATTCATAAATGCACGAATTTTTCGATTATTAGAATTATTATTTATAAGGGAATTCCTTCCATATAAAGAAATCGCCAAATTAAATGAAGGCATAGAAATAATGGAAATATAAATAATTAGAATAAAAGACATTATTTTTGATGTTTTAACCATAATTTTGAATTATTAAAAATTAATTTTTAAAAATAATATTTTATTTTTTAAAAACTTGAATGATAAAATATTTACAAAAAGAATGCTTTTTAAATGCCGTATTTTAAGTCTGAGCTGAAAAAAGCATTCGCGCACTAACTATAAAAGAATGCAAGAGGCGTGTTTTAACTTTTTTTATTTTTTTATTAGAAAAAAATCTTTTTCTATTTTTATTTAATAATATGCCAATGCGGGGGTGATAAAAATGGTTACTGTTAATATTTTTGGAATTGGGTATAATGATATTAATTTTTGTGTTAACGATGAGACAATAAATTTAATTTAATAAATTATTTTGGAAGTAATTATTTGGAGAAAATTCTGAATATTTAATTAATAATAGTTTTGCAGATTTTGCTTTAAAAAAATTTGGATTGAACCGGAACAATCTTGGTATTTCTAGAGAACGATATTATGTAGTAAGAAAAATTACGTGTCCGGACAAAATATCGAATCGTTAAAATATGGAATAGGCTAAAAAAGGGTTAAAATCTCGAATCGGGTAAAAATGGGTTAAAATCGCGAATAGGCTAAAAAGGGGTTAAAATATGGAATCGTTAAAATATGGAATGGTTAAAATCTCGAATAGGGTAAAAAGGGGTCAAAATGTGGAATCGTTAAAATATCGAATTGATAGAATGTCGACACGGTCAAAATGGGTCAAAATGTCGAATTTTTTAAAAATAGCGCCAAAACTAGAATCCGGACGGTACCGTAATACCCGCGGTATTTTTCGGTATTCCGTGTCGGTAGTACGGTAAGGAATGCCGACCGATAAAATTTAAAAGCTAATCGGTATTTTTCGGTATTCCGTACCGTATACGGTACAGTTAAAAAATTCCGGGTTTTATTAGAAGCTAGGCACTCCACTCTAATTTGACGTATCAAGATCGCGTTATGTTTTCCGGATCCGCACGATCATTCCGGACCGGATCAGGTCGATTATGCTTGATTTATCCGTTCCGGTTTTACTCGGTAAAATACAATGAACTCTGGCAGAAAAGATTGCGCCGGACTATGAAATACGAAACTTATCAACCAAATTATCAACAATAGGTCGATAAGCTGATAAAATTATCAATAATCAACGTACGGTACTCATCTGACCCTTTTTTAAAAGAATTCGACATTTTGACCTCTTTTTAGCCTATTCGAGATTTTAAACATTCCATATTTTAACGATTCCATATTTTAACCCTTTTTTACCCGATTCGATATTTTAACCATTCCATATTTTAACGATTCGGTATTTTAACCCCTTTTTAGCCTATTCGCGATTTTAACTATTCCATATTTTAACGATTCCATATTTTGTACCGGAGCCAAAAATTATTTTTTGTAGAAAAAAGGAAGTAAAAAATATGAAAAAATATTTTTTTTAAATTATTGTTATATATAAATAGTTTTGTTTTTTTTGTTAAAGAGGATGTTCATTGAAGCAATTTAATAAGCATATACGTAAATATATATTTATTTGTTATTAAAATGTCCTTATTTAGAAATATATTTTTTTATTTTTATAATTAAAGTTTTATAATTAAAAATAAAGTTAAGTTTTTATAAAAATACGTGAAAATATATATATTTTTTAAATAATTGGTAAAATAAATACAAAAATAAAAATTCGTTTAGAAATTGAATATATATTGAGGATTTCTAGTGTTAGAATTGGAGTTTGAACTCGTGATTTTTTGAACTCGTTTTTGTTCTGGACATCTCTGTAAATACAAATTGGTGGTGTTATATTTAAAAATAAATATTGTAGGTTTAAGTTGGGATATACTTAATTTGTTAATTTATTTATATATGTAGAGACAAAACCAAAAACAACATTGAAACAGTCAAACCACAACAAAAGCTTTTCCTATTCAAAAATCTTATCATTGTAGACTAATTTTATTTCAAAGCATTTGAATGACCGAAAATGTTAATTTTATTGTTTAGTTTTATTCAACAAAATAAAAATAAATCCTTTACTAGAAATATTTAAAATTTAATTTTTTGGGTATTTTGTTGAATTCTATTTTTATTTTTAAATTTATGTCTCTTATTAATTTTTAAACTATTTTACTTGGCTCGTTTTAGATTCTAAATATATTTAAATTTAATTAAATAAAAATCATAAAAATTGTAAAAATAAACTTTTCTTAGAAGTTTTATTTGACCAATCCTTTTATTTTTAATTTTAAAATTAAAAATAATAAGAAAAACTTTTAAAAAGAAAATATTTAATTTTTAAATTTAATAAAATATTTCCTTTTTTAAATGTCTAAATAGCCGTACAAAAATTAATTTAATAAAATTATTTTAGACTAATTTTAATTTAATAAAATAATTATTCTAATAAAATAAAATTTATAAATATTTGTCTGTGACATAAAAGCAGAAATAAATATGGAAATAAATAAGAAGAACTTGGAATATTTAACGTTAAAAGAATGCTTATTAATTTAATTAATTAATACAATCAGACATTGATTTGGTTAAATATTTATTTATTTTACTTAAAAAAGGAAATATTCAATTAAGACAGTTACAGGCTTTCTTTTAGATGGGGTGACCACTAGTTGTTGTGTCAGCGTTAGGTTAAGCAGCTGTAGATTGGCCAGCTCTTGATTTAGATACATCCAAAAATTATTTCCAATCTCAATAACATTTCTCAACATTTTCCATTTTTAAAAAATTATACTTGTTTACATTTCCAAAATCGAGGGTGAAAATAAAAAAATTATAAAATAAAAATTCTTTAAATTCATTAAAACTCATCTTAAATTTATTTTATTTTAATTTTTATCACCAAAATATAAAATTAATTTGCAATTGTAAGCAAACAATAAAATTTTTTAAAATAATTACTTTAATAAAATGATAAAAATTAATCTTTTATTCTCTAAATATTTCTAAATTTAATAAATATATTGATAAAATTATTTTAAAATTTTTATTTAGTAAAAGTTAAACTAATTATTTTCTCTAATTTTATCAAAATTATTTATTTATTTAATTCTAAAAAATTTTTAAATCAATTTAAAGAAAATTTAGTCAATTTTTGTTTTTCTATGCTTTGAAAATATTTAAATTAATTAAATAAAACAAAGCTCTTAATAATGTTTAAAAACATTCTAACTAAACTTTCAGCTTAATTTAGTAAAAGTTAAAATTAGTTAAAATATTTATTTTATTATCTTTGTTTTCTAAAAATTATTTTTATAAAAAATTGTTTATTTTATATTTTTGTTATTATCTACATATTTTTTTCCCGATTTTCCAAAGGACAAACATTCCTTTAAAATCTGTATAAGCTACTTTTATTTTTTCAATTTTTAACACTCGTCATTATATTATTTTTTACCATTATTATTTACAGTCAGTCCTTCCTCCCGTCCCCCAACCACTCACTTTCCCCACTTTCCGATCGTTTTCCTTATTCATTTTTTTCATTTTTATGGATTTTTTTCTAAAGAAGAAATAAATGACACAAAATAATACTTTCCAAAATTGCCAAACATCGCGCATTTATTCGGCTGGATTTATTTCCAATCCTTATACTTCTTTCCGCTCTTGTTGTCTCAGCTTTAACATAAAAGTAAGTTTTGATTTTTAATATTTTTTATTTAATATTTTGGCTATTTAATTAAACAATAAATCTTTTACATCCCACCTGATCTATTAAATAAAATTTTTTATGAGGAATTTTAAGCTGAATTTATAAAATGATTAAAAAAATAAAAATTATATTTGGAAAATTAATTAAAGGAAAATTATCTAAAAAATTAAAATTTAAAGTTAACGATTTATGTTGGAAGACATATTCTCGAGTTAATTACCTAAAAATATATAATTTAAAGATAATATTTTACTAAAATTGTTTTAAAACAAAAATTTACCCATTTTATATTAAATCCTTTTATTTTTTAATAAAATTCACTAAAAATTCTCTAGATAATTTTTACTAAAATATATTTTTAATTTTTTTAATTTATTAGGATCATGTCCAACTTTGCGGTGTTATCAGCCTTTCATTGTTTTTTTGTCTTGTTATTATTTCACTTTTGATTTTTGGGGCTCTCTCAATGTTTTATATAATTTGGGGTGCTATTGTTTATAGCCTTTTAATGAAAAGTATTTTTAGAGTTAATGAAAAGAAATATGTGGTTGTCTATTTAATATTTGAGGTTAATTGGAGTTTTTAATTTTAATGAAAAGGAAAATAATATTAAAGAATTTTAACCTTAAATGTTTTTTTGAGCTAACGTTCAATGCTTTAAATTTAAAAAATTTAAATGAGAGATTTGAGAGCATAATTAAATAATTAATAATTATACCTATTTTTATTTTTTTTTAAAATAATTTTTAATTTTATTAAACATTAGATCCTCCAAATTGCTTTTTATTTTGCCTTAATTTCTTATATTTTGTTACCTTTGGTATTATTCCAAGTTCCAAATCAACGCTGCGAGCCTTACTCTAGATTTTACAATGGAACACTTGAAACAGGCGAAATATGTAGAAGGACAGCGATTGTTGAAGGTAAATTTTAATTATAGACTGAAGGACTTAATAAAAATATTTTTTTAAATTATTATAAAATATTTTATTAATTATTTTTATTTAGATTATATAGAACTTCTTTTATTTTTATTTCTTTTGTCTATGGCCAAATTTTATTTTGTCCGTGTTTTTTCTCAGTATTACAAATATTTGGTTTGGAATGAAAAAATAAATATTCATTCGGCACATTATTTTAATGGAAGGTTTAAAATATAATTAAAATAAATATATACTAGGTACTTTTTATTTTTAGTGGTGTGCATATTTCTGCAATGCAACAAAATGTTTTTCAACCACCGCCTCCATTTTGGCAAACTCCTCCACCTTCTACCACCACACAAAATATAACAAATGGTTTTGTATTAATTTTTTGAATTTACGAGGGATATTAAAATAGAAAACGAAAAAAATTCGGGAATTTCCAGAAATTAGGAATATGGGGAGGGGGGGGGGTATACGGATATCAAAATCCCTGTCAATTACCAAGTCGGGAAATTATTAGAGAATTTTTAAATTATTCTTTTTTTAACTTTTTATTTAAAGTATTTTAATAATTTAAATCCATTCTTTGTAAAAAATAATTATTTACCTAACTAGTTGTGTCACTTCCAACTTATGAGGCATCTAAATTGCCAACTTATTCACAGACTGTAGGTGTTCAAAAACAAAAAACTTCTTCCAATACTCCTTTAAGTATTGAACAATCAAATGAGTGAATGGATATTTTGGTGAAAAGATTAATTTAAAAATTTAATTTTAAATACAAAAATATTTATGTATATGTATTTTCTTTAAATTTTGTCTATTAAAAAATAAAAGTTCGAAAAAATTTTTTTTGTTAATGATATGCCACAATAAATGCAAAAAATAATAATTAATTAAAAATGATTTTATCAATTAAAAATCATTTAAGAATATTTTTAATAAAAACATAAAAAGTTTTAATTATTGAGTTTTGTCAAATGAGGATTTTTCTTTTGCATCATAAATTGTTTGCATATTGGGAATATATTTTTTTATTTAAAAATTTACTTAATTTTTGATTATTTATTTTTAGCTTTAGTATAGTATTATGCAAGATTTTCCAATAAACTTAAACTAATTTTATTTAAAAATAATGGAAGGAAAAATATTTTTTTTAATTAAATTTGGTAATAAAATTAATAAGAATTTAAAAAATTTATTGGAAATAATTTAGCTAAAATTAGATAATCAAAAATTAAATAAAATTTTAGAACGGATTAGCTTATTAATTCATTTAATTTTTAGAAAAATTTCTTCCAAAAAAAGCTAAAAATTAATTTTTGTAAAAATTGAAAGTCAGGTGAAGTAAATACCTTTAAAAGGGTTCAAAACAGAGAATAATTTTAAATAAAATAAAATAAATTATTTTTAAAAATAAAATTCAATTAAAATGTCAATAACTTTTTATTTTCAAAATTCAATTAAATATTTTCAAATAATTTTTATTTTAAATCCTCTACTATTATGTGCTTCTTTACCTTTTGGTAAATTATACGTAAAAAATGGAAAGTTAATGGGCGACGGAGGCAGATGGGCACAATTAAGAGGAATGTCTTTGTTTCATAGCCAAATGGTTGAAGGTTCTGGCTTTTACAATGCCGAGACTGTTTACAAATTAAAATGTAATTGGCATGTTAATGTTGTAAGTTATTTTAAATGGACAATTAACAAGTTAAAAATTGGGTAAAATTAGGGCTATTTTGTTGATTGTGAATTGACTAAAATAATTAATTTTTACAAATAATTTTAACTAGGAACAGATTCAGCCCTTTTTGTCGTAATTAGTAAATAATACATATAATTCAAATATATAGAAAGTTTTCTCAATTTTGTTAACCAATTTTCATAGAGTTACTCTTCTAATTCTCTATAAGAACAACCACTGATGTTCATATCCTTTTAAAAAGTTCGGATAAGATGATTAAGTTAACATATACATTAATCAAAATATTTATAAATAATCAAAGGTTCGTGCATGTTTGGGTATGATGAATTATGGGAATGGAGGTTATCTTGCACACAGGGAATTGGAGAAGGCAAAAGTTAAAGCAGTAATAGATGCTGCAATTAAATATGATATTTATGTTGTTGTTAGTTTTCATTATACTGGAGATACATTGTACATAAAAGAAGCTTTTGAATACTTTAAAGAGTTATCATATGAATATAAAGGAAGATGGAATATGATTTATGAAATTTACAATGAAGCAATACATAATAATTGGTATACATTAAAGCAATATCATGAAAATGTTATTCGGGTAAGTTTCTATACTTAATAAAATTTTAGTATAATGTTAATTATAAAAAATTTAAAAAAATTTTTGAAGGAAGGCAAGTGAAAAAAGGATATGAAGGGTTTCAAAAATAAATGGATTTTTAAAAAAGTTCTAACCCGAAATAAAAAATGGCCCGATTTCCTTATGAGTAGGATTTTCGTTTTCAATTAGACGGATTGTCTTTTTCGGTTGTCGTTTTCGATTACCCCCTAAATTCTTCGGGTTAATTTTCTGAATTATAAAAATTCAAAAAAAAATTTTCAATAAGTACTATTTTTATTTTAGGCAATTCGAGAAAATGATAAAGATGCGGTAATTATTTGTGCTACACCTTATTATGATCAACACATTTCAGAGGCTATGAAGAACCCAATTACTAATTACTACAATATAATGTAAAATAATTATTTTTCTTAAAACTAAGTAATAAATCTTTCTAAATAAAATCTATTTTTTGGGGGCTTTTTTTTATGTAGACCCTTATTAGGATAGAAAATCAAGATTGCGAACAAAATAGCAGAAATGATAAATAAGAAAAACGGAAAACGAAGAACTGAACAAAGGAAACTTCTGCTCTGTTCTGAAGATTTTCTACGAATCAGCAACCCTAGTTATGAATGTTTTAGTTAAAATACATTCTTATTATATAGTTTCTTTGGTTTAGATGAACATTTTTACGTAAGTTGTACTTGTATTTAGTTTCAAAAAAATATAAAAAAATGACCGAAATAGATCGAAAATGAATAAACGGGGTTAAAATTAAATATTCTAATTTAATTTAAATTTAATTAGGTATACACTACATTTTTATGCAAGTGAACAGGGTGTTGAAAATTTGCGAAAAAATATTCTCTATGCGTTAGAACTGAACTTTCCATTATTTTCAACAGAATATGGACTAACATTAGGAAATGGAGACGGACCTGTTAATGCGTATGAAACAGAAAAATGGTAAAAAAAATTTTAAAATTAATTTTTATAATATTTTGTGTGGGGAAAATACTGAAGTTAATTTAAATTGGAAATAGAAATGTTGAATGAATGGACAAATAAAACTATAACAAATATTTTACAATCAAAATATGAAATTGATAAATAAAAATTTAAATACTTATATGTAGGTGGAAAATGTTAGATCAATTTGGTGTTCCATACATTAATTGGTCTATAAGTAATAAACGAGAAAGTAGTGCTGCACTAATACCTGGCTCTACTTCACGGAATGTTGACGATTATCATTATCTAACAGAATCAGGAAAAATTGTAAAGGATATGCTTATAAATAAACAGCCAAAACCTTATGGATGTTCAAAATGGGAAGAAATTGTTGATGATTTAATATCGGAAATTTTTCCTTTAAATAATGTGACTGATGAACAAAATTTTATTTAAGTCTTAATTATACCTAAGTATCGGATTTTTGGGTTGTAAAAACATTAAAATAAATATTTTTATGTGTATCTAAAATACTGAACAAAATGCTAAAAGAGTAAAAATCTGATTATAAATTGTTATGGGGCTTTCAAAAATTTTTATTAAGTACCTACATATACCTCTAGTTGTGACTACTGTTAAATCTTTAATGCCCCCAAAAAGAGAAAAGGTGACAATTTTGAGTGGAAATTGTTGTTGATATTCAACAAAATTTCACCTGCAGCGCTGAAGAGATGTGAATATATTAATTATTATTTACGTTTTAAGGTATAACTATTAATTATTTTTTGAAGTAAAATTAATTCCTTCTTTCATAAAAACGTCTAAATATTTGTCACATAAAATAAAAAGTTGTTTACTACTTTTTAACTTTATGAAAATTTAATTTAAAATATTAAAAAATATGTAATTTTTCTAGCTGGTATATCTTTATCTTGTAAAATGAGTAGGGTTTACTAAATCTTCGGGGTTTACTCATCCAATCTTTGGTATTTTGTTTACCAAGATACTTTTATTGAAAGTAATAAACTTTGGATTTTTTATATCCTGCCGTTTAAAAAACATGAAAAATTATTAAATACTTTGTATGTTTATGTCAAAGCATTAACCAAAACAAAATACTTTAGGTTTGGAGTAAATATATAGCGAATCCTATATAATTTTTATATTTTGGGAACAGAATTTCCAAAGATTTGGTGATAAAACTTTTTCAAAAATTTAAATTAATTCTAAAATTACGTTGTCTTTATTTCCAGGCAATCTTTTAATTTTATTATTAAATACAGCGAATCCCATCTAATTTTTTTCAAATTTAAAAATTTTATTTAATAATGGTAATTACTCCATATAATTCTTCAACTGATTTGGTAAAATAAATAATTAATATGTTTATATAATTTTTTCAATTTAAAGTGGTATTTGTATTTTAATAACGAAAAAGGTTATTCTACTTTAATTGAGATGTATGGAATTCGTTCAATTATTGCTTTTGTTGCTTTAATATTTAATTTGTCAATTGTTTATGTTACTTTGATAAATAAGTAAATGAACATAAATTTAATTAAATTTAATAAAATAAAACAAAATTAAAATGTACTAGAATTTAAAATCTAATAATGTAAACGTTTTATAATGTTTTTCCAAATTGCTCAAATTCAACAGAATTTGTGTCCTAAAAAATATTAAATAAAAATTTTTTTGTCTATTTCCAATTTCTTTTCATTTTATCAGATCTCTCCACAGTTCTTGCCAAATACTTATAGCTTTGGAAAGTTTTTTTGGAATATTTTTAAATTTAAATTATTTTGTCAGCTTCATTTTGGCGTTAATTGGACATCCATTTATTAAATATATTTCTTGTTTTCGGCTACAAATTTTGTCAAATATTACAGGAAATAATGCACAAATGACAATGGTTTTGATTGGATTTGATCGTTTATTTGCCGTTAAACTGCCTGTTCGGTAAATATATTTTTCGAATTTGAATCAATATATCTCCTTCCGAATCCCATTTTTGTAAGATTAAAAGTTGACATTTTTGTGTCAAAATAAAAATTCAGTCAAAATTTGAACGCAAAATTTTGATTTTGTCAAAAATCCACTCCCAACTTTTTAATTTGTTTCTTTATATCTCTAATATCTGTTTTTATATATTTAGGTATAAAATTCGAAATACAAAGCTTTATATGTTGGTAGTTGGGGCAATTTTAATCTTATATGCTAGTTATCAATTATTTCTTTATCTAAATGTTTTGGCAGATACAGATGGAGAAACGTTAATTTTAATTTTTACTATTAAAATTTCAAAATATTTAATAAAAAAATTATAGAATATACAAATAAAACACAAATAATCCTCATTTAGTTGCTAGCTTTAATTAAAACAATTAACTACCTTATTTTCTCGATTAATTCCCCTGCCTTGAATGATTCCCCATGTCACGGATTGAAATATTAATTCCTCAGGGGAATTGATGGAGAAAATACGGTACTCAAATATCATTTTTCAAAAATTATCTAGGTTGGTTACTTGTTCAAGTTATGATATAGGCCGTGGCAGTTGGTCTGTTATAATGTATTTTAATGGAATTATTCTCAGTTCTATATTAATGATTACCTATATTTTTATTTGGTTTTTAGTTTTTTTAAGAAAAACTTCTGAAAATTGTAAAATTAAAATAAAAATTAAAAAAAATTATTTAAAAATAATTTTAAAGCCATTTCTCCCTCTAAGCGTCGAATTATTAAATCTTTATTAATTATTATGATTATAAATTTGATTGGTGTTTTTATGAATAATGTTATAAGGCAATTTTATAATTTTGTCGATGTTGATGTTGTCACAAAAAATTTTATAACATTTATTAATTCTCATTTAAATATTGTTGCTTACAGTTCGAATGCACCTGTTCTTTATTTTTTCAGGTAGAAAATTAATTTTTAAAATAATTTAGAAAAGAAAGAGGAATGGGTTAATTGGTTAATTATTTAGTTAAAAAATAAAAGTTTATTTAATAATTAAAATAAATTTATTTAAGTACATATATGTACATATGTCATTTACTAAGCAGTTTCTGAAATCGTCTTCTTTTACAAATCTACATAAACAAATTTAAAAAATAAATATTTTATTACTAATTTAGTAGCTTTAAAATTTTCAGTAAAAAATATCGTGCTGCTTTTAATGAATGCCTGTTAGTTTATTTAAATAAATCATCGAATCAAGTTGCAACATTAAATGTTCATCCTCGAATACCAAAACAAGTTAATAAACCTCTTGCAGTGATAGATTGATTTCCGATAAAAGGAAAAGAATGTGGAATAAATAAAATTTAATTTTACAAATATCAACAAAAATAATCAAGAAAACGATAATGATTTTAATTAAAAAATGTTTTTTTATTTGAAAACAGGTATTTTGAATAATTTTAAACAAATTTCTATGACAATTAACTTTTTAAATAAATAAATCTTTTGACAAAGTTAATTGAAATGTAAAAGGTATCGAAATTTAAATTCAACTTTAATAAATAATAAAAATCAAAAAGCGAATATTCGCCGATATGAGTCCGTATAAAGGATATACGGCCGCGGAACAGACCTCATTATTTCATATTTCGTTATATTGTGGATAGTGAAAATTTGATAAACGGAATATTTTCAATGTTTTTTGAAAGAGGAACATTTTTATATACATATTTCAAAACTGAAACAACTGCTAAGAGTTTTTTTTTCAATAATATAGGGTTTTAAATAATAAATCACTCTTTGGTGCAATACTTATTTCCGACACTGTACAAAAAAGCAACTTGGAAATATTCATATCAATTTTACTGCATTATTGCTTTTGTTTATTTAATTGAAAATAAATTCTTTTAAATTAAATAAAATTTATCAACTAAAACTACATAGTGAATCAATTGTGAAAAAGAAAAAATAAAAATTTAGTGTCAAAAATAAATAAGCATTTTTAGTTTCTAACAAACACAATTTATCACTAAAAAAATTGGGCGCTTATTCAAGTAAAGCAGCTGGGCTATAGCTATTTCTCCTTCAGCTGTTGCAGAAGGTTTTTTTGACGCCTGAGAGCGAACCAGCATCTTCAGTAGATCCGACTTATGTGTTATCCATTACACCACGCCGCCTACTGCACAGCCTTAGGAATTAAATAGCTATATTCATTTTGATTGAAGAAAAAATTAATAATTTTGATAGACAGTTAAAGGTAGACCAAATTCAATGCCCCACTTCGTTCTGTTAAAATAATTAAAATAAAATCGGCAAAAAATGCCACTAATGTTTCACCAAAAAATTCTTTTAAAATATTATAAAAAAACCTCAACATCTTTTCTTATATTTGTTTAAAATCATTTTATATTTAATTTTCACCATTCTTCGTGTAATACTCACAAAAAGGCAAATTAAAAATATTCCCATCAACCCTCACTTCACTATAAGCCAAATTATCTACTAATCCAAAATTTTCGTTTTTATTTACTTCATTTGCAATTTTTGATAAAATATCTTTCAATAAATTTAAAGAAAGTCCAGGGAGAAATTCAATTTTATCCAATTCAGAAATATTTTCCAGTTCTGGAAACAATAATTGGCATTCCCCATTCAGATATGACAATATACCATTAGCTGTTGGACGATGATGAGGATTGTATCGGAGTGTTGCCTAAAATTTTTGAGAATTTTTGAAAGAAAATTTTTAATTTAAATGTGTTTATTGAAACATTTATTTACTCAGCTAATTATTCTCTCTTAAATAATTAACTCTCCCATATTAGCAACCCCCTTAGCAAAGGGATCTTTTCTTCTAGGAGTATAAAGGAGAAATTTCAGTGCTTGAACCGATTGCGGGTGCTCTCTTAAAATAAAAAAAATCATCCTCCTCCCCTCGCATCCAAAAACCGATTTACATATCGACGTCGATGTTATTCAATTCCATTGAGATCTCCCGTAGAAGATAATGAATTTTGGGGCAATTTTTAATATGGTCTACTGAAACGACTATAGATTTTTTAAAACAAGACTTAAGAATCTTAGATTTTGTCATCTAATAGAAAATTGAATAGGCCACAAAATAGGTATAAAATCAAAGAAGAATATTGAGAAGGAAAAAAGTTATAAATAAATTAATAGGGTCAGAAAACTTTATTTTAAATTATATTTTAAATTTATTTTTTAAAGTTTTCTCTTACAATAATCAGAAGATATGTTTTTGGACAACAGATTCTTGTTTGCAAAATTAACGTCAAAAAACTAAAAATATGTTCCCAATCATTCAATAAAGTTCTATACCATTCAATATAATTTCTTGTTGCCATTTTATACTTTTCATTTATCCAAATCAAAATTTGACCATACTTTGGCTAAAACATAATAAAATTTAGACTTTATTTGTGTTCCTAATAAATGTTTAGAAAAATATTTTTTGTCTTAGTATCAGTTTTAATTATTTTTTTAAATATTATTTTTGAGGCTTTGATTACAATCTCACGAAGAATGAATTTTTTATTAATATTTAATATCTTTATTTATTAAAAATATTTATTTATTTATTAACTTACTCGTTTGTTATTATTTTTAATATCCAATTTAATTTTCTCATTCTTCACTTTAGCATTTAAATCTCCCATAACAATTTGAAATAAAATAATACCAATCGCCCAAACATCCGATTTCACGCTGAGTAAATAATGAAAAGGACATGCCTTTTTATGGTCAGGACATAAATTAATATCATTATGAGGACATAAAAATCCATGTACAGGACATATATTATGTTTAGAACAATGTGTATTTTTATGTTCGGGACTTCGATAAGCTTCTGATGAAAGTGGGGGCTTTCCGGAAATTATATGACGTTGATTTTGAAATACTATCGTTTTATAAAAACGTTCATTGTCCTCTTTATCAAAAACTTTAACACTTCCAAAATCTATAGCTTTTAGAATTCCTCTTCCGTTATTTGCCCGACTTCGACGTTTTCGAACAAAAATAAGGTTATGTGGTTTGAAATCCAAATGTACTATTTCTAAAATATATTAATTTTAATTATGAAAAATAAAAAAAAATTTGAGAGGGAATTATGGCAAACAAATGAATGTGACCTTTTCCAAAATATTAAAATATGTTATGGCTCCATAAAAATAATTCAAATAGGTACATAAGAGGGAAATACCAAAAAATGTTAATATACCAAATAATTACCAATTACAAATAATTATTCAATAAATAATTATCAATTATAATAATATACCGAATAATGTGAAATTAGAAAAACTATTTTTACATATACATATTCAGCATTTTTATTACTAAAATTTTTATTTTCTGGCAAATATGTATTTACTTTGTCTTGAAAATATGTATAACAAAAAAAATTTTTGTAATCCCAATTTTTATCAATAAAACTTACTTTCATTTAATTCTTTAAGAACAATAACAGCTTCTTTTATAACTCCAAAAACTTTATTATCATTAATTTCCCAATTTTCTCCACAGCCCCATTCATTATGTTTTTCAAAAATGTAATCTTTGAAGCAGCCACCCCCTCCCCATTCTAACAATGAATAAAAAATTCTCGGTATCTGATTTCGATCATCAATTCTAGTACTAAAAAAATAATTCTTTTTATTAGTTTTATTAAATGAATTAAATTCTTTATTTAAAAATTAGTGCTAAATTTTTATTTTTAAAGAAAAAAATTAACATTGCGTGAAGTTTGATAACTCTTCGTTGATTATCTTCTTCTGATTGACCAAATAAACTTAAAACTTCAAATTCATTAAGTTGCATTAATTGAACTGAATTCCTTTCATTTGGGTCGTTAGGTATACTCGTTTTTTTGAATGCAATACATCCTAATTGTGCCCGATTTTTTCCTCCAAGGGAATTACCTCTACCTTTTTTTAATGTTGCATGATATACCTTAAATTAATTTTTTTAATTTCTTAATTTTATTGTATTGATAGTTTTCTAAACAATTTTTTAGCTCAGAATATGATCCAGATCCTATCTTTATTTTATCATATTCAAGTGTAATAATTTCGCCATCTGGGCTGGAAATCTGAAATTTGCTTTTTTACCTATAATGTTTGAAACAAAAAATGATTGACAGTAAAAAAAGGAAAATTAATCTGAAAATAGGAGGGGTTGGGGCGGGATATTAATAAATAACCAAATTTTATTTTACCTCAGAATATGATCCAGATCCTATCTTTATTTTATCATATTCAAGTGTAATAATTTCGCCATCTGGGCTGGAAATCTGAAATTTGCTTTTTAGAAACTTGCATCTACGGAATTTTGTTTTCTGGAATTTTTCTTTTAAACAAAATTTTGCTCCAAAGATAAATGTTGCTCCCAAATCCACTCAGTGGTTAAATCACTGTTATTTGATTCGAGTGTAAAAAGTTTTGAAAATTTGTTTTAGCCCCTTTACACGTAATCTCTGAGGAAAAAAGTTTTTGTTGAGGGCAAAATTCTGCATTGAAGAGAAAAATTCAAGTAAAAAAAGAGAAAAATTCCGATAGTAATCCTCCTCTTATTTTTACCTGTGGAAAAACTCTTAAAGTTATTTCTTCAATTTCTCCTTTAAATTTATATCCACACATATCACAATAAGTTTGCGCATGAATTAAAGGTGGTAAAAATTGAAATAATGAAAATAATAAAATGGGAATAAAAATAAATTTGAAGAACATTTAATTTTTAAATTAATAATTGGAATTTTTAGCCTTTAAAAAATTAATTGTTTTTATCTAAATTTTTTGAATTATTTAAACACTAAAGTGAAAAACTTGAGTTTCAATAAGAGAGTTAAATTAAATTAAAGTTTAAATTTTGTTAATCTTAATTAAAAGCCTGGTGAAAGTAAAAAATCAAAACTTTCTTCAAAGAGGATTTCATAAATATGAAGACAAAACCGCAAGAATTCTAACTCAAAATTTAAAAAATTTCAAAAAAGAAATACATTCCTAAGAGATTGCCGCCACACAAGACAGGGGCCGTTTGTTTAATAATAAGTTATTTGTCCACAAATTTTCAAGTAAATAAGAATTACTCAGAATTTTTAATCAACATTCATTTCAACACTTTTATTTATTTTTCTTTATAAAAAAATTTTTTAAAGATAAATTTCAATTAAGAAATAAAAGGCTAATTTTACTATAAATGAGGGGATAAGGTTATTGACAGCCTTGCCTTCACTTTATTGACTTTTAAATCAATGGCATTGCTTTTTAAATATGAAGAAATATTTTTTAATAAATAAATTACCACCAATATATAAATTTAATTATAAATAAATAAAATTTTAAAAATATGAATTGTAAAGTTAGAAGAGGATAAATATTGTAATTAATTTAGGTAAGCACTATGATATTAACATTTAACTAATGAAATAAATATTCGAGATCGTAAACTTGAATAAAAATAGGGATTGTAAACGGAAAAGAAAACTTCAAAAAAGCTAAGGAAGCCAGTAATTCTGGTTAGAGTTGCACGAGATCGAGATTTTAGAATAAATCCGAGACCGAGATTGACCGAGACTCGCATGACCGAGACCGAGACCGAGATGCAAAATTTGACTCGAGACCGATATCGAGATCCGAGATAAGCCGAGATTTTTCAAAACATTTTTTATCCACCAAAACCCATTTAAATTAATTAAATATCATCTATTAATTAAATATCTATCATCAAAATCATATGTTTCATCAGAATCAATTTCAGTTGGTGGACCAAGCAACAGTTTATCCATATTTGCCTTTACAACTAGAATTTTTTCCATTTCTCCAGAAAGACTTAAGTATAAAGGGTAGGGGACACTTATGTACGGACACTTGTTTATTAGAAGGGGTCGGTCTGATAGAGGCAGTCGGTTTATTTTTCAACCTTCCTCTACGGGGTCGGTTTATTATAAGGGGTCGGTCTATTAGAGACAATCGGTTTATTTTTCAACCTTCCTCTACGAGGTCGGTTTATTAGAAGGGGTCGGTCTATTAGAGACAGTCGCACTATTAGAAAAAATACGGTTTATATATGTCACCGTCCAAATTACATTCTTGTCCAAATTGAATTTGGCCGGCCAATTGGGGAGTGAAGCCCCAAATTTTTAATTTTTCTTTGTGTTCAAGGTTGGGGTTGGGTTCCGCAAGTCTTCGCTACACGATGGCCGTGCTTCGCTGCGGTCGCGGCGACCGCAGCGAAGCGTAGCGGCGAGCGTAGCGGCGACCGTAGCAAAGCGGCGCCCGTCGTTCCTCTCGACATGCCCGCTTGTTCCGCAGCGGCAAAAACTTTTTTCCGCGAAGGTTGATGTTTATTCGGCATCGCCTATTTGTCCTGCCCCGCTCACTAGACAACTAAATTAAAGTGAGCACAACAATATACCAATAGCGAAATTTTAAATATTTTGCAAAATAAAAATAAATCTCAAGAAGGTCAATCTTTAGGGGTGTATACTGATCTCGGATCTCGGCGAGATTAAGTGCCGAGAATCTCGTCTCGGTTAGGTGGTCTCGTCTCGGCAAAACCGAGACCGAGATTGGAAAATGGCCGAGATTCTCGTCTCGGTCTCGGTCGAGATATCGATCTCGTGCAACTCTAATTCTGGTTACAGATTTCATTTCACCCTCTAAACAAAGCCAGGAAGATGACTAGTCTCGTAAAAAGACGATGTAAAGCATATACATAGCTATTTAATTTCTAAGGCTGTGCAGTAGGCGGCGTGGTGTGATGGTTAACACATCAGTCCGGTCTACTGAAGATGCTGGTTCGCTCCTAGCCGCCGATTAACCTTTTGCACTAGCTAAAGGAGAAAAATAGTAGCCCAACTGCTTTACTACGATTAGTCTCCTTATTTATTCACAAATTTTCAAGTAAACGAGAATTACTCAGAATAACTGTTTAATTTTCAATCAACATTATTTCAACATTTTTATTTTTCCTCATTAAGAAAATAAAAAAATTAAAAAAATTAATTTTAATTAAGAAATAAAAATATAAATTTTAAATGAGAGTGTAAATATTATATTTTAATTGACAGGTCTCACTTTATTGACTTTTAAATCAATGGCATTGCTTTTTAAATATGAAGAAATATTTTTAAATAAATAAATTACCACCAATATATAAATTTAATTATAAATAAATAAAATTTTAAAAATATGAATTGTAAAGTTAGAGATTGTTTAATTAATTTAAGCACTACGATATTAACATTTAACTAATGAAATAACTATTAGAAATGAAAAAATAGGAATCGGAAATGGAAAAGTAGGCTTCAAGAAAGCTGGGAAACCCAGTAATTCTGGTTACAGATTTCATCTCGCTCTCTCAAACAAAGCCAGGAAGATGCCTAGTCTCCTGAAGAATATTTAGTATTTTTGCGTTCATTAAAAATGTTCACCAAATTGCCCAAGATTTTGAAGTATACGTGACTAGCTGAACGAAAATAATTCAAAAACACATTTGTAACGAGGAACAAAGAGTCTAACAAAAGATTTGGATTGGCAGAAAGTAAAGTTGAAGTCCAAAAGTTTAATTTAAATGTAATAATTAAAAATTTTATTTTTGCCCAAATCCTTTACATTTCTCTCTTAATGAATTTTTAATATTACTTACTTGTTTCCCTTTTTACAATAGTAAAATCTTCTTTTAGCTTTTTTTTATATTTTAAATTATATGACACCAACTTTATGTATTTTCTAATCCTTTCAAAGTTTTTGTTCAGAGTAAACTAAACAAGCTTATTCGAGATTCTATAATATTTTCTATTTGGTTAGTGTATTAGGAAATGACCGAATGCTAGGTATATTTTAATTATTCAAAAATAATTAGAAATTTTGTGTAAGTATTTTACTTAAAAAACAAACAAAAAATTTTCATGCCAGCCTTTCCAAAATATTTTTAACAATCGATATGTTTTCTTTCTCATTTTTTTGTTTAATAACAAAGAAGCTGTCATTTGTTTGACAAATACATAGCCTTTCACACTTTAGCCGTAACAGCATTTTATCCTAACTTTATTTAAAGCTAAAGAACGAACATTTATTGGCAATCTTTAATTTATTTAACCAAAAATTATTTTTTAAATTAATTTTTTCAAATAGTAATTTATTATAACTACATAAATTACTTGTAGGTAGAAGGAGAAATTTTGTAAATTCTGGGACAGCACTGGATTAAAGTATATCTAATGTACATATGTATGTATACTCCGTAGAATAAATGAACGTGCCACCTCCACCTTATATTGAAACACCAGCAACTTCTTTAACACAGTCGACATCACTAAATGTTCCACCTATTACACAAACTTTCTACACAGATTCAGAAGGAGATGTAAGTAAATATACACTATCATTGGGTCTACAATTTTCTATTTCTCCCGAACTTTCCATTACGCAAAATTGAACATTTTCATAGCCCGCAGTTCCAGTTTCGTAGTCGTTCCATGATGGAGAATATGAGAATTCTTTTTCGTCCACAGAATAGGAAAAACTGTCCAGCCGTTGGGGAACCTAAAAATCATCGTCGGGCAGATACGAGGATCGCGTACCAAACTTTTTAAAATTATTAATCATAAATTATAGCGCCATTGCTTAACTTGTAATCAATTAATACAAGCCCCTTGTGATAGGTGTACTACCTGGTTTTTTGCTAGTTTTTGCGCCTTTTTAACTCTGTTTTTGTAATTTTTAATTTTAAATATAAATTTTATTTGTTTTAAAAGCACTTTCGATGGAATTTTGTGGCTAATTTCAAAAATAGTTGATTCATTTTTAGCTGATCCTGATAGGCTCTCTAATTAATCTTTAATATATTGTAGGTTTTAAAGTTGATTTTTTAATAAATTTTATTTTTATAATTCTATTGCCAAATTTGAAAATAATTAAATAGAAAAAAAGTTTGGATTATTTATTTACAATGAAATCTCAGTTTATGGCGAGTTCTCTCAAGTTATTAGCTCAGCATATTAAATAAAAAGAATGTTGTACCTCACTTAAATTTACATCCTTGTAATTGAAGAACTACATATAATGATGTATACACACTTGTGGTGTTGCTTAAGCAGCTCACGTGAACAATGGCAATCAAATTAAAAATATTACACTCACATTTTTCCACCTAGTTGAGCTCCGTATATTAAGATTTTTTTATTATCAATTATAAATTATACTCTCATCAAAATTACTTAAATAAAAATACAAATTTTAACCCAGAATTATGTCGCGTTTTGCGACGAGAAAAGAAAAAGAATATTAAAAAATAATGAATCACATTTAAATTATTTTGTTTGATTCATATTTAAAAAATTTATTTCGATTTCATTTTTTGTTCCACCCCCAAAATAATCATTATAAAAGACAAAAGCCTATAAACTCACATTCATTCATCCAACATTCAATTTAATTTTTCTCTAAAAATATAGGCTTTTGTGCTCCCCTTTAAAAGAATTTGAAGAATAAAAGAAATTGGAAAAACTTGTGTTTATTTTTTATTTAGGTGTTCAGGTTATTTAATTTTTGCCTATTCAAATTATTTTGAATAGAAGACAGAAAAGTTAGGACAAAAAATAAAAGGTCTCTTTTCTGTACAAATTAATTAAAACTTCAATTTATTTTTAAAAAATCAAACAAGGATAGTATATGAAATGGTTTAATTCAAATATTAAAATTTATTAAGAGGATAGACTAAGTGAGAAGTTATATAAAAATAAAATATTACATTTAGGGTTGCTGTTGGTTGATCGGGCTTATCTCGGTTCCGATCAACCTACAAATTTTTTGGATAACCACCAGCAACCCTGAATATTAAATGAAATGAGAGTTTTTAGTTACTAATTTGTACAAATTAATATCACAGAATTGAATGGCCATTAATTATTCATCACAAAAAAACAAAATACTTAATAGAAAATAAAAACAATTATCAAGGCAAATGAGTAATTTGATAAATAAAAATATTATAAAATTATAAATTAAAACAAATCAGGTCTTAATAAAGGCACAATCTTTATTTGAAATATTAAATTAATTTAAAACTAAATATTAGAACAATAAATATAAGTAGAGTTTGACACCGATATGTTACATGTGAGAAGGGTTTCCCGGGCCCAGAAACTGAGTATCTGATTATATCCATTTTTCAAAATTTCCAAGGGTTTAAACCGGAAATCCCAACCCGTGTCAGTTTGAAAAGTACTAAATTCAGATACAGGACCCAGCAATTTGGAGATGTCGAATTCTAGTAAATCAACAAATTAATTTTGAGAATGTAGAAGTAACCCGTATAATTTTCTGGAATATTTTTAAACAAAATTTAGACTATTTTTTCCTGCCAAAACATCTATAAGTAGGCGTGCAAGTGAAACAACAACCAAATATAGGAATTATAACTTTGCTGAGTAGAACATAAAAAATCTAAGAAATTAAGAATTTATTTAAATTTGTATAATATTTTCAAAAAATATATAAAATATTAATCTTAGTATCATTAAGGAAGATTTGGCCTTACCTAGGGTATTTTTGTGATTTGAGTTTCGATTTGAAGAGAGAGGGGCTTATTTGTACTTTCATATCTAACAAATAAGAGGACTGATCGAGTTTTATCGATAAACTTTCAACAAAACTTTTAAAAACTCAAAAAACCCCTCGATCAATTACTCAATCAATCCATCTACAAAATTCTTTTTTATTCAAAAACTAACCAAAATAACAATTAAATAGCCAAGAATATCAGAAGCAAGCATTAAAGCTTCACTAACAGATCCAATTCCTTTAACCCAATTAGCAGGATTTAAATATCTTGCAAATCCTTCAGCTGATATTTTATTGCATTGTTTACATGCCCCAATAGCCTCATTCCATTCATTTTGCATTGTGTTTTGTTCTAATTCATAATAAACTGATTGGACTGGGCGACACAATTCTCTTGATAATTCGCCATCGTCTGGTCTATAATTTTTACTTTTTTTTATAAAAATTTGATGTTTCAAATAAACTAAAAAATCACCTTAAACAAACTAGATGAATACTTCCCAAAGGATATGGTTTAATTCTTGTTTGAACAGATATTGGCATCCATATTTTATTATTATTTTTAATATTTTCTTCAATATTAGGTACATTTACACTAAATCCATCAATTTCCGTATTTCCATATAAATCATTTAAAGGTCTAACATATCCATTTAAAACACCACTAGCATTAAATAACTTAAAAAAATAATCTTTCCTTAATTATAAATAATTAATTAATTTAACTGTTAAATTAAGCAATGAATTAGAAAATTTGTCAACAATTAATAAAGCAGTAAAATCTCCCAATTTCGAAGAATTATGAACAAAAGTTATTAGCCTTTGTTTCTGATTTTCTGATTCTTTCAAAAATTCTTTTTGTGCTGAAAGTGTTAATTCTAAAGATAATCCTTCACTGACACGAACTAAAGCTATTCTTTGATTGGAATCTAATACTCGAGCAGAACGAATCCATTTATTAACTTTGTTTAAAGTTTCTGGAATTTTGAATTGTGTAGTTGCCTGAAAATTTAAAATATATTCTTTCTAGTCAAAGGCATAAATATTATTTGTATCTTTCTATCAAAAGACAAAATGTATAGGTCTAGGATATTTTTATCCTCGAACTTACACCTCTTTAAGATATGTATAATTTAGGATATATTGCATTAAAAATTAATTAGTAATTACATTATTGTCAGCATTAATATAATAGCTAGCATCAAGTACAGAACGATATCTCTGTGTGGCACAATCTTCAGCACGAGCGTGATGAATTTTATCTATGAACACTTCGCCAGCTTGTACGAACGGTTTATTTCTTTCATCTAATCGAAGCCATCCCAATTTATGGAAACTAATAAAAATATATATTAATTAACCCATCTAAGAAGAGATCAGGATTTTATTTATAATCCTTCATCTCTGAGGAACCTACATCCTATACAGCAGGGATGGGCTGCAGAATCCCTATTATTTACCCTACCGCTTTAGAGATGGCCCCTAAGGATTTTAAGAGGTAGCAAGGCTGATCCTTGCCATACACACTATAAATATATTTAAAAACATACTCATGTTCTGTTATTCTATTTACAGGCATTTGCCCAATCAACTCTCCAATCGTTCCATCAGATCCGATTTCTGCAAAATAAACGCCAGCATCAAGTTGTACACCTGCCGATTTAGCTCCAGCCAGACCCAAAACCGACAATTTTAAGCCAGAAATTTCACTCAAAATCTGAAAATATTTTTTAAAATTTTCCTTTTAAGTTCCCTCACTGTATTGTGAATGGCTCCATCTAATTGAATTCGAATTTTTCTTTTCTCCAATTCCTCCCAATGACCTTTTAATTTTTTCTCATTATTCTCCTTCCAACTCCATTGTGAATATTGTAGCAGAACAGAACTAACAGCATTTTCTAATTTTAGAGCAACAAATTTTCTGTCCCGAAAAGCTCTAAATCTCAACTGGCAACACAGCCTTGCATTAGAAGAATATTGTTCATGACGAGAACAATGCTCTCCTGTTGGCTGATTGGCAAAAAATGTTCGATGACAGACTGATGGCGACTTAAATTTTTCTGAATTTTTATTTTATTTTTAATTAAAATTTACTGTTTCTTTATTATTTCCTTCTCTTTTGTAGGCCCAATTTTCTATTTGCTCATAATCTCCCCCACTTTCTCCTCCTTTGTCTTTTTCTATCTCATCATCCGAACATTGCCCATATTTGTAGTGAGCAGCTGCACAATTTGCACTTCCAGACTCACATTCACAAATACACCGAGTTTCCATCTCGGGAATGGCAAAACGATATCTGAGGAGAATTTTTAATAAATTACGAATTTAAAAAATAAAGTGTTTGTTTTACTCATTTTTAAATCTAAACATTAATTTTATATATTTTAAATTATCTTTTTATTTAACTAAAAATTCAGAAGAGGATAAAAAATGCCGGAATACCCCGACTAGATTTGTTGATATATTAGGTTTTATATTTTAAATTTTTTAGATAACCTTTCTGTAATTGCATGATACTGTTCAAGCCCCAAAACAGTTATAGAATGCAAAATATTTTCTTCAATTTCGTTTGATTCTTCAATTTCAATTTTTGGTGGTGTTGTTAACTTTTCATTTAAATTTTTAATATTTCCCCTTCTCCTTGTAGCCAAGGAAACAATAAAAGAATAATTTGATTTTTGTTGAGTAATAACTTGTTGTTCTTCTTCATTTTCCTCCTCTTCCTCATCCTTTTTGATTTCTTCTTTTTTATTTTCCTTCATTTGCAAGTCAGCACTAACAGGTTGAGGAATACCAACAGTAAAACAAACACTTTGACCAATACCAACATTTAAAGAAAGTTGTGTGGAATATGTAGGTGAACGTATAGAAGCTGATGAGGAATTTGCTTGTCTTTTTGTTACTAAAATAATTTTAAAAGTATTTATTTGGTTAATAATTCTTCTAACAAATTCTAATACTTCAATTAACCAAAATATAAGTTAGACAGCCCCGAACAATTATTACTTGTACATATACCTACCGTATTTTCTCAATTAATTCCCCTTCCTTGAATAATTCCACCTCTCGAGTAATCCAACATGCTAGAGTTGGATTGAAACAATAATTCCCCAACCCCAAATACCCCACTGCACGTTCAAATGCCAAAACCCCATGCCAAATAAGGGTTAAAAAAATAATTCCACAGGGGAATTGATCGAGAAAATACGGTAACTACATTATAATCAGCCTAAGGGGGAAAGGATTTCAACTATTTAAATTCCTTTAGCGTTAAAACAGCAAGTCAAAATCAACTTACATTTAGATCCTTGTGTAAAGGTTACAGTTGCTCTTGTACAATGTGGTGGAGAAATATTATTGTGTTCCAATTCATTTAAATTCTCTATCCTATTTAAATTTAATCTTCTTTCATTATTTGAATTAATTTTATTTTGTCTACTTATTCTTCTTCTTGGATCTATAGGTGATAAGTTAACATTGTGAATAAATAATTGAATAAATAAAAATATCCAAAGGAAAGGGGAAAGTTTAAAAGGCATAATAATTATTCTCCCTTTTTAATGGAGAATTTAAAAAATAAATATTTTTTAATTAAAAATATTTAATTTTAAAAATAACATATCTAAAAGAAATAAAAATTTTAAGAAAATAATTTTTAAATTAATTAAAGTACTTTATTTAGATTAAATATGTAGAAAATTTTAGAGGGCAGAGAGATGTTTTTTGGAAGTAAATAAAGAAGAGATATTATCTTAAATGAATACAAAATATATTTAGTTAATCCGATTTGGGACAAATGTTCGTTTAAAAAAACTTTTTGTAATTTAAATAAAATGAGGGCGACATTTAATACAAAAAATTAAAAAATAAAATTTTATTTTATTAATTAAAAATACTATCAAATATACATATATTTAACAGCTACTCTTTACCTAATTCGAAGTAGAACTCTTTTTATTCTAATAAATTCTGAATTGAATAAATTTTGTTTAGAATTAGAAGGAAATGTTGCCGATTTAATTAATAGTTTGTTTGTAAACAAATTATCAAAATTATTTTAAAAAATTTTCAAAAGATAGCCGCATCTCTCTTAGAATTGACTCACCCCATCTTAAAACAGCTATAGCAAGTAGTAATTTCACGACTCCAAGAGCTGATTCCAAGAACATCGTTCTGGAACTGTGTAACCTCGAGAGTGACTTAAATTAAGGAGATAAAATTCATTTAAATAAATTTTTAAATAATCTAACAAATTTTTTAATATCTGTAAAGCTCTCAATTCAATCTTCCTCACAAAAATAACGACTATTTATTATTTAATGTATCTTTATAGAATTGGCCATTTAAGAGCAATTATATTTCTACTTTACACACTAATTTAATCATTTCCTGAAGAAGAAATATTTTTTTTCAAAAAAGTGTCTCCCTTCCCCCCACTTTACTTTCCCGCCCTCAAAAAATTATTTTTTTCCGTTAAAAAGTCTCCCTCTCTCTCCTTTTTTCTTCTTCAATTCCCCTCAATTAAACATAAAAATTGTCTTGCTTTTTCCAATCATTTTTTGGAACATTAAAAGAAAAAAATATTTATTTCTGTATCAATTTCTGTTGCCAATTATTAGTATAAAATTGTTTACTTTTTTTAATTTAATTTTTGCGCGAGAAACCGTTGCATTCTCGAAAATAAAATTTTTTTGGAATTTCTATTTTTGCGAGAAAAGGGGCTAAATGTTTGCAGAAGAAAAAAGGGAGGGAGGAAATGTTAAAAAAATATCTGTAAAATTGATAAAATAATTTTTTATTTAAATTGTCTTAAATAATTAGTGGTCAAATCAAATGACTTTTAAATGATTAATAATCACATTTTTTGTGTTTTCTAAATAAGGAAATGTCCAGAAATTAAAAAATAATAATTATTAGTTTTGTGGAGATAAATATATGTATAATCTAATAAAAATTAAAAAATTAATAAAAAAATAAATTGAGAGATGAAATTTTAGGGATGTGTAAAATAGGGTTGTACCCCAGGACGGGATTTTTGAATTGTTTAGGGATAAGGTTTGAGTCGGGGAGAATCCGAAAAAATCTTTCGGAAACGGGGTAGGGGCAACTCTAGTTTAAAATAATCAGAAAGTTTATCCAAAAGGATATTTAAATTTTTTGAGTTTTAAGATAAATTAATTATTGGAAGAAGATGCAAAGAGGGAGTTGATTTTGAAAAAATTTACAAAATTTTAGAAATTTTACAAAATTTATTGAAATATAATTAATTCTCTTTTAATTATCCTCTGGAAAAAATATTTTTCTTTTTTTCCAAATTTTTTTAGAAAAAATTCCAAAAAATACTTTTCCAAAATTTTTTCTAGAGAATAATTAAAAAAGAAAAATTTAAAAATTTTTAAAGAAATAAATAATTTTTATTAATTTGTTAATAAAAAATAAACATTTTTTCTATTTCATTTAAAATTGTTGCATAATCACCTTTAATGAAATATAAACTCTTTGTGTGTGTTAATTCGGAAATTTTTGCGGGAAATATTTAACCCAAATATTTTAGCAAAAGGCGTGTATCATTAATTTCACTTAAAAGAGAGTTAAAGTATATCAATCATTTTACCTTTTTAATTTATATTTTCTGGATCATTTAATTAATTAAACAAAACAAAATTAAAAATATAGATGAACACAGAACTTAAATATTCCCAAAAGTAAATAACTTTCCATTTAAAATCTGGTTGTTCACCTCGTTATATCAAGGGAGAAGTATTTAAAATTGAGATTATTTTAAAATATTTTTGAAAATAATTTCTAAAATATAATCAAAAATTTAATTTTTCCTTAATTTTCCTTTTTAATTATTTTTCATTAAGAGGAAAATATAAATAATAAAATAATATTTAAATTGGATTCTCAAATAATTTTAAAAAATTCAAAAATTTATCAAAAATAAAATAAAAGAAAATAGTAGGATATTAAAAAAAAGATGAATAATCGAAAATTAAAAAGGGAAAAATAATAAAATGGTTTTGATAGGCGACGTTTCTCGCGCATTAAAAAAAGAAAATAAAAAGTGGCACTAAATTAATAAATATTGCGCAAATGAATGGAACGGAGAGAGGGGAAAAATAAAAAAAGAGAGGAGTGATTGACCGGTTAATTTTAAGAATATTTATTTATTTTTCAATTAATTTTAAATTGTCAAAAAAATAATAGAGAGGAGGGGGGGGAGAAGTTTAAAAAAAGGGGAGGGGTTAGCGAATAATGAAAAAAAATATTTTTAACCCAAATATAAATTTACTTCTCCCGCAATTCGTTTAATATAGAGAGGGAATAAAATAAATAAAAATTAATTGAAGGTTAAAAAGAAGTGAGAGAATTGACAGTTTTTATTTAATCGTTTTAAAGGACTTAAAAATTAATTTAAGTAAATAATTTTGAAACAATTGATACAGTTATTGTTTTAAATTAAAATATTTTCATTTTTTAACACTAAAAGAAAACAAATGTCAAATTATTTAAATTAAATATATGATAGCTAAAAATCTTTTCATAGATTAAATTTGATCATAAATTGTTTCCTTATCCAATTTCTAATCCCTTAAAGATTTTTGAAATAACTGTAAAATTAGAAAATATTTCTGAAACTAGTTACATTTGTTCTCGTTATTGTATTATACTTTATTGATGCTGAAAGTATCTTATTTATATAAAAATTTGAAGGGTTTTTATACATCTCCCACTTATACATCTCTACTCAATGTTCAAATAAATTTAAAAAATTTAGACTAAATCATATTATATATACATGACTGGTATATTATAACGAGATTTGACTTAATTTAAAAAGTGTCTACAATATTTTTAAATTGACTCTAATTTCTTTAAAAAATTTTTATTTTTTTTATTTAAAGAAAAACAAGGTTTATAGGTAATTGGGACTTATTTAGTTTTTTAAAATTTATTTTAATTTGTTTATTTTAACATACGTATTTAATTATTTGATAAAAAATTAAAAAAAAATTATTTTGGTTTTTAAAAGTTTTTTTCTGTTTAAAGTCTTCAATTAATTTATTTTTATTTTTCAAAAAACTTTTTTTTATTCTCCCTTTTTTTGATGTTTCCTTTCACTTAATTGGAGGTCACAAATCTTCTTTAATTAAGACACAAAAATATATTAATAGCCACAAATTGTGTGCGGATTAATTGGATTAATTTGAAGGTATCACTTTTATTTATTTATTTTTATTTATTATGTCAAAGCGGATTAAAATTAAAAAGAAAAGGAAAATGCGGGGAATGCAACACTAAACTAAAATATTTTTTACAATTATTTTGGGAGGTAATTGAAAGACGGGAAAAGTAAACGATGAAAAACAAATTTTTTGTTTTTAAATATTTTTTTACCAAGTAAGGCAATTTCATAAAAATAAGCAGATATAAATTAATCTTGGTTATAATTTCGATAGATAATGATAGTTAGGACTTTTCTATTCGGAAAATTTCTGTTAACGAATATTTTGGAGCATTATTAGTACAAACACCCACCAACGTTCTTTCTAATTATTGGATGCAATAGATGATTAAACTTTCAAATCAGTAAATCTAATTCTTTAAATACCTTCTCTAAAACAAGTTAATGATAATAAAAAATTCTTCTTTCATTAGTTTCTAGACTGGATTTTGATAAATTGATCAAAGTGATATTTGGTGATTCATTGTTTTTGTAGAAAAAACAATTTAAAGTTTGTATTTATTAGTTTTTGATAAATTTAATTGAGACTGACTGATATTGGATGTGACTCATAAAATAAAATTTAAATTAATTTAATTAATTTGAAATAAAATTAAAAAAATTTCAAAAAAAATGCTTCTTAAATTTTAAAAATTGAAAAAATACTTTAAAAAATTTTTAGAGATTTTTAGATTACATTTTTCTGAGATACCTATTAAAGCAAGGTTTACTTGCTGTTATAACGAAAAAAGAATATCCTATTATATTTGAAAACTTCACATATATTTTTGATTTTAAAAACATTTTTAAAAATTTTTTCGGATTTTTCTTTCAATTTTATTTATTTAAAAATACATTTTCCTTTTAAAATCCTCTTGATTTACTTTCCTTAAAGAAATTAAAATTGTAATACAAATATTTGTTCAAAAGTGAATAATTTTCAATAAAAGGGCAATTGAATAAATAAATATTTCTCTCAATTAAGTATTGAAACATTTATTTATTTTTATTATTCAAGTGTTAGAAAAGGAAATGAATTGAGAAATACAAAAAGAAATACATAGCTTTAAATATTTTATGAGAATTTAATTTTTTTTAAAATTTTTATTAAAAACTGGAAAAAAATAACACAAAAAATACTTAAATTTAAATGAACGTCTTTAAATAATTATTTAAAGAAAATAATTATTTTTATTTTAATTTAAATTAATTTATTTACATATTAATTTTAATTAAAATTCCCACGATTGTCATCGTCCAAATTCTTATCATTTTGCAACAAATATTTTTAAAAGCATGGGAAATGTGTTAAAATTCCGATTATTCAATAATTAAGAAATTAATTTAAAAAAATTATTGGAAAATTAATTTTATTTCAGATAAGTAAATAAAATTTTTTGATGAAAGTTATAGTAAATCTCGAAGTAAAAAGAATTTAAAAACCTTGCACTTGAAAGCATCAAAAAATATTTATTTCATTAGCTATAGACGAAAAATATTCAGCTGAACAAAACTCAGTTTCATTGTTTTTTCTCCCAAATTTCGCTAAATTTTTGAAAACTTTAAAAATATTTCTTTTATTAAAAATTATTTTTAGTTAAATTTAATAGAAGGAACTTTATTGAAAAATAAATAATTTAATAAAATAAAAGCATTAATCACACTTTTTTAATTTAATTTTCATCAAAATTTCTCGCGCATCTTCTCCTTTTCTTTCTTTTTTTGACAATTTTTAATAAATTATTTTTTAATTTCTCTCTCTTTTATTTTTAAATTTCATCATCATCTCCCTTCAATTGCGGGTTTTTATTAATCTTTTTAGCGGATCTTTTTTATTATGAATGACTGTCCTCATTTTTTTGTTTTTAAATTTTAATAATTATTTTTTTTGTTTTTTGAATGATTAAAAAATAAAAGTTTATAGTAATTTTAATGAAAATAAATATAATTTAAATAGTAAATTATTTAATTTTTAAGGAACTTTATTGGGGAAATTGTTGTTATTGACATATAAACTTCAATTGCCAGACTTTTACAAATTCCGAGAGATTAATTAGAGCATTAAATTAATTCTCGATTTATTTAAATAAATATAGGTATCGTTCTATAAAGTGTAAATAAATTAAATAAATTTAATGACATGTTAAATTAACCGTAAAAATAACAAAATAAACATTTTACATTTAAATTAAATATAAATTTAAATTATTTGAAAAAATATTTTTTTGTATTTTTTAATTCAAAAATTTATTTTTTAAGCAATTTATAAATTAGATAACCTTGAAAAATATTAACGTAAAAAATAATTAATTTTAAAAAGCGCCTTTGAGTAAAGATGAGTGCGCGAAAACAGATCTCTTTTAATAATAGTTATAATTTTTTCTGTCATCAATCTTTTAATTAAATAAAAAATAAAAAAGAATTGTTTATTTTAGAAAGTTTTAATTTAAAAATAATTTGAAATTAGGGACTTTTATTGTAAATAAAATTTTTAAAATTTGTTGACCACTGGTTGTTGGGAGAGCCTCCCCGGGCGATATACATATTTACAAAATAAAATGAAAACAAAATTTTAGATAAAAATAAAAATTAAATTTTAATTTAAAACTTTAATAGGCAAACAAGAAATTAAAATACACGGCTAACTTTTTTTAAAATGCCAAATTTAAATTTAAAAAAGGGAAGAGGAAAAGGGCATTCTCGAGGAGTGTCTGCCCTTCTAAAGAGACGTCTAGAATTTTCCTTTGTCTTTAAAATTTTTTAAATTTTAACTTCATTGTCTAGAAAATTAAAGTCACATTTTCCTTTATAAAACTTCAATGGCATTAAAGAAGTCTAGACAGGGCGGAGAAGCTGCCTCTTCGCCAGGATTCTTTCCAGAATAAATTCCTGAGGAAAATTAAAGAATATTGTCAATCTATTGAAATTAATTTTTATTTTAATTTTTAATTACCCTACAAACATGTTTAAAGGAAGTTATTTATATATAAATTTTTAAGAAAATAATTTTTTTTATAAATTTTTTTTTATTTTTTCAGAATAAAATATGAAAAACAAAATTTTAATTTGTTTTTTGTTATTGACAACGATTTTTGTTTTAATTCATGGAATCGGGAATACTAAAATTGAGACTAACAATTCTGAAGTTAAATTAGAAAGTCCAAAACAAAAACCGTTAATTCCAAAAAATTCAACTCACAAAAATGTCAAGAATTCCCAAACAAAAGCCTCAGCAAAAGTAAAGCCAGAAGAAGAAAGAAGCCAAACAGAAATAGAAAAAAAAGAAATCAAACAGAAATCTGATTCGAAAAGTAAAGCAGGCGTGAATATGTCGGACTTAAAACGGGTATTGTCTGCTGGAGTACTCTCTTATAAAGCAAAAGGAAGAAATTCTGAGAATTTCTGGAATGAATTGAATGTAGATAAAAGTAAATAAATTTATTTATTTTTAATTTTTAAATATTATATAAGTAATTATTTTTCTAAAATAAAAAATAAGTAAAAAATAAGAATCCATTTTTCCATTAAAAGCTTTTGTATTTATTTACACAGTAATCTTAAATATTGTTGTAAAACAGGGTTACGATTCCTACTTTTTAAAAAGTATTCTACTTTTAAATCGACCTCCATGCTTACGAAATTGAATTTATACTTTTTTGAAAGTATATACTTTTTTTTGAATGAAAATGAAATTGGGGAAGGGATTGGGCAAAAAAGTGAATTTTTTTGGCCTACGGCCTTTGAAATTCTCAAAATTTTCGCCTGCGGCGCTGAATAAGGAAGAAATTTAGCTTCTTGGGTTCAAATTTCAAAAAATTTTCGCCTGCGGCGCAAAAAATGGAAAAAATCTGGCTTAAGGACCTCCAAAATTTTCAAAATTTTCGCCTGCGGCGCAAAAAATGGAAAAAATCTGGCTTAAGGACTTCCAAAATTCTCTAAATTTTCGCCTACGGCGCAAAAAATGGAAAAAATCTGGCTTAAGGACCTCCAAAATTTTCAAAATTTTCGCCTGCGGCGCAAAAAATGGAAAAAATCTGGCTTAAGGACTTCCAAAATTCTCTAAATTTTCGCCTACGGCGCAAAAAATGGAAAAAATCTGGCTTAAGGACTTCCAAAATTCTCTAAATTTTCGCCTACGGCGCAAAAAATGGAAAAAATCTGGCTTAAGGACTTCCAAAATTCTCTAAATTTTCGCCTACGGCGCAAAAAATGGAAAAAATCTGGCTTAAGGACTTCCAAAATTCTCTAAATTTTCGCCTACGGCGCAAAAAATAGATTTTTTGGCGCCTTCGGCGCCAAAAAATGTGCATTGAAATTAACAAAATGCTCATTTGAAACAAGAAATTATTAGAAAAGATTCATTTAGGAGGGAAATATGAAAGATTTGAGGACGAATAAATATTTTCTAATTTAATTTTGAGACTACTTTTTTTTCGCAAATTTTCTCCCTATATACTTTTTTATCGAGATTTTGATACTTTTGAGTGGTATTTTGTCGATCGTAACCCTGTTGTAAAATCAAACATTAAAATGATAGAATTTCAAAATCAAATATTCCAAGCTTCGGAGTCGGGTCGAATCAAGGAAAGCGAAAATTTTTCCCCTTGATTGAGAAAAGAATAGGATAGAATGAAGAAAAGAGTAGATACATATGTGCATTAGGCAAAGTTTCTACCAACCAGGGATGGGACGGGTTGAGAAAAAAGTCGGGTCGGGGTTTGAAAAAGAAAATTTTTCGGGTCGGGTTTGGGTATCTGATCGAAAAAACACGTTCTACCGTCCCATCCCTGCTTCCAGCCTATTTGTCTTTAAATATCTCGACTCTAATAAATAAGGCTAAAATAACAGACATATAAACTGCCTTGTTTTTATCGTTTTAATTATTTTAATAAATATTTTTAATTTTAAGATGCTAGCGTCGAACTAATTGAAATAATGGCAAATAATTTAAAAAGCGGTCCAGAACTGTCAAGCGACAATAAAATGTTGATCCAAAAATCAGCAAAACCCGAAGAAAATTCCAAATCAATAAAAAATAAAGATATAAATATTCTTTTTATTGAAAATTTAAAAAAGTTTATTAAAGATGAACAAAAAATTGAAATAAAAAAAGAAATGCTAGAAAAAATAAAAAAAGATTTAAAAAATAGATCTGAAACAAAAATTGAAAACATAAAAATTTTAATTGAAAAATTTAATAAATTAAAAATAACAAAAAATGAAGAGGTTGAAGAGGCTAAAGAATTGGCAGAAAATGGATGGGATGAGTTAAAAAATAAAATTATATATAGAATGGAGGAATTATCTGTTGAAATTTATGAAGATTATAGAAATGAAATTATTAAAGAAATTTATAAATATTCGGATTTGCAAAGTGAAAAAGAAAAAAAGGTTTTGAAATATTTCCTTTAAATTAAAAAAAAATTATTTAATATAATTGGGGTTGTGGATAATAACATGGGATAAAACAGAGTTATCTGTTTGTTTACTTGTGTTAAACAAAATTAAATTGTAAAAAAGTTCAAGTAAAATTCATAAGTTCCCTCCTAATCACAAAATAAAACAAAGTATTCAGGTGATATAAACAGGCAATGACCAGTACCTTTAACTATTCCTAATTTAACCAAAAAATCAACTAAATATTTTTGTAAAGCATATAGCTATTTAATTCCTAATCATCAGTCCGGTCTACTGAAGATGCTGGATCGCTCCCAGCCGCCGATTAATCTTTTGCTCTAGCTTAAGGAGAGAAATAGCTATAGCCCAGCTGCTTTACTTTTTAAAAAATTATTTTCAGATAAATAGCTTAAAAATTTTTTACAAAAATAGTAAATCCCAATTGGAAACAGAAAAAGAGGAATTAAAAAAATATATATTAACAATTGAAGAAAAACAAAATTTGGAAAACGTAATGAAAGCAGAAGAAAATTTTACAGAAATAATTTCTAAAGCCCAAAAAATAGTTAATATAAAACCAACACGAAAACAAAAAGAAGGAAAGGAGGAAGAAAATAAGGAAGAAACTAAACATGAAAAAAAGAAAGAATCTTTGATGAAAATTGTTAGAACAAAATCAGTTGATAGCCTCGCTACAATGGCAAAAGAAATTAAAAATACAACAAAAAATAAAGCAGAATTAGAAATAGAAGAATTATTAAAAAATTGTGGAAATTTGGAGAAAAAATGGGATGAAATTAAAAATATTGGAACTTCTATAGATTTATTTAATGAAAAAATATTTGATTTGGAAGATGAAATAAAAGGGATTATTAATGAAATTGAAGCTGATAAATATGTTAAAGAAGGTGGAGAAAAAATAATTATTGAGGAAAATAAAGGGGAAAAACAGTTAAATAAAGAAGAATTGAAAGAAAAACAATTAGAAGAATTTAAGAAAAAATTTAAAAAATTGAGAATATTTAATGAAAATAAAGTTGAATTAGAAGATGAATATACCGAATTGGAAGAGAAATTTCTAGCAGATAAAAGTAGAATTTTGTTAATTTTAAAAAATATTTTTTAGGGATTACATATTTAGGGGACTATTAGGGGTCATTAATTGCCATCAATATCCCACAGTCAATTTTTTGGAAAACTTTGTTCTCAAAATCCCTTGTTTACAAATAAATTTCGAATATCCGGAAGAGGAAAAGATAGGATAACCGAGAGTTTCGGAAAATATATTTACAAATAAATTTTTAAAATAATTTTCAGATCCATTAATTAATGAATTGAAACCAATTCTTAACCAAATTCGAAACAAAGCGGCAATTATATATCTAATATATAAATTAGAGGGAATAACAAAAGTTAAAAATGATGAAAAAAATGTTAAAATATTTACAAAAGAATTTTTAGAAAAAATAGAAAAAAAAGCTTTGGAACAAATGAAAATATTTAATGGAGACCAAAAAGAAGAGTTAAATTTAACAACAATTGAATTTAGATTATCGGTAATTATTTAATTATTTTATTTTTTAATTAAGATTTAATCTTTTAGACTTTTAATGTTTTAATTGGACATGCAAAAGGAAAAATATTTTTCGAAAATAAATTACTTGGAAATATTATTAAATTCATGGAGGATTGGAAAGTTGGAAATTTATGGGATGGAATGTTTTGAGAATTTTAAATTATTTTTTAAAAATAATTTATTGTAAACAAATGTAAACAAACAAACAAAATTTTTTTATCTTGACAATACTTTTTTGAAGTTAAACAAATTTAAAATAAAAAATAAATTTTTATTTTAAATTTGCTGTAAATTTTATTGTAAATTTTTTTTTATTTTTGTAAATTTTAAAATGTATAAAAAATGTTTTTTATGTTTATAACTTCTTAAATATTCTTGAGATTTTATTTTTTATGAAACAAACAAAAAATTTGTTTTTAATTAAAGATGGTTATTGAAAATGTTTATTGAAAAACGCTTTAAAGTTGTGTCAAACACTAAACTTAACAGAATACAGCCTGAAACTAATTTGTTTAAATACGCGATACATAAACTAACTTTAAATTTAATGTGTTAAAATTTCCCTAGGCTAAATAATTAATTAGTATTATAATTATGAATGAATTAATAATGTCTCTGAACCTATGTATTTCGTGACGGAATACGGATTATTTTGCTAAACGGGTTATTTTTTAGGGTTATTTTTCAAAAATTTGAGTTAGAGAATTTAAAGTTATGTAATCTTGGGCTATAATAAAAATAAAGAAATTTTAATTATTATTAAAAATATTATTAAAAATCATCAAAATATACAAAAAAATAATTTAAATTATTTTTATGTAAAAAGTAGAGATCAAATAAATTAAACAACAAATATTTGGAAATATAAAATTAATTTATATATTTTCCTTGTCTTTCATAAAATTTTACATTGAAGTTTCACGTGTAAATTCATCTCTTCTATTTTTTGGGAATAGTGAAGGTCTTAAAATTTTATAGAAATTTTATAAAAAATAATTTTTTAATTAGGCCAAAACAAAAATTGAGATTTACCTAATCCTAATATTAATATATTCCTCCTCATTTATTGTTGTTGAGGGTATATTATAATTTTCTTTTCTTCTCTTATTCCTTTCTTGTTTAGTTAATTTGTTTGTTGTTAATTTATTAATCTTCTTAAATAATTTAAAAAATATTTTTTTAAATTTATTTTTATTTATTTACCTCAATAGATAAATAATTTTGTTTATCATTTTTCTCCATTTTTAATGTTGAATTTGAGCTAAAATTTTTAATCCAACATTTTTTAGGGTTTTTAAAAGTTGAAGGATTATTTGTTGAATTATTTCTAATTGAATTAATATTTTAAATAAATTTTTGGAAAATAAACTTACAAACAATCAAAGTATTTTTCACTATTTGTGGAAGAAGTAAAAGGGGAAGAATTACTACATTGAGTAGAAGAAGCAAATGTTGGGGTTGTTGTTAAAGTATTAGTATCTCTAAATAAATGGATTAAATAAATTAATAAGTAGATTAGATTAAATATCCTCCTTCGAATAATTACTCCAAATAATGAAACAAAACTACTACCCTCCACTCAAGCAAGATTTTGAAAAAAATAATTATTCAGAGTAATTAATCGAGTAAATACGTTAATCTATTATTGACTAGGGCTAGCTTCGAGGCAATTTTTTCCTAAATAATTATTATTTTTTCAATAATATTTAGGAGAAAATTGCCTCGAAACTAGCCCTAGTCGATAATTAAAAAATATACATATTATGTATTTACTCGCTAAGAAATTATATCAATTGGGTTTAAGGGTCCTCAACAATCTTTACTTTTTTTAAAATAATTCAAATAAAGACAGTCTTAGAGATTTTGGAACGTTAATTAATCATTTAATTACATACATTGATGGAAAACAACATTCATTAATTTGTTGATCATCTTCAGGTAATTGTGCATAATAACTACTTTCCCCAGCATTTCCTTCCTTATTAGAACAACATTCACCATAATAATGTCCAGAATTATTAGAAGAGTTACTTGAAGGGCTTCCAAAACTTTCGGAAAAACTTTCATTCCCTTCCATAGGTTTTTGTTGTAATTGTTGTTGTTGCCTCATTTGTATTAATTGTTGACTACTTCTAATAGAATCTCTTACAAATTGTTTTCTTCGAGTAAATTGCCTGTCTTTTGTATTTGATTTACAAAATGCACATATGATGAGTAAAAAAATGCCAATAAAAAATAAAATTATTGAGATCGAAACAAGTAAAAAATCAGCTCGCCATAAAAGAGGTTCTTGATAGGGCCCAGTTCCTTTAATATAAAAATAATATAAGCTTATAAACCAGGGTTACGATTCCTACTTTTTTAAAAGTATTCTACTTTTAAATCGACCTCCATGCTTACGAAATTGAATTTATACTTTTTTGAAAGTATCTACTTCTAAATCAACATTTTGAATTGAAAATGAAATTGGGGTAGGGATTGGGCAAAAAAGTGAATTTTTTGGCCTACGGCCTTCGAAATTCTCAAAATTTTCGCCTGCGGCGCTAAAAAAGAAAGAAATCTAGCTTCTTGGGCTCCAAAATTCTCAAAATTTTCGCCTGCGGCGCTAAAAAAGAAAGAAATCTAGCTTCTTGGGCTCCAAAATTCTCAAAATTTTCGCCTGCGGCGCAAGAAATGGAAGAAATTTGGCTTAAGGACTTCCAAAATTCTCAAAATTTTCGCCTGCGGCGCAAAAAATAGATTTTTTGGCACCTTCGGCGCCACAAAAGGTGCATTGAAATTGACAAAAATGCTCAGTTGAAACAAGAAATTATTAGAAAAGATTCATTTAGGAGAGAAATATAAAAGATTTGAGCACGAATAAATATTTTCTGATTTAATTTTGAGACTACTTTTTTTTTTACAAATTTTCTCCCTATATACTTTTTAATCAAGATTTTGATACTTTTGAGTGGCATTTTGTCGATCGTAACCCTGTTATAAACAATTAAAGATTTTGATAGACAATTAACTTCATTTAAATAAATATAACACCAAAGGACTTCAACTAAATACATAATTAATTCACCTCGTTCACAAACATAAGGTAATAAATTATGACAATTCTGCTCTCCAATACTGGCTGTTCTAGAACTCATCCATCCACACTGGTTTGAAGGAATTGTTAAACTTGCAATCCAAATCGGAATGTCATAAGCAAACTATTAAAAAAATATTTTTAAATTTAACTTAAAAATTTTACTCCAAAAGAGTTAATTCTTTCCAATTCTGTAATATATAATTGACTTAAAATATCTATTTTTGCAGCAAGTTCTTTTTGACGAGGATCTCCACTTTGCATTATAGGCAAAAATGCATCCAAATATTGACAGGTTTGGACAGCATCAGAATATGTAGATGCTGCTCCAATAAAAATAAAGCAGGATTTAAACTCTTCCCTGCCAACCAGAAACCATCCAGCTGGGCAGTCTCCTATAAATAAAAAATCCACTCCCTAAATCTTCAATATATTATTAAAAATACCTTCAATAAGGGAGGTATTCGATTCCAACACAGGGTCATAATCTACACGTATAAGCAGTGGATCATCATGTTGGTCGCGTATTTTACCCGCAGCCGTTCCAATAGTGCCTGGTGGACCCCAATAATTATATCTTGCATTTATTGAAGAAATATCGAATTGAGGACTTTCATGTTGAGTAGTAACCAATTCAAAATCATTTAAAGGGTTGTCGAATAAATTTCGGGAATAAAGTTGGTGTACAGAGCCAGAAAGAATTGTAGAACGATAACGACTGCTTTCAGCACCAATATGAGTCCACCAGTCAAAACTAACACCTTTTTGGCTGAGAACCTGATAGTAAAGATTATGAACGTTTTGGAAAATTTTTTATATTTGACTTTAGTAAATATTAGGGCTTGGCCCGATATAAAGAATTTATCCACTAAAATGTCGGATATATGTAAAAATTTTATTGACACATGCATAAAATGTCGTTAGGTAAAATCATTCTTATATTTTATTGGCTATAGAATAACAGTAAGAACTTAAACTAATAGGAAGTTTTGATCCAGTTTAACTTCCCCTATTTCCAAAATAAATTAAATAAGCCATTTTAGAGTATTTTACTTGTCTTTTAGGCCTTCTTTCCACAAACTCATCCAGTTCGTTTCCATCATGAAATCCATAACGTTCAATGTAAGGATTTCCATGCCCTAATGCTAAATTATCTTTAAGATAATTATTTTGGAAATAAAGTTCTGTCGCAGTTTCTTCTCTCAATTCTCCATTTAATCTACAAGTATCTAAAATATGCCAGCCAACATTTTTATTAATTATATTGTGAGAGAAATTGGCCGAAACACCGTTTAAAAAAACCTAAAATATAATTTATTAAAAAATTAAAAATAATTATTTTTGCCGTGTCAGCATATAGAGCATAATTTAGACTAATTAAATTTGCAAGAAAATCAACTTTTTGTAATCCATTTCCAATAAATGTTAAAATACTTGAATTTGAATTCATTAAAATGGCATTATTTTTAATAACTGCTCTTAAACGGGACATTGAACTTGAACTTTTAGCAGAAATAAAAAGTCCTCCACGGCCATAACGAATTGAATTGGCACGGAAGAAAAAAAGCTGTCAAATAAAAATTTTATTGAATTTATAACTAAATTTCCCGGAACTATTAAGGAAAATTTATTGAGGAGAGAATCTGAGGAGAGGTTCTCTCTATCATAGATCTCTCTCTCATCTGAGGAGGCTAATTATCAAAAAATGATTGGATACTTTACTAAGAAAAAAATTTGTCGAAACACCTTTTAGATGCCCTAATCGGTCCAAAAAGATCGTACCTACAATGAGGGATACTTTAGATTGGGGATATCGCTTGGGAAGTCTGCCTAGTGTTAGTAAAACGTATGTATCATAAATCGAGGTGTATCCAATTCTTGGGGTATCTGAAAATAAGGTTCAAGAATAATCACCAAAGTATTATGTACATCCATATTAACAGCTGCAGTTGAAGTAGAAATATTTCCATAAAGATGATATCCATTTCTATCAATAGCACATTGTTCAATAATTACATTAGGTCCAATCTCTCCCAAATTTTTGTAATTAATAGCCCCTCTGTCATTATTTAATATACGAGAAGCACGAATAGCAACTTCATCAACACCTTTACGAGGCAAAGGAACAGCGGGAAGAGTGGCAATTTCTGCCAAAAATCCGAATTCTCCATCGGCAGCTGTTGCCCTGAGATGAATTGAAATAATTGAGGACTGAGTTGTGATACTGCCAGATTCGTCAAAATTCGATAAATAATTAAATGAACGTAAAAGGGAAGATGAAGAAAAAGATGATCCAGAATAAATAGACAATTTGTCTGAACGAGGGATTCCAACAGGTCCAGAGTAGAAATTTGCCTTAATATTATTAAAAAATTATTAAAAAGTATTTAAAAAAATTTCGTGAAAAAAAATTACAGAATTTTTCAGTAAAAACATGTAGTTTGTTAATTTGCTTTAACTAATACTTTAGGGTTATATTATGTAGTATCTACTAACTCTTAAATTTACTAAGGAATAGTCTCTTAAACAATTAAAAGATAGGAAGAAAAATTGATCACACTCACTTGTAAAAATCTAAAACCAAGATTCCTTCCATCAACAGATTTAAATATTTTAACACAATCAACAGCAAAAGAGTCATACTTGTAAAAAAGAATTAATCTTGTTTTTATTTTAATTTCTTTTCCGGAAGAACAAATATCCAAAAATCCAGGAATTTGGTATGGAATATTAAGAGGGCCTTTAGGGATAGAATGTTGAGATTGAAGAATTGAAAGTGAAGGCATTCCTCTATTTGAACTGCTTGAATAATGGTGAGTAGTTGCAGAATGTAGAAGACCGGCCGATAGAATAGTTAAGCCTATTCCATGATTGCAAGAGATATTTAATCGGGTAAGTAATAAATTGCCGCAAGGCGGGAGTAATACTTGCATTGCACCCATTGATGAGTTTGTAACGTTGACATTCTCCAGAATTGGGCATCTAAGTATAAGGTAGAATTTTGATAAATCAGTAAAATAAGGTGAAGAATTATTGAAGGATTAATTCACCTCTGTATGATCTGAAGTGTAGCCTCAAATAACGAATTATTGTGTGCTCTACCTCCCCCAACCAACTCAACATGCCTCAGAATAGAACGATCCCCTCCACTTCCAATTTCCTTTTCATAACCATTATTCCCCTCCTCCTTCCTCTCCTTTTCCTCCCCAATATCAAGTCCATATCTAGCAAAAGTAATACCACCCCAATGTCCAATAAATTCATTTGAGAGAGAAGAATCTTGGCCACAATGAATATAATTAAAATGTTCATTATCCATACATTGCCAATCTGTGAGGAGAGAAGTTAAACGGAGAGCTGAAGAAAATAAAAATTTAAATTTTTTAGTATATTTTTTAGTATAACTGCATTGTTCTAAACGATGTTCAAACCCTCGACATTCTCTAGGTTCCATATAAGTTTTAACTATTCTGATTTTTGGATTGTATGACCATTGTGGAGTTAGCCAATGATAAGCATTTTGAGGGCTAAAGCCAAGCTCACGACAGACTACCTTAAAGTAATTATTTTTAACTTAAACATAATAGTATTAGGATTTCCGCTGACGCATATATTTGACGCTTAGCGAGAGCTTTTGTTTACAAAATACTAATTCGAATTTTAAGAGTCAAAACGTTTCAAATAAAAACTCCACCTGAGCATTTCTTATAGTAAAATGTCTATCACAAGAAGGCACAGTCTCCCCACTTGTGGCATTGTAAAAATGAAGAAATCCTTTCAATTTCCCTTTTACATCATCTTCCATTAGAAGCACTTTCAGGTGTTGAAATTGAGCGTTTTCGCGTACAAGTTCAGGAAATTGACGAAAAGTATCTTCACTTTGACTTGGTTTTGTTGCAAAAGCAGAAATAGAAGGCCATACTAGAAAATATTATTAATTAATTAAAATTAATTTTTGAAAAATTATTCTACTCCTAATCCTCTTCCTCCCACGTTATACATATTCAGATACTAGACAATCAAAAAAATAAATTTGTGACAGGATTGGAGAATAAATGTTCGGACAAGATATGTAACATTCATTGTCAGAAAATTATTTCTCGTAAACTCCTCAAAATATACAATACCATTATTAGAAGCTTCTTGATTAATTGCTTTTCTCTTCCTGTAAACTTTTCGATTATTAATGTTTTGTTGTTTTAAAAATATCCATTCAATATCCAAATGTTTTGAACGCCCTCCTCTACTAAAATGTTTTGCCCGGACTAAATCAAAAGGAGTAACAGTTGATCGTCGACGTCGATAATTACTTCCTCTTTTCCCCTGCTGTTCTGAATATTCTGTTGTATTAATTGGTCTAAACCGAACAGGTTGCCCTTAAAATAAAATTTAAACTTTACTCATCAACAGTAGGGGTTCTTTCTTCTATTATCGACATTGTATGTTTTATATTTCTCCCTATCCTAGTTTGATACGAAAAAAATTCTCACTCTCCAAATATCAAATTATTTAAACGATCATCCCAAAAAACAGGCCAGGCCCTTCATAAATATAAATAATATTAACTAACAAAGAGTTCCGTCAGCAATTAAATCGCCGTAAACCAAAATCCGGACATTTGGCCAAATGTGTACTTCTACATTCTTTTCTATTGTAAGAGATGCCCCAGGCATTATTGTCAAATCTCTAGTAATTCGATAGGGGCGAAAGGGCCGATAATGGTAAGGAAATGGGTACCTTAATAAATTTAGTTGGAAAATACAGGAAGGGAATCCTCAAACCATCTTTCAGGGTCCAATTCCAATTTAACGTGTCCCCAAAGCCGTCCTCTTAAATCGTGTGCTGGAGGATCAAAAGTTCCTTGTTTCGAAGCAAAATTTAATTGAGCTCTTCTATAATCCCACCAAAAATTTAAAAACAATTCTTCCGTTGTGTAGAAAGGAGAAAATTGGGCAAGACTTAAAGAATTCCAATCATCAGAATCAAAAACTCTTTGACTCAATTCTGCTTCGTTAGCAACACCCCACCAATTATGTGTTACATTTAGGACATCTATATCTGATGCTATTAATTGTGGTTTGCATCCAGCTACCAATTCAAAATCAAGCAAAACATTTCTGAATAAAATTGGATATGGATAAGTTGTTCGGTGGGGTATGATTCCGTGCACACGATTCCGTGCACACGTTTCCGTGCACACGATTCCGTGCAGACACGTTTCCGTGCACACGATTCCGTGCAGGCACGTTTCCGTGCACACGTTTCCGTGCACACGTTTCCGTGCACACGTTTCCGTGCCCGTTATAAAAAACACGTTTCCGTGCTCAATTTCTTTTTAATATAATAAACAATAAGAAAAGGTTTTGAGGAGTACAGTGAATATCAAGGGACTTGTGCATGACATCGAGACATCAACAAGGGGATATTGATGGATATGGAGGAAAAAATCTCAAAAAAATTTTTTTTAATTTTAAAAAAATTAGAAGAACCCTGCTTCTAACCTATGACCAATAGAATCTTCGCTGGAAAAACCGTTTTTGTGCTGCTACGGAGGGTAGGCCGGGCATGGTCTTCGCTACACGATGGCCGTGCTTCGCTGCGGTCGTGCTCGCTACGCTCGCGGCGACCGTAGCGAAGCGGTGGCCGACGTTCCGCTCGACATGCCCGGCTTCCTCCGCAGCGGCAAAAACTTTTTTCCGCGTAAATTTTTTGAATTGAAAAGAAAAATACTGAAGCAAAGTTGATAAGTTGATAAAAAATATAACTTTTAAAATTTTTTTATAAAAATTTAAAAAAAATAAAAATATTTAAATAATTGGGCACGGAAACGTGTTTTTTATAACGGACACGGGACACGGAATCGTGCCCGCACGGAAACGTGCCTGCACGGAAACGTGTGCACGGAATCGTGTGCACGGAATCGTGTCTAACCGTAAGTTGTTTGCTATCCTATTTATTTTATATCAGCGGGCTAGAAATTAATTTAAGAAATCAAGCAAAGAATAAATAATGAATAGAATTATGCATTTAACATTATTTTTGAATTTAGATAATTCCACTAAAGAAAAGTTAATTAAACGGAGATTTTCACTAAACAGTAATTAGCCTAAGTAAACTAGAAGGCTCCCCGATATTTTGGCAAATCCTAGAGTGCGCGATAAAACCATATTTTATTAAATAAAATTTTATTTAAACCACCTTAATCTATTAAAGTGAATTTCCACTCTTTGGGTGCCAAAAATACCAACACAATAAGAACGAGGCCACATTTCAGCATATTCATCTGATGGTCGTAGAAAACGATTAAACTATTGAATAAATTAAATATTTTTAAAAATTTCACGGATAATTAATACTTGGAAATAATTATATTGAATAAATGCTGGAACTTCTTCAGAGAAAAGTGCTTGGCTATAAGCCTCATAACGAACTATCCAAGCACCCCAATTTGTAAAGAAGCGATTTCGTTCCCTTAAATTTAAATTAAAGTCAAAAAAATTATTATTCTGTTGAATAATAATTTAAAATTATGTGTATAATTCAAGGCTTCGATCTCAAATTTTTAAAAATCCGCAATTTTGATCGAAAAAATCCGCATTTGATATAAAAAATCCGCAAAAAATTATCAATCACAGAAGTTGAATAAAATCACTTTATGCGTTATATTTTTTGACTCCAACAATTGAATTGAGCAATTTTTTCATATTAATGACTATTTTATTAAAATCCGAACAATTAAATGCAAAATTATGTTGACTTGAGCCAGGCCCGTAGCCAGGATTTTTTTCGGGGGATGGGGGGGGCAAGTGTGGAAATTTTCTGTGCCAAATTTTTGGCGCCTTCGGCGCCAAAAATTTTTATTTTCAGAACCGCAGGCGAAAATTTAGAGAATTTTAGATGGCTGTAGGCTAAAAATTCACTTTTTAGCGCCGCAGGCGAAAATTTTTTGAATTTTGGAGGTCAAGAAACTAGATTTCATCCATTTTTAGCGCCGCAGGCGAAAATTTTGCGGATTTTGGAAGGTCCTAGCAGAAAAATAATGACATTTTATCTAAAAACTACAAGAAAATACAAAAAATCCTCATAATCTTCAAAAGACCACAAAAATCCGCAAATCCGCATTTTTAAAAATAATCCTCATCGCCCTATCAAAAAACCACAAAATGAGGAAAAATCCGCAGAAATCGAAGCCCTGGTATAATTTAATTTAAAATTTTTGTTTTTTAATTTCCTCACATAATTAGCTTTTTCTCCATTCCCAATAACTGAACAATACCCACCGTATTTCCTGAAATAGTACTCCCCCCTAAATTAGCACTCCCCCCTTAAATAGTACTCCCCTTTGGAGGAGGGTTGAAAAATAGTACTCCCCCCTGAATTAGTACTCCCCCTAAAATAGTACTCCCCCCAAAAATGTTTTTCCCCTATATTTGAAAAAATAATAAGAGACATTGAATTATTTTATTTGTTCTAAGTAGCGTTGTCGGTTTCACTTGATTCTTTGATAAACAAAACCTGAGAGCTTTCGGTTAACCGAAAACTAACCGAAATTTTAATCAAAAATTTTTCGAGGATTAAAGAGATATAATCCGATTAATTGGTGGGGTAAAAGTGGATTTTGGGTATATAAAGGGATTGATATCGGGTGATAAAATGGGTTCTGTATTAATCAAGTGGGATTTAAAAGATATCATTGGATTAAGGTTTGATATAGGAATTTGAGGGAATAATGAAAGGGGAGTAATATTAGGCGATTTTGGTTGATTAAGAGCGCTCAAGCGATAAGTTGAATCATAAATCCTTCTTAATCAACCGATATCGGAAGTACACAAGGGATGTGGAGGATATCTGTGATTAATGCTGATAAATTACTAGACAAAGATTAGGTAATCCCTAGACACATGAGATTAGTTGACCCCTGATAAATCTTAGACACAAAGATATATCCACTATATCCCAAAAATTAAATGATAATTATTTTATTACCATCAAACGCCACGATATCAACGATACAACTTTATCCCCTTGATAATTTTTTTGACATCTATTGATATCCCCCTTAATCGCTTAAAATCCCCTTATATCCCTCGATATCACTCCAAATCCACTTATATCCTTCTTGATTTACCTCAATAACCCGTATTTTAAGTTGAAAATCAGGGTCCGGATCCGGCATTTTTTAAATAGCGAATTCTAATCGAATTTATTTTGAGATATATTGAAATAAATTAAAATATTTTTTTAAATTTTGAATAAATTTTCCTATGAAAAATCATGGAGGATGGTTGAAAAATAATACTCCCCCCTGAATTAGCACTCCCCCCTTAAATAGTACTCCCCTTTGGAGGAGGGTTGAAAAATAGTACTCCCGGGGGGAAGTAGAAATTCTCTTTGAAGGGAAGTAGAAATTCTTGGTAGATAACGAACACCGGCATTTCCATTTTGTTGGATTGAAAGCTAAATGGTAAAATTAAAATTTCGTCATTTTAGAAGGATATTTCGGGTTAAAAGAGTGAAAAGAACTCCCGCCCCCCCCCCCCCCTTGCCCAGTCGTCAGCGTGAATGTAAATACAAACCACCCCCCTCTTTTTAAAAGACAGGCGAATCAAGAAAATTCCATGGTGATTCAATAGCCTCTCCCCTCTACCTACACACATGATTTGATAATGGATTTACAAGTCCAAATATATAAATCAAAAACTTTTTCTGCTGACAATCCCATTGAGCGAACAACCATCCCATTTCTTCTATTTCTAACAATATAACAATTTCTAAGTGCTGGTTTCCTAGTCAAGTCATTATATACAATATCTATTCCATCAAAATAATTGTCACGAATTGTTAAACTATGAAATGTATGATAATTCCAATCAATCTGAGAATTAAAAAAATTTTCTAGAAAAAATTTTCCACTAAAATACCTGTAATGCAGGACTTAATAAAGGTAATCGAAAGTCAAAAAGCCCAGCTCTTTGAATAATCCAGTTACTCATAGTGGATAAACCAGTGTAGCTCATGGGATTAGCAAGTAGAGAATAACGAACACCAGCCCAATAGGGAGGAGCACAACGTAAACCTTTTAAAGGTAAAAATAAAAATTACATACATATATCGTCTAAAATAATATATTTATAAACAACATACCAACAACTTCTGTTGACTTACAAGAAGCTTTAACATTATGCAAATTCCCATCATGTCTACATTTTGTTAAATCAAATTCCCTTTCCTCACAACGTATATTATCCATAATTATTGGCCTTTCATCTGGTTCTGCTAATGGAAATGTTCTCCAATTCTCAAAATGTTCAGGGTCGAGTATTAACCCCAATTGATTACAAGCTAATTGGGCATGTTGAACAGTCCATGATCTGTTACAAACTGTGCCCCACTGTTCATTATCATTGTCTGTAGTTCCTAAACGAACTTCCAAACGGCCAGCTAAAACTCTATCTGATCCAAATTCATCAACTAGTCGAATACTTCCAGAACGCGGTGGTTGTCCCAAAGGTTTGCTTGTGAAGAGAATGGGCTGTAAAGGACTACTGCTGGTTTCTGTGCGAAGAAGTTCGCCCTACAATTATTTAGATATTAGATAGTTAAATTTTGGATATTTTCTTGCTGGGGAAGGGATTTTCTGGACCAGAGAAATACTAAACATAATTTTCACCTGTACAAGCATTCCAATGCCTCCCATAAATTCAAATGTTGTGCCTGGAGCTAATGTAAGCTTAGCACCAGGTGTAATATGTAAATCATCAGTTACAATATACTTTCCAACAGGTAAATCATTGTTTTCAAATATTGTTCCTCCAATATGGAATGGTTGGCCAGGTTGTCTAAATGGTCGAAAATATTGTTGTAAAAGAGTAAGGGAAGGAGAACGTTGATTGCAAACTGCTGCATAAGGATTAATCTTTAAAAGAGATAATTTTTGAAAAAAGATTTATTTTTTAATCAAACATCAATCGAAGCCAAAGAGTAGCGGTTAAATTGATCATATATTCTGTCCATAAATTTTTGAGCCGATGGATATCCCCAATTGTTCTCTCGTGCATCAATTCGTTTTGCATGTTCTGACAACTCCGTTCCAATATAAAAAAAATAAAATTTTTATTATTTTAAGATAATTAATAGTAACAAGATTAACTATTAATTGAATCTTTAGATTTTTAGTTAAAATATCGGGTCATGTAATATGGAGATGCAAAACTTTGACTTTTGGTTTCAACAAAAATTTTGCGAATTGGGGTCTTAAAATTAAATTAAAAACGAAGAATTGCGATTGACAAAACATTAAAATGAAATGATTTTAAATTTTAAATCCTGGGTAACTATTGTTTTAACCTCTCGGTGGTGGTGGAAATTTAATTACTGATATGTAGTGGTTAGTATTGTGAATACTACATTATTTTATTTCCCAATTAAATATTATTTTTTACTTCAAAATCTGCATTAGGATTTCCAAAACAATTATGTCTAATAACAACATTACTCGAAGAAACAACTAAAGCAGCATATGGTGTTGAACGGGGTTTTAAAAATGGAAAGGGATTAATAACTGTATTCTCTCGAACCTTTAAAATTAAATAAATAATTACTTCAAAATATTTATAATATCAAATTTACTTCATTTTGTTGATTAAATAAAAGTGTTTGATCCTCGGCATCTTCATTTAATCCAATAGAAACAATGTATTGTCCAATATTTCTTTTTATGTCGTTTTTTGAGATTATTACCTAAATAAATAAATAAAATTAAAAAAAAATACTCGAAAAATATAATAATGATATTTGTATGGGACCCTATATTCCCCAAATAGAGCCCCGTAAGGCGGTATTACTCATTCCAAAGTTTTTCTGACACAAATTTATGAAAATTTTTAAGTTCAAAGGATTAAACTTGAAAACTGTTCATTTAAACCGAGTAAACTTAGGTGTTGGTAATTAAAATGCATACAAGAAAACACCCAAACTTGCGTAGAATTTCAATATAAATTAATTTCCTATGTACCTTTGCAGGCAGCCTTTGTAATTGAGGGTGTTTTGCATTTCTAATAAGTAATGCTGTATTTAATATTCCATAAAAACGATTACTATTTAATATAAGTTGAGTATTTACACAAGGTTCCATTCTAAATCCCATTCCTGTACCTCCATAAATTGAATTCTAACAAAATTATTTTTATTTATTTTCTTCTGTTCAAAAAAAAGAAGATTACCCCACTAATATCAACACGCATTAATTTATTTTCTTCTTTTTGACAAGAAAATATTTCAATATGTGGATGATAATTATTTTCATTAAATTCTGTCCAACTAATGAGAATATTTGGTTCAATTCTTGAAATATCCCAATTTTTGTATTTTAATGAAGGCCCACAAAAATTGCCAACAAGAAGCCCTCCCCAAGCATTTTCAGAAATTGTCATTTTTGGATAAAAAATATTATTAATTGGTCGTCCTTTAAAAACAATTTCTTGATGTAAGGGCCAAAATGGGCTAGAACTATTGTGGTGGAAAGCAAAACCTTAAAGAATAAATTTTATTTTTAAAATAGTTTAGAAAAGAATTGTCCCTAATTGTAATATGTAATATTTGACTTGACAACGAGAGTTAAATAGATAATAATGGACCATTTAATTGGGGGAATTAGTACATGTGGTACTCCCACAAACCGTTGCTTTTCTTATATTTTGTATTTGATCTCGTTTGATAAAGTGATTTTATAATTAGAGATTGGACAAATCAAAGCTTTTGCAAAATTAGAACATCTTCAGAGAAATTTAATATAAGTATTTTTTTACCTCTCCATTTATTTCCAATAATTCTAGAAGCGTTGACATTTATTGCTCCTCCAGCAAAAGAAATATTAACTCCATCACCCCAATTCCAACTTAAAGAAGTATCATTAATCCAAATATCAGCAGCCCCATCCCTAATTAATAAACCCGCAATTCCTTGATTTCCATCAACACTAACGTTATGTAAAGCTAGTCTGTCATGAATAGCTAAAGCTTGAATCTGATAAATTAAATAAAATGGTAAGCAAAATTAATTTCTAATTACCCCATTCCCAGTATTATTTCTCACAAAACTGTTTGTAATATTTAACCCGTAAAATGCCTTCAAATTAACTGTAGCGTGTATCCGAAACAAGACTTCAACATCAGCAGCAACAACATTTGGCGATGTTATAGAAATTCCACTGAAAATTGGAAAAGTCTAAGGAAAATCCTTCATGAGATTAAAAAAATTTTCTTGGTTTTCATATAATCTTCATATAAGAATATATACGAAGAACCCCTACCTAACTATACGAAGAACCCCTATAAAACTTAAAATCCCCCCAATGCCTCTTATCAATAAAAGTAATATTAAATTAAAATCTCTCCAAAATCCTTACTCTTTATTAATATATTCTTGTTGTTGAGGTATATATTCAATACCAATTAGCACTGGATTTCCATTACTATTTAATGAAATACTTTGGGGTAAAATTCCATTTAACAAAGGAAGGCGGTAACGTTCAAATTGGCAAAGCATTGGAAATGTTGAATTTCCATCACACACAACAAAAATTGTTTGAGCATCAGAATTATGTGAATGGCGATTTATTACATCCAAAAACTAATAAAATTTAAATAAATTTATTCAAAAAATTCATCTTTTTACTTGAATTGTATAAGCATAAGGTAATCTATCAGGTAAAGCTACATTTAACCAACATATTTTTGGCTGTAAACTTCTATCAGGCACTGAAGTCCCATTTTGTAAATGGGCAAGTATAAGGTGTGGAAAGAATAAATCTTTGGGCAATTGATGATTTCCCGAACACATTTCCAATCGAGGCTTTTCACGAAATGAAAAATACTTTCTTCCTTGATCTTAAAATTTAAAATATTATATTATTAAATAATGCTTTTCGGGCATATTATTGAGATTATAACGTGAGTTGACTCAATTTATCTTGTTGATAAACCGCCGCGATCCGAAATTCTTGTTATTTACTGTTCGTTGAAACGGACAAGTTTAGTACTCCAAAAGTATAAAGAAAATGCTCACTTAAGTGTGGAGTATTTGAAGAAGAACCCCCTCTCTCCAAATCTTTCGCTCTACTACCAATTTCAATCCCCATAAAATGTTCAGAAGTAGAAAGAGCAACATGTCGCTGTCTATACCAAATACCATCTCCGTGATTTCCATCTATTCTTGTTTGATTAATAAAAACTCTCCCATCCAATGTATCAATTATAGCAATTCCATGTCCTCTATTTAATGCAACTGTTGAATTTGCCAAAATAATAGGCCCTTCAGGCTCAAAAAATTGAATTCCATCCCTGGCACTTCTCTCAACTCTAAGTCCATTCATTAAAGGAGGAACGCCCTCAATATATAAAGCAGCCGTTGTATTTCCACTAAGACGGTCATATCCGGCAAATAAAATATCCAAAAATTCGAGTCGTGAATGAGATTCTTTTTGTAGGGCAACACCGTCAGGGTCAGCAGGAACGTAGCCATAAGGTGAATGAAATATGTGAAGACCTTTTTTGGATTAGAATTATAAATTAGGTATTTTAGAAAAAATTTTTGGTAGATTATCTTAAACAAAGGATTTCTCACCTTTCCAATGCTTTGACCAGCCACGAAAAAACGGCCGTCCCCAACAATAAATGCCAATATCATCCTCACCCTGACAAAGATTTTCGGAAAGAGGGATTAAATTATGATCAGAAAATCCCTTAAGGTTATTAAATAAATTATTATGCTAAATAATTTTTTGTTTATTTACTTCACAATCCCAAAGATTTTTAGCTTCAGACAAGCATTTTGGTGAAGGCATAACAAAAGGGTAAGTATCATTATTTCTAGCGAAGAATCTCCAAAATCCACCATCTTCATACCCCAAAGAGCGGCAAGCAGTGCTTGTATCTATACTTGTCCAATTAGTTAATTGAGTACAAACAGAACGCCAACGGTCTCGAAACTTAACTTGAAGACGCCCTTGACGAACAGTTGGGCCATCAATTAGGCGAAATTCGGGCATTTCAAATTGATATAAATGCTGTTCTTGGTAGGGAAGCATCTATATGTTAATTATTGAAATACCGTATTTTTCCAAATAAAGCCCCATTCCCATTTAGAGCCCCATTCTCTAATACAGCCCCAGTCTGGAGGATGGTTGAAAAATAAAGCCCCATTCTCTATTAGAGCCCCACTCCCTAATACAGCCCCACTATTGTAAGTCTAAGTAGATAAAAAAATTGAGGCATCCTGAAAGCCTCCTAATCAAGAAACTATTTTGATCAAAAAATTCTTTTTTAATTCTTAATCGGGATTTGAAAGTCCTCTTAATTCCAAATTCACAGATATCCCTTCAAATTCCCTCAAAATTCCCCCAATATCCCCTTAAACCTCCTATATACTTACACACTAATATCTACGATACTATAGAGCGGAAAGGGAGTGTCGTACGGGAAATCATGAATCTCGAAATTATTTTATATATTTAAAAATTTGACTTATCAAGGAGATATCGAGAATCAACGAGAGGGATTAATAGATATCACTAATATCATCTTTCACCCAAATATCATTCGAAATTACTATTCGACTTATATTTTTAGACAACTGCATTAAAATGGGTATCGAAGGATTATAAGGATTATCTGGAGATATCTAACGATATTAAAGATTTATGTGTAAACACGATATCGACTTAATTTTTAAAATCCTCTGATATCCCTTAAAGACTTCATATTCCACACAATCCCTCCAAATCCAAAAATTCCCTGATATTAGAAGTAATTCCACGACATCTTTGCAAATCAACGGAATACACTTAAATCCTCAAGTTATCCCCCAAATCCCTCTAAAAGCTTAATCCAAATTCTCGATAATTCTATATATCACGCAAAATTTCACTATATATCATAAAACCCTCCAAATCCCCCGATTGTGTTGACACAGAGTTAGGAGGAATTAAAGGTCTTGGTAGAAAAAAAATAAAAAAAATATAGTTGAAATATAAAGCCCCATTCTCTAATACAGCCCCAGTCTAGAGGATAGTTGAAAAATACAGCCCCATGGGGCTGTATTTGGAAAAATACGGTATTTAATATTAAATTGAAAAAACTTTATAAACAGGGGCTAAAGAGAGATAAATAAAGGAAAAATAAGAAATCCTTCTCATTAGACTGTTTTTATAAACATAATGGCAAAAGTAGAGTATATCTCATGTCCAGTAAAGTAGCCTAAAGATATAGCACTATTTTGTGGAATATGTGACAAGACCTTGTTATAATTTAGAAAGCTTAATGCGTATCTTAGTGAGTGTCCTAAGAGAGTGTCCACTTTTTAAATATCCTAATTAATCGTAATTTTCCATTTCCATTAAAATAATCATTTATTTAATTCACTTGAATATGAGCAAATTCATTTCCGATAGCTTTAAGAGTCCCATAAACTTTCATTCCAACACCAGTATCAAAATACATTTGTACACCAGTTTCTATGTTCATTGAACAGCCAGCACTTACAATAAGTTCGTGCTCAACACTTCAAAAAATCTTTAAAGTTTTTATTTAATTCAGAGCCTACCGATAAGGAGAATTTCTAAAAAATAAAGTTATATTGCCTGAATAAAGGCCACCCAAAGTGTTTTTAATTGGTTGACGGGGTTGTTCTAATCCCTCAATTAATTCGGGTTGTTGGCTTTTTATTTGGATTATTATTGAAAAAGTTGTTAGTAAAAGGAAGTAAAATCCTGATTTTAATGAAAGACAACAAAGCATAATAATTAAGTAATTTAAGTGTTATAATTTGAAGTTTTGAGCCAATTAAAGAAAAATATTAATTTATTTTATAATTAAGAGAAGATAAATGTTGGAAAATCGTAGATATTTGGATTAATATTAGAAGAAACATGACAGAAGCTAGTAAAATCTGCCTTAAAATGTTGTCCGAAGTTATGTAGTTCTAATACTAATTAAATTTTTTATTTAAATAAAATCAAATAAATTGTTAAAAATAAAAAATATAAAAATGGACTTTTAGATCAGTTAAATAAAAATAATAAATGAAGTAATGACGCATAGCAAGAGTTGAGAGTGAAAAAAGAAGGGGTTGAAGCAAAGGTAGGGAGAAAAGAGGGAGAATGCTCGACTGGCCAATGTTTGCATATTTGGCCGACCGATAAAAATATTTTTTGTTTGTCTTCCTATACCTTTTGTAAATAGAAATATTATTTTTAAATCGCCCTTTTAATGTTAGGGTGCCTGAGCATTAATTGAACAAAAATGGAGAAATCGATTAAAATGACAAAAATTGAAAAGGAATTAATTTTTAATAATTAATTAATCAAAACTCCCTCTATAACCCTCTTCAGCAGATGTTGAAACAATAATTACCCAGAATAGTTATGTTTGTAAATGATTAAAAATTAGAAAAGAAATATGTCTCCAGTCCATTCTATCAAAATTTTGATCAGTTTAAAAATATGCAGACTTTTTAATTGAAATTTTATACAAAATATTTTACATACAAAAAGAACGTTAAATAAATACATATTTACAAAAGAATTTTTTAAAAATAAATACAAAAATACAAAATTAAATACAAAAAAAGGTTCCAAGGACGAGAGGGGAGGAAGAGGGGGTACAACTTTAATTCGTAAAATAATTTAGTTGCTTCAGTCCTGAACTTTTTAGAATTCCTTAAAAATAATAAGAAATGACAAATTTGTCAGCCTTTTTAGTTGACACAACTTTCTTTTTTATTTACATTTCCATGTTTATATTCAATATATTTTTTCGTTACACTGTTAAAAAATCCATTTATATCTTCATAAATCCAATAAACCTTAAATTAAAAATTATTAAGAGTTTTTTATTTGAAATTTTTATATTAAATGTGTTAGACCCAGAATTAGTGAAGGAATATATTAAACTGAGAGTTAAGAAGCTTATTGTTTAAAAGAGAAAACAAATCTAGGAAGAGATTTCGGCAAATTTTCATATTTCTCCATCCTATATTGACGAGAATTCTATCCGGCATCCTTTTTTATTTCGAACTAGGTTGTTCTAAACCAAAGCTAAAATCTCGAAAATTATCAAATTTTTTGGTTAAGAACATCTGTTCGGAACAAACAACCCTATTCCCAACTCTATTAAATAAACAAACATTTTCCAAGATAGTCATATAAAATTCCTTCCCCTTCAAATTTTCAAACTTAAGGGGTCTTTCTTCATCTTCCTCTAACAATTTTTCACATTCTTTTAATTCTTCATTGTTTAATATAACACTTGGTTTTAATTTATTTTGGGCGGCATAAATAAAGTAAAGTATTATTGCTTTATTTTTTATTTGAAAATAAAGTCCATTAAAATCCTTCATTTCATCCGCTAAAAGTTAAATAAATTTATAATACCGTATTTACTGAAATAGTACGGCCCCCTTTATTAGAACGGCCCCCTCAAATAGTACGGCCCTTTTGATGAGGGTTGAAAAATAGTACGGCCCCCTAAATTAGTACGGCCCCCTGAAATAGTACGGCCCCCATTTAAAAAATATAAAAAACAGACAAAATTTGATTTTTTAATCATAGTAATTATTCCTCGCAATATTTAACTAATTTATTGAATCTTAATATCTATTGGTATAGAAATTGGAGTGCTTAAGAGGATATCTGCGGATTAATGGAGATTTTGTTGGATATGGAAGGATATTGATGGACTTGGAGTGATTTAAGTATAGATGAATTTAAATGGATTAGTTGGAATCAAAGTGAATAACGAATAGTTTTTAGTACTAGAAAGTTGGATTGACAACCTTCTATCTAAAAAATTAAGGGCAACTCAAAACATTCTAGTATTTCAATCCATCTTCGTGCCTATTTTTTAAGATGACCCGAACCTTGGCTAAGATAAGATAAACTGGCAATGTCAAGAATATCATGTTTATATTATACGTTGAAGAATGTGAAGTATTTAAAAGCACGCGCGGATGCACGCGCGGAAGTACTGATTTTAGGGTTCAGCGTACCGGTATTCAGAGACCTCGCGATCGGGATTAACCTAAATCGGTATCGGGATTTGAGATAATGATACGATACCGGCTCGGGATTTAAAAATTGGTATCGGTATTTTCTAAAAAATTTTAATATGAGCAGAAATTAAATAAATATTTTCTAATTCAAAGATCTTAATAATAATAAACCGCTGAATCCTAACTGATTTAACGCTTGCCTCTCCACAAAACACGAGGTAGACAGTTGCGCATGGCGCTCTAGAAAACGCTCTACAAAATGCTTGATACAGATGTCATTATAGACGGGGTCTTAAATTATTTTTAAGTTCTGCTAATTTTATGTTTGGAACAAGCTTTTGATTTGGGATAATTTCCGAGCATACTATTTTGGATACTATAAAAAAATTTAAACACAAAAAAAGATTCAGATAATTTTGAAAAAGGGTTGAAAAATAGTGCGGCCCCCTCAATTAGAACGGCCCCCTCAAATAGTACGGCCCTTTGGAAGAGGGTTGAAAAATAGTACGGCCGGCCGTACTATTTCAGTAAATACGGTAATTAAATTTTTAGTAAAAATATGAGGTTATATGTATTTTCCTGTTGGTTCCTAGCTTTTTTATTCCATACATTTATTTTTAAATTTTTTTAAATTTTAAATTTTACTATTAATTTGTTCTTTCTAAATTTACTCTATGAAATCCCCCCTAAATGTCTACATGCTCTTCTCCAATATACATAAATATTATTATTCCAACCTATCAGAAACGCGAGTCTGAAATCTGATTTCTAATTCCCAATACTTTTATTTATTCCAGACTCGTTCCTGTAATTTTTCTACTTCTAACAACTCCCCTACCCTCCCTCTTTCCCTCAATCACATTTTTTATTTAAATTTCAAAAAACTTACATTTATTTCCAAGTATTTCTTCTAATTCTTTAAAACTTTTCCCTTCATAACTAGCATTCAAATTTATTTTATTTAAAAGTTCTTGATCAAAAACAAACAATTTTTCATTTTCCTTAAACATCTCATATTCCTTAAAAATTTGTTCGTCAACTTCTAAACTTTCTCTAACAAAACTTTTTATTTCTTTTCTTTTTTCATTTATTTCACCCCATTTTGTAGTTCTTCCTTCAAATTTTGGCAATAAATTTTTTGCTTCTTTTTTAATTTTAACACCTTCTGGATTAAAAACTTTCTCCATAATTCTTACGCTTCCTGATTTTTTTATGTTTATATTGTTTATTTTTGCCTCATTTATAATATTTTGAAGATTTCCCGTCGATTTACTTGAATGTAAAGGAGTTGACATTAAAGGGATTAAATCAATATGTTTATCTTTTTGTATTTCTCCAGCAACTTTTTTAACGTTTACAAGATGATGGGCATATTTAGTTCCATAATTTTTAATATCCACCAATTTGTTTTGATTTTCTTCACTTATCGAATAATTTTCTGAGTTTTTTAATATTTCTGTTAATGATTCAACTTTTTGTTGGAAATTTTTATACAAACTTTTTACCTAAAATAAATATAAAAATGTTTAGTTAATTATGTAAGTGGTAATGGAATTGCTTTGAAAATCCCTCCTTCCCCCTTAGAGTTAATCTCATTCAATTATTTTTTGTTCAGACTTTTCTCTATTAACAAACACCTAAGGTTTGAAGGGAAATTAAGTCTAATATTTTTACTTGAAAAATTTTGTTAGCTAAATTTTTTAATAAAAAGATTTTTTAATCCAAAAGATCAACACATTTTTTAACCTAAATATGAACTCAAAGGTTTTTTACCTACACATAGGGCGTGTTTACCTAAAAGCCCATCTCAATATTAAATAAAAATTTTAATTAAATATTTTTTAATTTAAAACCTTTTTAATATTTTCATTTCTTGTAGTAACATATTTAAATATCATCTCTAACAAAACAAATTTTTCTTTATTTGAAACTTTCAATCCTTTTTTATTTAACAGTCTCGCTGCTTCAATTTTAACATTTTCCAATTTATTGTTAACTTCATCCCGCATATTTTTAACATTTCTAATTAAATTTTTATATTTATTTAATTCTTCTTTAGCATTTTTTAAATTTTTACTTTTATTTTTTTCAATATCTTCTGACAATTTCTCCAAAAAATATTCATATTCAACCAACTCCAGATCCTTATTTTCAAATTGTTTTAATGTTTCTAGTGAATTTTTGTCTTGAACAGAACCTTTAAAAAATTATTTTTTTTATTTTTGAAAGATAGAAACAGAGGGGATTTCTTATTAAATAGGTAGATTGTCTTTAAACTTTTTGATTTTATTATTTTTGTTTGTGTTACTATAAATATTTATTTAGATTGTTTATAAAGTTATTGTTAAAGTGGACTTATCTCTTTATTAATTAATTAAATAATTTTTATTTTTCCTAATTTTATACAAGTCCCGGCACTATCTCCTCTGTTAAATTATTATTTTTAAATTACTTGTGCGGTGTTTTTGAACAATTTTGAATACTTCAGAGTTTTTAATAGTCTCTGATACTGTTCTAACAAGACCGCCATTTACCATTATTGCCTTTGTAATAATTAGCAAAATTAAAAAGAAAATTATTTTGGAGAAAAAATAATAATTCATATTTTTCTTTTTAATTGGAGAGAAACTTTTTTTAATTTAAATAAGTTTAATTAATTTTTAAATATTTTTTAATTATTTAATTTACATATTTTTGAGGTTTTTAAATAGCCTTGTATAAATTTAAAATAAATTTTTTTGACGCAATCTGTCTGGGGAGGCAGACATTTAATTTAAATTCTTTAATAAATTTCTTTGTTTAAATTTAAATAGAATAGACAATTTTTAAGGAAATAAATTTTTGAAAGGAAATTTACGAGTGCATTGACGCAATCTGTCTCGAAGCTAATTTTTAAATTAATTAAATGAGGGCATGAGACCTTTTGTCTGCCAATATTGTCTTCTGATTTATCATATGAATGTCTATAAAATAATTTCATCAAAGTTACTCAAAATTCTTCAAGTCTTGTAAAAGATAAAACAAATTTTTTAAATAAACACCCCTTCACAAATTTCCCCTTCCAATTTTAAAAAAAATATAATTATTGGAGGAAAACAAAATTGTTTAAATTTTGAATGTGGGAGTTAATATGAGGTGTTGGAGTATTTGTTATTATTTATTTATTTATTACTTTTTATTCCAAAAATTTAATTTCTTTAAATTCTTCCAATATTTATTTTCAAAAATAAATAATTGTTAAACATCTCTTTATTTGATAAATATTCGGTTCCTGTCATCAAAGAGAATCCGTTATTTTTTCTTTTCACTTGAAATGAAAAAAGGGAGTAATATTTTAACAAAAAATTAAAATTTTAATACAAAAATTTTTTAATTTTTGTATTAAAATAAATTTTAATACAAAAATTTTAATTGAAATTTTATATTATTTTTATTTAAAAATGTGTAGATAAATACATTTAAATTTGACACCAAAGGAATAAAAACAAAAGAATAATATAGTAATTAGGGGGTCACTTTTGTGCTACAGAAAAACTTTATAAATAAATTGTCGGCGTCAATAAAATGGAAATACTATCACTGTTAAGTGTTTCACAATAAATTTAAAGAATAAACTTTTTCTTAAAGAAGTCTAAATAACTTATATTTAATTTTGAAACACATCAAAAGGTGATTTAAAACACTAAAATTTAAATAATATATTTTTAAACATCAAAGTCAAATACAAACAAAATTGGTAATAGCTACGTTCGTTCCCAACATTTTTACTTTCATTTATTCTTGGGGGTTTGTGCTTAATTCTGTGGCATTTTTGGGTTCGGGACCTACTTTTGTAATATATTTTCGCTAATTTTAATGGTCCAATTTGGTCCCAAACTAAGCTAAATGTCACAGAAAGCAACGACAAAACTCAAAAAAAAAAATAAATGAAAGTGAAGAAAATATAGGAACAAACTTAATTATTACCACAAGATTTTTTTCCTTTTTATTTTTTAATCTTTATTTTCCTCCATTGGTAAACTGTCAGGGGCCGTTACATTATTCTTTTCACCTCGAACAGTTTCATCAGACAATACTAAAACTGGACTTCCACTGTCTGTGTCACACGAATTCTTAATCTTGCTATTCCTCTTTTTTTCTTGTGATGTTGATGAAGAGGAAGAAGTTGAACGCCTTCGCCGTCGATTTGAAGAGGATGAACTAGAACGGCGTTTTGGTGGTGATCTGCGACGATAATATTCTCTTCGGTAACGTTGACGGGAGTAGTCTCGTCGTCTACGAGTCGGAGTTCGAGAACGACTTCGTTTACGATCACGATCTTTTTGTGGTGTAGAAGAACGAGAGACACTGCTGGCCGAACTAAAAATTAATAAAATTTAAATTCATTATTATTATGGTTAATTCAGATTAATAGGTAGGAAAAAAATTCCACAAATTTGAAAGGAGGGTGGGCAGCAAAAACAAAATGGGCACAAAAATTCTCCATTTTACACATAATTAACAATTATAGCAAATTATTTTTTAGCCTTTTTAAAATTTAAAAAATATTCAAATATAAATTACCGAGAACTGCTAGAACTTGACGAAGACTTAGCACGTCGTCGCCCATTTCGAGAACGCGAGCTGCTACGTCGGCGGCGAGAATACCTATCGCGGGACCTTACAAATAAATGCTATTTATAAAAGCAAAACAAATTCTCATTCACCTTGATCGTGAATGTCCCCGGCGTCGTTGAGGTGAAGTACGTCGATAACGACGATCACGATTTCCCTTGACAGAAGTATCCTCACTGCCGCCACCACGGACTGGAGAAATGTCATAATCTAGACGTCTACTCGTTGAATCAGAACCTGCTGTACGCCTTGATGATGTTCTCCTAAAATAATAAATAAAAATGTTCAAATAAAAAATTTTACTTTTCAAATCTTCCACTCCCTCCTTCAGCATCCACCTTAGGACTATCACGAGCTCCTCCAGCACGGCCAACAGAATTACTTCCTCCTCGGTTACCTCGAAAACCTCCTAAATATTAATAAAATGTTTATTATATTGTATAAACTTAAGGGATAAAATTCATGAAAATTTAGGGTAATAAATACTAAAAAGTTATAAATAGAGGTAATTTGACATTTTTAGCTTCGTTCAATTTTTTAAATTTATTAAAAATAAGAATATAAATATAGGTATTTCCCAGTTGATATAGGTATTTTCCAGTTTAAAACAAAAATTTAAACTGGAAAACCACTCCTAAAACTCCTAAAACAAAAATGCAAGGGAAGAAAATTCGCATTCCCTTTGCGGACAGGTAGATCGCCAACTATGCATCTACCAGATTATATTCAGATTCAGGTATTATTGTTTTAGAATTTTAAGTAAAATTTTTATAATTTTATTTTATATAGTAATTTATTTTGGTTTATATAACGAAGTGTTAGTAATATATTAATCCTATTAATATTTCATCCCACACACCTCTGTTAGGCATACTCACTCCACGCATTGCCATTTGAACTCCAAATGTTAAATGTTCATCATCATGTGCAAATTTACATCTCTCCCCGAAATTACAAGTTCCCGTCCGTTTATAGAATTGACAACTTCCAGCAACTGGAAAATATATTTTTGAAAAAATAATCTCTAAAGAAAAAGTCCAAAATTTCTGACTTTCTTTGGCTTCTTCAAGGCTAATTTGGCGAGGTGGAAGCTTTGGTTGTTGTTGATTTATCATGATACTCGGGGAAACAGAAGAGAATGGTTGTTGAATAGATTGAGAAATTTGTACAGACGATGGGGATTTTTGTTGTTGCTGTTCAAGCGATGGCGGAGGAGAACCTCCTTCATCTAAACCAGGCGGACCGGGAGAAATCTGTCGTCGCTGTCCCTCGGCGGTTTCAGGAGATTTTTCTATAGTTTTTTATTAAAAGATTTTTCTTTGAGGATGTTCAATAAGCACAATATTTTTTTAAATTAAGTATATTCATTCGATTTAATCATTTTAATTTTCAATTAAATTTTAAAGTATTTTTTTTTATTTAATGCTCTGTAAATTTAAATAATTTTTTAGTATTACCATCCTGCTTCTCTATTGTAGTCGAAACATTTGTCTGTGTTGAATTTTGTAGTTGTATACCATCTCCAGGCATTCTTTGACCCGAAGTAAAACCATATCGAACACCAGGTATCGGAGGTGGAGGAACCGAAAAATCTGATGGAGGAAAAATCGTTGCGTTATTTATTTGTTGAAAAGGTGGAATTGCAGTATTCGGCATCGTCATTCTAACAGGAAGAAAAGTAGATTGAAAAGTACTTGCAGGTAGTGGATGGATTGGAAGACCAAGAGGAGGATAAAGAGGTGCTGGAGGTGGAGGAATCGAAGATGTTTTCGGTTGTTGCAATCTATTAGAAAAAAACGATTTATAGAATTTTTTAATAATTCTACTGTTTCTCCGATGCATCTCTTTGAACTTTGTCAGGTGTTAAGACATTGACGGCAATAGACCCTCCGAGAGGATCATTAGGCCCTTTAGGCACAATTGCCGAACTAGTTATAGATGAAGTCAGGGTTGTAGAACTTGTTCCTGTCGTCGTAAATTCCCCTCCAACATATGTGCTGATCTTCTGAAGTAATGAATTCAAATTTGGAATTTTTTTGAAGGCTTGAAGGTTTGAAGATGAAAGAGTTGGAGTAGACGATAAGGAAGTAGAAGTGGACGATGGAATGGTTGCACCTATAATTTAAAATTATTTTGACAAAAGCAAAAATTAAATATCCCCACTCTGCGGATGTTTTTGCAACTTTTGTTGCTGATCTCGAATGTCCAAATCTTCCTTGTCATCCTCATCATCCAAATCACGCGAACTAGGAAGTTGTTCAGTGGGAATTTCTTTTATGCTGCTACTACCCTAAAAGATAAAAAATATTATTAAAAAGACAAAGATAATCTAAATTTAATTGTAAAAGCACTCTTATTCAAGATGACCAAAAATAATCGGCTAGTGATATAACGACAAACACAGTTTAGTGCAAAAAGCACAAGACCCTACAAGAAACATGTAACCACAACACACCAAATTAGCTCTATTGGGTCTAACCTCTAAAGCCAAAAAAGTGAATAAAAATAAACCCTATCTCATCAAGTTCGTCGTTCCCACAATATTGCCGGATTAGGATTGGTCAAATTGAATCAAAGCGCTTTATACAACAATAAAAAATAATCAAAAACAAAAGAAAGACAAATACAAATAAAATTATTTTTTCTATATTTTTCTATTCTTTTCATTACATAATCTCGTACCGAATCTGTAAACGACTCATTAAGCTGTTCAGGTTCAGGACTGGCAATTCCTCCATCATTATCTTGGGAATCTAACTGATCATTTTCTTTTATTGAATCCTTAATTTCTTTAATATCATCCCTTGAATCTTCATCACTGCTGGGAATTTGACATACTGGCGGACGTTCGGGTGAAGGACTTCGGAGAGCCTAATGGTAATATAATTTATTTATAAACTTTTAAAGTATAAATTAATGGAATTTATAGAAAGGGAAAATAAAAGTAACTTAAAGGATTGAAACTTTATAAATTAATAAGAGGCCCGAATCGTTTCGACTTTCTATCGCTTTAGTAAAATGATAAATTACTTGCAAACACTAAAGAGAAAATTAAGCGTATTACCCAAATCTTTCTAACAAAGTTTACATTTCCTGTGCCTAAATATTATTTATGCACATTTACTATAATTATCAGCCAAAAAATTTACTCCAAACTTACTTCATTTTCGTAAACTTCATAGTCTTCTAATTTTGATTCAGTCTCATCAACAAACATTTCTTCACGTTCCTCCATTCCCAATTTCTTTTTAGGCGATAAATCTATTTTTAATGTTTCAAGTTTAATTTCACTTTCTTCTTCTTCGTTATTCTCTTCAATAGTTAATTTTTGAGGGCCTTCAGTAACCAACTCTAATGGGATAATCTTCGGCATTTGCATCATTCCCTCTTCTCTCTGTTGTTTCAATTCATTGGCATCGATATCCGATACTGGCAATGCACTGAAATGAGTAAATTTAGATATGAATTAGAGTTGAAACTGAAAGAAAAAAGTCAATAGTTTGACAAAAAAATCCCAAAAGATCAGAAATTGCATACATAATTCAGAATTTTATTAAAAAACAATCTAAAAATCATACGTCGGCAAAACAAGAGCAGGAAGTATTGTACGTTGACGTTCAAACTCAATCCCTTTAGCTTCGCTTCTACAGCCCGGCTCAATATTAATTATTGTTTGACATTCTACAGGCAGCAAACGCCACTTAAAATAAATCAGAAAATAAAGATCAGAAAATTAAAAATTAACCGGATATCGCGTCTCTGGTACTTTAAATGAATTAGATGTGACTCCAGGACGAGTCTGATCACCAAACATTCGGCCATGGCCTGGAGGCATCAAAGACGGATCCATAAGCACAGAACTATATCCTCCACTTGAGGTCGGTGTTGTCGAGCCAAAACCATGTCGTCGGGCATCCAACAAAAATTGTTTCTCACGCTGAGAGTCAAGGTGCTTAATTGCTTCTTTGTCCATTCCACCCATTTTCGAAACATTTACTAAAAATAAATGAGTTTTAGGTCAAATTAATAAATTTAAGGCACTAAAATTCCAAAATCTTATTAGAGTAATTTAATAAAGGTAAACAAAAACCCACTTCTTTCACCCTCTTCAACCTCAAAGAACCTAACATCAACCAGATCTCGACCAATTTCATCAAAAAATCGCACACGCTTCTTTGCAAGAGAACCCTCAGGATTGTTTTCATACTCATCAACTGGAGCATAAGACTCGCGAACATCGGACTAAAATAAAAAATTAAATATCCTTTTAAAATCTAAAAACCTTTGTCGAATCATCTTTTTGTTCACTCAATTTTTTACGCACAATTTTGGCTTTTTTAGGCTTTGCAACATCAGCAGCTGAAAGGCTGTCCATGAAATTATCACTAAAAACAACCTCCACGGACTTTCTTTTAGGTTGTTGCTCGGCCTGAATAAGAAATTCTGAGAAATAATATAAAAATCAAACATGAAATTTTGCAGTTGCAGCCATAATTCGCGCCAAAGGAGACTCATGGGCAGAAGCAGCAGTTGTTGAAGTGGCTGCCTTTGAGGAAACTGTTGTCGAAGTTTTAGTCTTATTTGTACCGATCGAACGCTCTACAGATTTGTTGACCGTAGTTGCTGATTCGTCTCCTTCCAGGCCTAAAAATGCGTATTATAAATATTATAGTTAAATTAGTATAATAAAAGTTCATTTTCGTGGTGATGACAATAAGCCCAAGAGGTGACAGATTACACACAAAAGGGACAAAATTCATAATAAATAGGAATAAAAATGCATTTAGATTGATAAGATCAATTTACAATTCACGTGCTATAGAATACGACAGAAACTAGATACAAAAATCTAACTGCAAAAAAGAACGCAGAAATCTCCACCATCAAACATTTGGAAATCGCTGATATTTGACCTTAGCCGGTTCTAAAATTTAAATGAAAACGTGTGACATCAAAAATCCAAATGACAAAGTCTACTATAAAATTAAAAATTGAACATCTTTGCCGTCTTTTGAAATATGTAGAGCACCATGTAAACAACATAATCCGCCATAAGTTTATCTTAAACATTTACAAATAATAGAAACTTACAATTTCAAGCAGCGGTTCCATTATAATGTAGCCTTTATTATAATAAGCACAGGTCGTTTAAATATATTATAAAATAGTAGTAGAGGAATCCTAATTATCAAACATAAAAAGCCTACGTGAATTTAAACAAAAAACATGAGTGAAAGATAAGCAATGGTCAAGAAAATTTTAATACGTTAATTTTACCTATTTATACACCAAATATGCTGTTTAGGATATTAAGATTAAATAAGAGAAAAAGATTTTTGAGGTCAAATGTGGGTAAAATCACCACCACGAAAATAGAACAAAATAAAATATAAAGTCGAAATAATTTAGTATATAATTTGATGTAGTATTTTTCGACATCATGACCGAGTTGCAACATACCTGCGAAACAAAAATAAATTTTGAGACTTTCTTACATTAATCAAACAATTAAAAACCAAATAAATAAATTGGATCTTAAGTATTAATATAAGAAACCACAAAAGTTTACCAACACTATTACATGAACTTTAATCGCCTAATATATTTTCAAGTTCTATTCACTAAAAAATCCTGACTCTATATGAAAGGAATGCGGCACTCAAAATTTTTCCTCCTCCCATAATGGTCAATTCCCCTAGATACAAGAATTACCTACTTTTAATAATTGAAAATAAAAAATACCGGTAAGTCTTGGACGTGATATTTTAGCCTTCGCCTTAGCAATTGTTTTTGGTCGTTCAGGTTTTGGTGGTGCACTCACAGAACTTTCACCAGTTTTGTTTAAACCCGTAGTGTTTTGTACATTGAAAGAATTAGATCTAGAACCAATCTGCTGCTGATGAGAAGCTGCTGAGGAAATAGAACCAGTCCGTGGTTTAAGCTGGCCAGATGTTTGGCTTGTTGAAGGGCCTGAACACTGATGAAATTTAAACTTTCAAAAGGTTGAGTAAATTTTGTAATAAATGCAAGTGAAAGGATTCAAAAAAAACTGGGAACGCCCAAGAAAAAACAGCATCCCCCTCTCTAGATTTATCTCCTATGACTAAAAACGCTCATTTAAATAAAATACCATCGCCAACGTCCGATTCAGTTGAAGCTCTTTTAACATTTTTTCCTGATACTGCAGCTACACCAACACCACTAGGCTTCTGAGCTTTTACTTTCGTTTCCTGATGTTGTTGCTGCTGAAGTTTCAATTGTTTTTCTTTGTTACCATCACGAATTGTTTGCTTCCATTTTGTAACCATTTTACTTGCAAAATTTGCAATTTCTAAAAATTAAAAAATTAAATAATTCTATAGTTGTAAACAGATAAGGAAAAATATTAACGTAAAACATTATATAATGTAATATTATTTATTAAAACACTGAACCCGAGTTCAATTAAAAAAGATAAGTATAAGCATAAGAGACAAAGAAAAGCGCGAAAATAAAGTAATGAGGGGTTTCCTAATTTTTATGCACTATTGATGCCGTTGCAACAAAATGGGCGTTTCTAACAACAAGACCCAAAACGGCAACTATATAAAAATTACTGACAGAAAAATAGAAATGCATGAAACATTAACGGGTATAAATATAAAAAAAAATTACGAAAATCACAAAAGTAAAAATAACTCACCCTTCCTAATTTTTAAATTACTGGAATTTTGGCAGTGCCAAATCTTAATTAAAGATTAGATACTTACAATAAAAAACATTTATTATACAAAAACGGCTACCCTACAAAACATATTTTTTTAAAACAGCAAACGCTCAAAACATCTAGACGGCTAAAAAGGCTCAAAATATATTCGCTCAAAACATCAAACGCTCAAAATATCTAGACGGCTAAAAAGGCTCAAAATATCAAAATATTTTTTGATTAAAAGGGACAGTTGAGTCCCATATTTCTTCCTTGTATCAGGGGTGATTAATGTAGTATCTCAGGACCAATTTTGCATGAACTCGACGTGTTGAGAAAGGGCTCGTCGAGCTGAGTCTAATAACACCAAAATCAGCTCGATTGGATGATTTTTGACAATGTTATGACCAACAGAATCTTCGCTGGATAAACTGTTTTTGTGCTGCTACGGAGGGTAGGCCGGGCATGGTCTTCGCTACACGATTGCCGTGCTTCGCTGCGGTCGTGCTCGCTTCGCTCGCGGCGACCGTAGTGAAGCGGCGGCCGTCGTTCCGCTCGACATGCCCGGCTTCCTCCGCAGCGGCAAAAACTTTTTTCCGCGGACTCAACTGTCCCCTTTAAATAGAAAAATATATTTTGATATTTTGAGCGTTTGATGTTTTGAGCGAATATATTTTGAGCGTTTTTAGTCGTCTAGATGTTTTGAGCGTTTTTACCTATCTAGATATTTTGAGCGTTTTTAGTCGTCTAGATATTTTAAGCGTTTGATGTTTTGAGCGGGCACGACAAAAACAGATTCGAGTCACTGCTTTAATCGATGTAAAAAAATTATGAATCACTACAGATAGAAAGAGTAAAGAGAAGGGTAAGAGTGAAGAAATCGATAAAAATTTTTGAGAGTAATTGTAAGGCCACGAAAGGAAAAACGCGCTAAAATCAATAATTCGCTTCTAGCATGAATAAATAAACATTTAAGGCAACAAACAATCTTGTAATTAAATTAGCATCACTTTAGCCTACCTTTATCTGCGCATTTTTGCAGGTCTTTAACAATTTTAGGAGTGTCATTGTCTCTAAGCAACTCCACTGTAATATCCGCCTGTAAATTAGAATAAGTAAGACTACTTACATAATTCATGAAAGTCTCGTTTATACATAAAAAATTTCATGGGAACGAGAAAAGTTTTTACAAATAACTTTTGATTCATCAATCATTGCACCCACCTCTTCGAGGAAATATTTATTTGATTATTCGAGAATTTTAAATTGGGCACAAATGGCTTAAAGCCTTTATAACCCCCCAAATAAATTATAATCCTAATTTCAACAAACATCAACTAGTTGTGCCAAAAGTTGACGTAATTTAGGTAAATCCATTGTTTTAATTGACGATTTCAACCATTCGTTCATTCGTCTCCATCCTTCAGCAGTGCTTAATCGCTGAACCGCTTGTATATGCGCGATATTTTTATCGCTAAAAATTAAAATGTCAAAATAGTGATTATTTTTAAATTCCCCTACAAAAGCGGTTTTTCAGCCAAAATTTCTTTCTTTGGTGAAACAGCAGCCCAGGTTCCCGATATCGTTTTCTTTTCATATTTCTGTACTGAATTTTCATTTTTTTCCACCTCATCCGAGAAAATATCCGAACACATTTTTTTCGGTATATCGACTTTCTTCTGCTTTTCTGGCTTACTTTTGCCTTCAAAATTTTGCTTACGCCTTGCTGCCCTAGTCATTCTAGGCTCATTAATGTTTATTTTGTATCTCTGTTGCGAGGTCGTTTGTACAAGTTCGTCTTGTTGCCATTCATCATCTTCATCACTTCCTTCCATTTCTTCTTCTTCCTCTTCAAATGGAGCAGCCCTCCTTTGAACTTGTTGAATAGGTAAAGATGAACGTAAGATTTGACGCTGTGGTGCTTGTTTTTGTGTCGATTGTTGTGAATGTATCTGTTGAAAACCTGCAGAATAAGTGAGAGGATCTACAACAACATAATGCGGTTCTCTATGTTGTTGCTGTTGTTGACGAGCTTGAAATAATTAAAATAATAAATTACTGCGTGAACAGATTTGTTGGAGGAAAGCACTCGGGACTTTTCGAGAAAAAGCCGAAAAAACAATTTATAGCCGACAAAAATAGCGGATAAAGGAAATAATCAATAAATTAAACCTTGTCCATAAAAAGTAGAACTAGGTACCCCATCACTTATAGATGGCAAATATGGGTATCGAGAGGTTTGTTGCTGTTCAGGAGGATAATGAGCACCAATAGAAGATTGAGGCGCCATTAATTGTTCAGGAGAAGGATCACTAGTCATTACAACACAATTCTCTGCTACAATAATTGAATCGTCATCATCCGGAATCTATAAAATTAATGTAAGTATTAGACATTTTCGAATTAAAAATTGAAGTATAACTAAATGACAGCGAGTACCACTCGATTTTGTGACATATACATATAAGAGTTGGGGTGGGATCACGAATAAATCCATTGTGTCCTTCGTGATCCCCCCTCAGGGATATATGGGGATCATGAAGGATACAGGGGATTTTAAGAGATGCTATGGGATTACAGACGGATGCCAGGTGAGTTGAGGAGATATGGGAGGTCAATGGATTTGAATCGATACCGGGGATATCAAGGCATACTAGTTAAGAATTTTTCTGGGAAGAACATTGGTATTTAAATTCTTTTTCAACGTCACAGGCAAAAATTGAGAATTTTTCCGGTCAAAAAGTCAAGTCTTTTTCAATTTTTATTGTCAGATTGTGTATAATTTCTGCGTTAATTTCGCCAAATTTAACGCAATACGCCCGCAACTGACACCGAGTAAAAAAGCCGGAGCATTTATTTCGAGTCATATCAAGTAGAAACGCGAGATAAGCAAAAAGGAAAAATCCCAAACCGTATAGTATTGTGTGGAAACAGCTTGCTGTTGATTATATCCCATCTGATAAGATTGTTGATTGTACAAAGACTGCTGCTCATTCCCATGATTGTATTGAGAGCCACCATCATACCCTTTTTGATAATTAACATTCTGCTGATGATATATTGGTTGACGACCTTGTTGATGTTGTTGTTGATATAATTGCTGTTCGTGTGACTGCTGAAATATATAGTCAGTAAGAACAAATATAACATGTATAAATACGAAATTACACAAGAAGGACAACTTTAGGTTCTTTTCCTGATTTTATACTAGCACACCCCCCCCCCCCTCGATTGCGATCAAGAGTGTAGGACTACAGTTCTCTCACAATTTATCGAATTTCAAACACAAGAGTATAGTTAGATTAACGTAAGCTTGCCGTAATGTATAGAACCAATCAGTGCGTTCGGGATTGATACTATTAAACTAACAACACCGCGACGAAATGGGCACGCCGCGTAACGTCTAGCATTCAGCAGAGCCCGATTTGAATGAAAACAATATCATCATTATTTAAAATTTAACCTGCATTTGATGTGTTTGATTGACATTGTATTGAACATTTCCTCGCATTTGTTGGTTTAAAAATGCTAAAATATAAAAATAATATAAATTCCAACTTAAATTAAAGAAAAACCTTGTTCGTCCATTAAATATTCCAATTATTTTTATTAAAATTAAAACAGTCTTTAATCAAAAAACTTCAATAATAATTGACATTTACTACTTTAGTCGATCAAATAATAATCTAAATTAGAAGTAAAAAGTTAATGACATCATAATAATTATTAAAAATGTCAGTTATAAAAATAGCTTTGTGGAAATTTAAAAAGAAGAAGAATATGTTTATCCCTTCTTACTTTACATAATCAAGCATTACATGATTAACACGTAAATCCCAAAAATTAATAAAGTTAAACCAAATCAATCATCCTTTATCTCTGGAATTTTTTTGAGACTCTAATGTACAAAAAATCTTACTGTAAATTAAACAAAAGAAATCGTTGTAGAATTAAACTTTAATAATGCAATATCGTAGCTTTGAAAATTTTCAATAACTCGGTCTACTAGGGCGCGACCCGTTTTGACGCAAAAGATATATATGTATTTGACAGAAAAAGCTAAAGCACACGTTTGGATGCGTTTTCTGTTATTAATACATTTACAGCACAGCAATATCAAAACCAAGAGTTCCTAAAGTTTGAAATGCGACATTGTTAGTACTATTAGACTCGTTATACTATGTTTAGTGGTACTTGTTACGCGATAGCTTTAATTGACTTTTCTAATGGGATACTTAAATTAGGTATTTTAGGAAGCATAATGTGAACATGAGTCAAATATTTAACGAATATGTATTTATTTTATATTTTATTTTCATTAGATTTGAAGAAAGCAAAATTACTAATTAGCTATTAGAATTATTAATTTAAAAAAAATTTAAATAATTTAAGAAAAACAATTGTGAGATCAAAATTAAAATAATTAAATATAAAAATATATTTAAATTCCTTCAAGTTCTTCAATTAAATCAACTGTATATTTATTAGATAATTCTTTCTTTGAAAAATTATTTTCTTCTATTAAATTAATATATTTAGTCTTAAAAAAGATAATTTTTTGATAAAATTGATAAAAAAACTTTTAAAAATACCAAATATTTATTTATATTTTGTAAAATTGAATAGTCAATATTTTCAGTCCCTCCATGTTCTACCCATTGTTTTTGTAAAATAATAAAGAATTCTGTTAATTCTTGACTGTTTAATTCTCCATTATTATCAAAGTCTGATTCATTAAAAAGCTTAAAAAATAATAGGAAATAAAATTGAAGAATAATTTGAAAGGGTATTTTAATGATGATGGTCGTCAAGTTGGAGTGAGGACAGCCGGGCAGTGAGATGTGTGTGGTTAAGTGTATTTGATTTATTTCTAACTTCCATAACAGGGAAAAAAAGAATCAAAAATTGATTAGGAAATCGGCCTTGCTCAAAGTGACGATATAGAAATTTTGTTTGCACAATAACCTCTTATGGTTCCCTTTCAAATAAACTAAAAATACAAGTTTTGTGCCAAACAATAAATTAATTTTTTATAAAAATAATTTTTAAAATTTTTACCTTTTTAATAAATTCAAGCCTTTCAATTGGTTCAATTTTCTCTAAATTTTCCTCAAAAATAAATTCATTAAAAGATAAAAGACCATCTAAATTTGTATCGAGCATTTCAAACAATTTTTGTGTCAATTCTTTTTTATTTTGGAAAGTCTAAAAATAATAAACAAAAATTAAATTTTAACTTTTAATTTACCATATTTGTAAATATTAAAATAATTAAAATATTAAAATAAATTAAATTAAATAATTCATTTGACATTTTTAATTTTTCATATAAAATATTTTTTAATCATGTAATTAATTAAATGAAAATTAAATTTATTTAGTTTATGTTAATGAAACAGATAAAATATATTTTATAAAAATAATATTTATTTAAAAAATAAAAATATTTAAATAAATCAAAAAAATTTTCATTTAAAAAAAAATAATTTTATGTGTGGAATATTTCCCAAAAAAAATATTTTTATTTTTGTATTCCACTCAAACCTCTCCACTCTCAACATAACTGTTCTCTCTTTTTCAATAATTTTAAGGGGTATATGAGTTGATTTTTTTGTTTGAATTACGAGAGTCACATTGATTTTCCCAAAATTTTCCTCCAAACCTTTTTTAACCCTCTTCAATTTTAAAGCTATCCACAAAAAAATTTTTTTCTCTTTTTTTTTTCTCTATTTTTAAATTTATTTGTTTTAATCAAACAAACAATAAATGTGGGGTGCTTTTACAAATAATAAGTAGAAGAAAGGAGAGTCGAAAAATGGAAATAAGGTGATGGAGGGGGGGAGGGGGGGGGAGGAGTTGTTACATAAAATGTCAGATCCAAAATTTAGTTAGATTTATGTTTGTTAATTTTAAATAATTTTAGTCAATTTTCAATTTAAAAAATAAAAATAAAAAAATCTTTAGTGTTATTCAAAAGTTGATTTCTAAATTCTAAAATTTTCAAAAGAAAAACAAAAAAAACATCTGACAGCTAAACTAAAGTGCATGAGAAAATCCGTCTTTAACAAGTTGCGCAATGATGGCGACATTCTTATCCGCTCTAATTAAAGTTTATATTTTCATTCTTCTTCCATAATAAATTCAGTAAATATTCTCCAACTAAAAATAATTTTGGGTTTTACTCTTTCTTTAAATTTTATTTTTTCTTTAAATTTATTTGCAAAATTTAATAAATAAATTGATTTTATTTTTATTTTTATTTTTCCCCTCATAATCATAATACAAAACACAACTTGAGGAGGGGGGATACATGTGGAGAGTAAATGGGGGATTGGAATAGGGGGGAGGAGGGGGGGATGTATTTTGAGTTTGTTTTTTTATTTTTAAATGTATTTTGCTAAAATTAAATTTAAAAAATTTACTGTTTTTATTTAATTAGAAAGTTTTTTTTTAATTTTTTGTATAATAATAATTAGCTTGTCATATACTCAAAACTAAAAACTTTTTTCTTCCCTTTTGTAAAATTATTCGACTTTTAATTTTTGTTTTACTCAAATTTTTTAATTGAATATTTTAAGTTGTGAGAATTTATATAGCAATTAAGGCATCAAAAATTAAATTTTAACTTTAAAATTCAAGAGAATTAAAAAATTAAAACTTCCTTTTTTTAAAATTTCCATCACAAGTCAGACAAAGAAAAAAATTTAAAAGAAAGGGCAAATAAAGTGCAATCATTGTCTTCTGACTTCTAATTAAAATTTTCTAAGGGCAGGCATCACAAGTCAGACATTTAAAACCTTTTTTTTAAAAATTATACGCTACATCCATTATTCTTTTAATTTTATATAAATTAAATTTATTAAATTTTTTTCTCCTTCCCTCAAGGAATTTAAGAAGGGAAAATGATAATAGTGTCGTTTCCAGTCCCCATTTTTTCCTCCCAATTTTTTACCCTATGTTTGTACGGAATGGTCAAATTTTCCCCTTTCATCAAATTTGCCTTTCCATATTTTGCCTAAAAACAGTCAAAAAGATTAATTTGTGATTTTCCGCACTTCATTTTCCTTCTATAATAGCCAGAAAACATTTTTCATGCTTGGTGTTTCTCCTTGTGAAACAACTTAATAAACAATTAATCTTTTTAATTGTTTTTAGGCAAAATATGGAAGGGCAAATTTGATGAAAGAAAGGGGAAAATTTGACCATTCCGTACAAACATAGGGTGAAAAATTGGAAGGAAAAAATGGGGACTGGAAACGACACTATTACCGGGAAAATTAAAATAGCCACTATTAAATAATTTTAACTGCTATCAGTTAGCCAGATGTAAAACGGAATTCCGATTTGTTCAATTCAATTCCAAACCCATCTCTATTTACTGTTAGAAAGAGAAAAATCTTTTAAACTTGTAAATCAAAAGAAAATCCATTGAAAATCAAAATTTCAAAACAGCTCTGCCATTTACCAACCAAAAATGTGGTAGCATTAATTTTTAGCGATGGAAATTTTAACAGTAATTTCAATTGTTTATTTTATTCTTTTTCCAAACTTAGCATATTCTGAAAAAATAAATAATTTAAAAATCAGCATTGAAAAACATAATGGTAAGTTAGGTAGTAATTTATTTGGGGAGTATACAAGTTTTGATAAAACTTGTTATAATATTTTTTCTCCAATTGTCTCTTGCGCCCCCCACCACTGATAGCATTAAATGCCAGCTTTTAACCCCCCCCCCCCCCCCAATAAACTTTTACAAGATTTCTAAGGTTTTAGAGGCGTGCAGGACTGAAAATGTTTTCAAGACATAACAGATTATTAATTAGTATTGAAAATCCTAAGATTTTACCCCAATAAACAGCCCTATCCGAAAAACGAAGATTTCTTGAACGACCCGAGTCCAAACTTGAACGGATTTTTTTTTCAACTCGCAAAAAGAAAATGTACTATGTTAACTTTCTATATATTTTTTTAATTTAAGAAGAATTAAACAAATATTTACAAAAAAATTTAAAAAATATAGAGTTGTGGAGAAGAATAATTGAAAAATGGGAAAGAGAACAAGCATTTCCGGAAGTTTTTGATGAAAAAGAGAAGCAAAAATATTTTGTAAAATTGGAAAAAAATATTAAAAAATTAAAAGAAAAATTGGAAAATAAAATAAAAGATATTTTTAAAAAATTTTCAAAAGAATTTTTGGTAAAAAATTTGTGTGATAAAGAGATGATTAATTTTTTGGGAAATTATGAGGATATGATGACAAAATTGGAAATTAATTATTACAAAGAATTGAGAAAACAAATTATTGGAAAAGAAGAAGAAATTAATTTAGTTATTAATTCTCCAAAATGTGAAAAGAGTAGAGGAGGATTTTTATTATCCGGTTTTTATTTAAATTAATTTATAAAAATTAGATGGGTAGCTACTAAAAATACATGCCGTAAAAGCTTTAATAGAAGCACACGTGCTTCTATTTTCCGATGTGTGCCTCTATTAGAGATTGTGCTTCAAATAGAGACTGTTCTTCTATTAGAGCATTACTTCTTACCTTTATATGTAGAGATAAGGTACGAGGTAATTCCCAATTTTAAGAGAGGTAACTCCCAAAAAATATGTGGAGAACGGATAAAACCGTTGATTCTCTCTGATTCTTCAAGTCCCAATATAATCCAAATTTTTGAGTAAATCTAAAACTAGAGTTTTAACTAAATACATATTAGAGCTTGGCTCGTTTTCTCGAATTTTAAAAATTATTGAAAAGGATAGACCTCTTTCTTCTTTTTCTAAACAATAAATAAATAAATAAAAATAAAATTATTTTTTAAAAAGCATGTACTAGAAATTCAATTAACGTTATTGAACCGATAGGTAAAAGTAATACCAACAATGAAGTTAGTAATGTTAAATTAATTGAAGAAGAAAAATTGAAAAATAAATTTGAAAGATCAAGTGCCATTTGTTTCTCACTTAGAAAATATTTATGTGATGTAAATTTTAACAGAACACCTAAATGGGAAAATGAAGAAGATTGTGACAGTAAAGCTGAAAATTGTGAAGAAATGAAAAGAATAAAAAATAAGCACGAAAGAATATTTAGAAGGTTTTTTAATTATTTAATTGAAGTGTATTATTTAAAAGGCTCACGGACATAGCTAAATAAATATAAACCGATTTTAATAATAAATTTTATCTTAATTGCTATTTGTGGTACACAAATGTTTAGGTCCAAAATAATATTGAATTACTTATGGGGGTGTACATTATAGCTTCACCGGAAGTTCCGGTTCCGGTGGACAAGAAGTTCCGGGATTTTTTGGTTACGGTTCTGGTCAAATTTGCGGTTCCGGTGAAGCACTAATGTATATTCTCCTATAGGAAAGTGTGAATTTGAGGCTACTAATATACTATTAGTTAGAGCTTGTTAATTCTGAGATTATCTTAAGTTCTCTGTCTTTCATTCCCCCTATTTTTCTTGAAAATTTAATTTTAATTTTATTAAATTTAAAAATTAAGAATTCAATCAAGATATCCACATGGCTATAAAGACGATTTCAAATTAACGATTTTCTTTCCAGAAAAATTTAGAAAACTTTGGAACTTTTTTGGAGTAGATATTAAAGATTTAATTATATCTTTAACATTTGCTCGATTAGAAGGTTTTGATAATCCTGCAAAAAGTGGAGCTAGCTTTTTTACTTCTTGGGATAAAAAATATTTTTTAAAAAGTGTCATGTCTGAACCAAAATGGTATTCAAAATTTAAAAAATTTGATTTGATGGATTTTATAAAATTTATTGGAAATAAATTAGAACCTGAAGTTGAGAAAGATTTCTTCTTTTTTGATGAAGAAAATGGAAAGTTTGAAAAAAGTTTTGAAGAAGAAAATAAACATTTGTTAAATTATCAAAGAACCCCGTCTTTATATTTTAATGAAAATGAAAGAAAATTTAGAGGAGGATTTTTAGAATATTTTGATTTGATAAGTTCTCTTTATTCAACAAAAAAATTAGTTTTTAAAAATAAAAGAGAAACTCTTTTACCAAAATTCTTTCTTCTTTTTAGTTTCACCGTTGGTTTTTTTTTTAAAATATTTTTTTATAAATTTTCAAATTTCAGCCATTAAATGGGCAATCGAAAAGTGAAATTTTCTCAATTCAAAACGGCCTCTTCCCTGAAGGAACGCCAAAAATTCATTTAATTTTTGACTTAAAGGGATCTAAAAGAATATTACCAACGGAAGAAGGTTTAGAAAAACTTTTAAAAAATGGGAAAAGTCCAAATTGGACAGAACTAAATTTTGTTAATGAAGAGGGAGGGGAAGATGGAGGGTTTTTCCCTAATGGTATAAAATTAAACGAAAGTGACTTTGAAAATTTTAAACAAATGATTGAAGAGGATAGTAAGGTTGGCATTTAACCTTTATATTTTTTATATTAGAAAATCTTTTAAAAAATAAAAATGACAAGTTTTTTTTGTTCACGAAACCAGGGTTCAAAGGCCGGTTCTTTAAACAGAAAATAATGGAACCGCTCGATTTTCGGAATCATTAGAGCATTGATGGTAAAATAAATGAGTCAGAATATTTTTGCCTAGTTAACTCCCTCATGATGAAAAGTTATTTTCTATATCCAAATGAAAGGTTAAGGACCTTTCTTCGTTTTGAATTGAATAAAAGTAAATTAAAATTTAATTTTATGTTCCTAATTATTTAAAATTAAAATAAAGTTCTAATTTTTTAATTAAGCTTCTCGAGAATAGCAATATAATTGACTACAGTCTTTTGTTGGGAATTCATATTGTTGATGACCAAAATGAAGAAAATAAAAATATAGGGTAAATTAATTAACTAAATTTAATATTAAAAAAATTTTTTAGAGGAATTAAAGCTTTTTGTGATGATTGTAGTAATTTAAATAAAATTTTGGAAATTTTAGAGAAAAAAGGAAATAATCAAACTAACATTGATGAAAAAAATAAACGGAAAAAATTACGTCTATTTGTTGGAATAATTGATATATTACAATCATTTATACCTAAAAGACAAATAGAAGCAAGAATTAAAGGATTAATGTCAAAAATTAAAGGGGTTATTTTTTAATTATTGAGTTAAACCTCTCTTTATATGTCATAAACTCTTGGGAAATCATAAGTGATAATTTATTGTTAATGGAGGTATTGCTTAGATAGATCCCCCAACAATGAATAAAAAAGTATTTTTAATTGAGAAATTGAGTGTTAGAAATTAGAAAAAGTATTGGGTGAGGTTTGACTTTATACAGATAAATATTTAAAAAATAAAGTTTTAATTTTAGGAAAAAAATATTTTAGAAGATAAAGAATATGTAAGTTTAATAATAATAATACTTAATAATAATATATTAATTTTAAATTAAACATTTCCTTCCCTTTAAAATAGAATTAATATATAGAAACATTTAAAACAAATGTTTTTGTTTAAAACATTAAAACAGTTTAAGGAATATCGTTGAAACTTATTATCAGACTAAGAAAAAATCGCTGTGATCGAAAATGTTTGTTCAAAGTTAATACCATTTTTATATCCCCTCCCATATAGTCTCTGTGGAAAAAAGTTTTTCAGTTGGGGAATAAGTCTGGAATATCGAGCAGAAAAAATATAAATTTATTTTTTTAAAGGCAACAGCCTCAATTACCGATCCAGAAAGTTATAGTAATCGCTTTATAAATTTCATTACTACCAAAATTTTCAAAAAAGAGTGAGGAGTATTAAATAAGGTATGTGAAGTTAAAAGAAAAAGATTGAGCTCAAAAATTATAGAAAAATGGAAAAAAAAAACATTAAAACAAAGGAAATTTTTCTGCTTTTATTTTTTGTTTGTCATATTTGTGTATGTACATATGTATTAAATACCATCCCAATCTCATCTAAATTGTTCCAATTAACTAAAAATATTTTATTTTTACTAAAAGGATGTAAAATATTTATTTACTATTTTGTTCGTAATATTATTTTGTAAACTAAAAAATTATATAGCAATTTTGCTTATCATCCACCAAACTCCTTTCCTTTTTTTAAATCCTACCCTGCTATATTTATATACAAATATCAATTATTATTTTTAATTTTTAAAAAATATTTTAAATTATTTTGATAAAGACAATTTTAATTTCTTAATTCAATTAAACATTTTTTTGTTGTTTTTTAAAGAATTTCCGGAGATTTCGAAAGGCACAACTATGTTTTTAGTTTTAAGTCATAACCTCACTTCATTACAACTTTTGTAACATCTTATGGATAGTTAATACATACAAAGCTTGTTTTTTTATTAAAATCTCGTGTATTTATTCCCAATTTAATATAAATTGCTTCAAAAGTCGGGCAATAGTTGCAGGGCTCGAGTTATGATGAATTGAGCTAAAATCCGTTGTTATTTTTTTTTGAAAATCCTTTGTCTACGTGGACTTTTTTCACCTATTTAAATCTATTTTGGGGTTTTGCAACCTAAAATAAGTTGAAAACTATTTGGGATGTTTTTATGTTTTCTGTCACCTATTTTGATTATTTTTCGTAAAAGTTCGATTTTTATTAAAAATTTTTGTTTTTTTTTGTAAAACTTTAAATAAAAATTTTTCACTTTGCGGAAAAATATTTTTCAAAAATTAAGAAAAATTTTTTCTTAATTATTATTTTCCGGTTAAAATTTTGAAAATTATAAGTGTTTTACCATTTATGCTTTGTTGTTGAAGCCCTAGTTCCAAGTCCTAGTTATTTTTCTTCTCAACAAAGTTTTGAAAAAGCGATTTTTTCCTTAACAAAGAATTCCCAATTCTTTTTATTTAAATTAATTTATAAAAATCAATTTTGAAGCATTGATTTCAATGGCTTTGCCTAGCTGGCTGGAAATAGACAGATGGAGAGTGTATATGTGAATGCCCTTCTAAAATCCCTCCATCTTTCAAGTATAAAATCCTTTGTTAATTAACAATCACACGTGCCTTGTGGAAGAAAAAATAGAGGGGAAAGAGGAGAGAAATGCCTCGCGCGATTTCCTCTGCTTTTTTGTCGTTAGACGCAAAGCAGCGATTTAACTAGGCTAGCGTTAAATTGGAGGGGTGGAGAGAGAGAGGATTTGCCACTATTATAAATCCTCTCTTTAATTAAACAATTAATTCATTTATTAATTTTTTAATTTAATTTTTATATTAATTTATTTTTAATTTAATTTAAATGTTTTTGTTAATTAAACTTTTATTTCTTTTTAATTTCTCCCCTAATTATTTTTGTTTAAATAACATTCGTAAGTATTAATTATAGGCAATTATGTTTACACGATCGTATTTATTCCAGCTGATAGAGTCATAAATATGTCATAAACAATTCTTGAATAAACAGTGCCATATCTCTGTGTATGTGTATATTGCCATCCCAATCTCAACTAAATTATTCCAATTAAAAAATATTTTAATTTAATATTTAATTATTATCTAACCAAGATTGTTTGCTAATCGGAAACTTTTTAAAGAATTTCCGGAGATTTCGAAATTATTTGTTTTTTTTTTTTTATTTTAGATTTTTTTATTTAGATAATTACTTAGATTAATAATATAAGCTACTGTAGATAATATTTTCATATTTTGGTGGCAAATAATTGGAATTGAAATGAAAACTTTGAAAACGAAATTATGCAGGCATTATAACAAAAACTTTCTACCAAGATTGTTTAGTAGAAAGTTTCCGTATTTATTAGGACACCTTTTACAATTTTTTTTCCGTTTCTAGTATAGAACCCTTTCAAGAAAGTTTAAATATTACTTATTCCTTAATTAACGACAATTCCCAACTTTTTAAATTTTTATATAAATTAATTTTAAAAATTAATTAATTATAATTAATTAATTTTTAAAATTATTTAATATAAAAATCAATTTTATGGCTGGCGATTTTTGTAGCATGTGATAAAAATTCCTCCACCTTTAACTATAAAATCATATGCCAAATTTTTTTATACAGGCGACTTTAGATAAAAAAATTATAGCCATTAACAAGGCGAGCGTTAAACTGGAGTTGTGGCCTTATTTTAAATACTGGCTAGCTTCTCTTTAATTAAACATTTAATTAATTTATTATTTTTTAATTTAATTTTACATTTTTAGATGTTTTTATTAATTCATCTTTTATTTCTTTTAAATTTCTCGCCTAATTATTTTTGTTTAAATGACATTCGTAAGTATTATTTTACATCATCCTGTTTTATTCCAAAAAATATAAAAAACTTAGATTTAAAATTTTGGGGGTCTGAAAAAGAGATTTACTTTTAATATTAAGTAGGGTTCAGCGGTACCGGTATTCCGAGAAAAAAACGGTATCGGTATTTCGTATTGATGATACCGATACCTATACTGGCCTCGGTATCGGTATCAGTAAAATCGGTATCGGTATTCAAAGAGACCGGTATAATACCGCCCGATACCGGTCGGGATTCCGATACCGCTGAACCCTAATATTAAGCAACATTTCACTTTTTAAAGAAATATGTATATTGGATTAGAAAATCCATCTTTTCTCTGTCCCAACTGATAAAGGAGCCATAAACAGAGGAGGATGTTTATAATATAAATTACCTATATTATTTTTAGAGAACAAATCAATTAAAACTTCAGCAGAACTAATAGAAATGGAAGTTGAAATGTATTTAGTTAAAATGTGGGGAGAAACTGAAAAAAAATTTGATAAAAAAGAAATGGAAGGAATTAAAACGAATCTAGAAGGGAAAATTAAAAAAATGGTGGAAAATTTAAAAAATATTCAAGGATTGTCAGAGGCTTTGTGTGACGATAAAATGTTAGAATTTTTGGGAAATTATGAAGAATTTGGTAAAAATGTGAAGGAATATTTAGAGAAACACGGAATTACGGAAATAAATTTTCCAAAATCATTTAATTTGGCAGAAAAAATTCGTTTTGCCCTTCGAAAATATTTTTGTCATGATTTAAAAAATGGAGAAGAAAATGAAATTTGGAATGAAAGGGGTGTTTCTTTTATTTTGGAGGATGATAATCAGAAAATAAAATCGAAAAAAAATCTTTATAACAAACAAATTGATATTCAAGAATTAATTTTTGAAGAGAAAATTGATGATAAAACAAGTAAAGCCCCTCAAAATAAATTTAAATTCACAATTTTGTTCCCAAAAGAATTTAAAAAACTTCAAGAAATCTTTGAACTAAATTCTTTAGAAATGTTATTGTCATTAACATTATTTCCTTTTGCTAATTTTGACAGCAATACAAAAGGAGGATGTGATTTTTTAACATCTTGGAATGAACAATTTTTGTTAAAAACAATACAAAAAGAGCCAAAATGGTTTGCTGAATGGTCAAAAAACTCAAAAATTCCTCTTTCGTTATTGAAAATAGGGCGTCACTTTCTTGAACCT